TTCAACCAAGTGAATGGTATTAACTTTGATGAAATTTTCTTACCTATTGTGAAAATTTGCTAAGATAAGGGGTGTAAACATGTTTAGGTTGATAAGATGAAGGTGTTGTGGCAGACTTCAACCAACACCTTCATCTTATCAACCTAAACATGTTTATCATGGTGAAAACTTTTCGTGTAAAATAATAAAATTATTTGTAGGGGTATCTGAATTTGTATTTGTAGAAGAATTGATGTAGTTGTCAAGATACGCTCTTAGGTTTGTGTCAACACAAGGGAGGTTTGTAAGAACCGTGACAAATAGTGTTTCAACATAGGTGGTGGTGGGCTATGGTTTGGGGATGATTGCTCCTCATGTAGTAATTTCTTTTTATTGAATAATAAGATTAAGTGTGAAGATAAACAAACCGAGATTTGGTTGAGCTAAGATAATGAAAGCGTATTGATGAGTGCGGTCATGAGGGAGGAGCTTCCAAGGTCTGTTCTCAGTTAGGTACATCTAATGAGGTTGATCTTGCGGCTAGAGGAGAAGAGGCAGTAGGATGTGTTGATGAGACCAGGCCCTCGCTAGGTGGAGGGCAACAAGACAAGAGGAAGAGGCAAGGTGAGGTGGCTACAGCCGTGACCCACCTCCAAAGGTTGCATATGGCAGTTGAGGAGAGCGGAAGATGGAAAAAATGGAATACTTCGATTTGGGAAAAGTAGCGTTTATGTATAGCCGTGATATTACAAAAAAATCCTTACAAGAAGAATAATTTGGTAAGTGTCCACTCAACAAGTTGCAATAATGTTTTCTACATCGGTGGAGGGAAAACCTATTTCTTGAAGAGCTTTTGACCTTTTGGTGTTTTGAATACAAGAATATATACATTTATCAACTTTATTTTGCCTTGTCTAGCGATCTTAACAAAAAGATCGTAGAACCAATGTAACAAAAAGATCTTGAAGTGAACTAAGAGCAGACCTACATGTGACCGTACATAATTGCAGTACAAGAAGATGAAGTATATGTAAAAATCTTTAATGCGTCGTGTGAACCAATGTAACATAATGACAACCTCAATTGATGTACCCAAAAGTGTTTAGATCATAGAAGAAAAGAGGTTTTTCTAGAGTAAGAAGAAGATGAGAGAATGTATTCTCTAAATGTTTAGGTGTGAATTTTCAACTCTTTTATAGAGGGAGGGTTGAAGATGCAACACATCCTGAGTGTGTGTCAATATGAATAGACACATAAAAAAATTCAATTTAATTCAATAAAAAATCATATTAAACCTATTTTTATAATTTCAATAAAAACGTGATAGATTTAACACAATAGATTCATAAAAATAGAATTAAAATAAATATCATTTGCTTCACACATTTAGAGTTTATGCATAATTGAACTAAATCTCTCTTCCAATACGGGTGAGTAAAAATATCTAATAATTATTTTAAATTCTCTCTCTTTTACCGAATGATCTCTAATAACATGATTTACGAGCATGTGGATTCAATTCAAATGCAGTTAACCTCCCATTGGATGTGTTTGTGACATTTATGAACACTTGTTGATGCATGAAATCTTTGTGAATGCAGAAATCCTTAAAGATCAATCTTTGTGGATTCAAGGACTGAGAAATTCGTACCTTGTGGATTCAGGCCTGATTTCTTTTATTCTTCATGGACTTCTACTATGTTGGGGAGGAGGATTCAAGTAAACTCACATCTGCCACCAGACGCATTAGGCAGAAGTGGAAGTGGAAAGGCAGTCAAAACGAGTACCATCAATTAGAGGGAGAAAGAGAAGGGGATAAAGAAATGACGGTCTCATCAACGAGGGTGATGTACAGAAGAAGATGAAGAATAGAGGAGGAGAAGAGAATGAAGAGAAAGAGAGGAAGCCTGCATGTGAAGACCGGGGAGGATTACCTCGCGATGCTACAGAGAGGAGGAAGCACAAGAGCAGCCGATCACATCCTTCCCAGATATAATGGACAGCCATTACCGCCGCGGCCGAAGCTCTTCGTTGCCCCCAGCCGGGCCTCCTAACAGCCGATACGCAGCCCCGCCAGTCCGTCACAACCTTCTCCTCTCCTTCCCCAAGCTTCCGTGGGTTTTCTCGGGAATTCCCACTGGATGGGAGTAGAACCGAGCAGATCCGACGGTACACCAATTCAAAGACACCGCCATCGTTCAGACCAGACTCGTATCTCCTTTCCTCGACCGACACACCCCCGCCTCCGAAGTCACCCACCACGTTGAAAAATTCATTCAAAACACAGAAACTTTCCAATAACAATGAAAACACATTTTAGTTTCATCAATTGATGACGACGAAGGAACTGTTTACAGAAAGATAAGGGAATGAAGTTCACGATAATATCTTAAACACAACGACAAACAGTACGTGAGACGCTCGCATAAAATCACTGGAATGTTTCAGACGCACATTCGTCAACATTGAATCCACAAACGTTGGTTACAGAGATGCTGCCGCCGAAGGCGAAAAAGATATCGGAATAAGTAGTGGACTAGGAAGCAGTCGACTTCAGAAACCGAAGTATAATGCCGGAGCTTTCGACAAACTTGGTATTATGTGTGGAATCTCGTGGCGTCAATCTCCTCCGTATGTGTGAAATTACTCACCCAAAATATTTACGAAATATATCATCAGTTTGGTCGGTGGAGATTCCACACGAGCAAACTACGCGTGCTTTCTTTCCCTGCGTGAGGGAAAACAGGGTCGTTATACTCCTGTGAACGAGGGAAAAGCTTTCAGCGAGAAGAGCCAACAGTTTTTCGCGGCTGGTTGGAAATGGGGATCATGGTCATCGGTCGGGCCGCCACCGTCCGCTACGGGGAGATCGGAGAGAAAAGGAGGTACGTAGTTGCCGAGAGCCGGAACAGAAAACCGAAAGCGAATAGAAGTAGCAGAGAGAGAGAGAGAGAAGCAGCGATTCTAGATTCCCCGAGATTCCCGGAGATTCCCTCGTCTCCTTAACCTGGGTGCCACTGAGAGAAAACCCTCGCGGCCCTATCCTTCTTACGACCGTAACTCGGAAACCCTAGAATCCCCGTTCCTTCCTACCCCAGCAGCTCGGAAACCCAAGCCTCTTCACCCTGCGAGAATGACTCTCCTGCCCGTTTCCTCTCCTCCTGCCTGTTGCTTGCTATCTGTAGACTCGGTAGGGGAAGAAAACCATGAGATGCAGAGACGAAAGCGGCGAGCACGACGGCGCCTGCACCGCGTGCGGATACCACCCGCGCAAGTGCAAGCCCGACGGCGCCTGCGGATACCACCGGCGCAAGTGCGAGTCCGACTGCTGGCGCCCTAATTCCCGCGTGATCGGACGCAGGATTTCTTCTCGATGCAGAGGCAGTTTGGTTTGAGCAAGCTCAGCAAGGTGGGCAAGAAGTACGAGGCGCATCAGCGCTACGCGACCCTGAAGTGAAGGATCTTTCGGCGGGACGATTCCGTCCGCGGTGCCTTCGGTGTCGTCTGCGGCCTCAAAGAGAAAATAGAAGCGGCGACCAAGGAATTCGGGTCCGTAAGTACGGGATTGAGCGCTCCACGCTGAAGAGCCTGGAGCGCGAACTCCTCCACGATGGAGATAACCCATGTGGGTTTTCAGAACCTCCCAACCTCTTCAGTCCTGAGGTGAGTGTGGAACGGATCTGTCCCGTCTTTGCCTTGTTTACCAAAGAAAGAGTCGCTGCGATTTGACCTGTCTTCTTTCACAGGATATTAGGCTGCCTCCGCTACAATGATCAACTTCAATGAACCTGTAATATTAGTTCATTTTTCCGGAATATTGATACAGAGAACGTATTCAGTGTTGATTTCTATCCCGAAGTTGGTAAATACCTTCCGGGATTCCAGTACCGGTTATTTGTCCGGTGAAGTAGACAATCTCCAAGACGTAAGTTTGGGCTCCGAGTCAGGAGTTGCTGATTCTCTTCTGTGTTTTCTTGTTTTTTCCCCTGTTTTCGAATTTGCGTTATCATTTTCCTGTCATGGATAACCCATCGTAGAACCAGATAACCCCGTAGGATCTCAAGAATCCTCGTCATCCCATGCGGGTGGCGGCTTCCGTGCACCGCCCCTCCCCGTTTTCTTCCCGGTGCCTGCAATCTAACTGCTCTTTCCTCCCCACGCTCATCGCCTGTTGGCTAGTCGAGAGGTTGAGACCGAGACCAGGCAACCCAAGTCTGTCCGCGACGGGGTCGCGCTTCAAGAAAATTGCTGCGTTACGACGATCCCCATGAAACACCGCCCGCGCCAGCTCCGTCAAAACTGGACGACCGAATTTGAAGCTGCCTCGGATAATCGATCTTTCTGCTTTGGCATTTTGAATGAGATCGCGTTAAATACGCTTCTCCTGCTCCGGCAGACCGTGCCCATCGCCGGGCCCCGGTTTTAGCTTCATAATTGCTCACCAGCAACTCTCTATCTCTCTCTCTCTCATTATATATATAACATGTACATCTAATTGTTGCCCCGTAGACTGGGGCTGAGGAAAATGACTTATAGGTGGTTGACAGACGTAATCAGGGTCTGGTACCGCTCGGTCCGTTCACAACCCGATTAAGAGGTAAATTACGGAAATAAGGTGTTCATGCATAATTCCGTTAAACTTGGAAGCACATTTTATGGGAAATTCTGTGAGAAGATGTTATACGGTACTTATGCCGGGTCAGTGTTTTTATTTTAAATTTGAAAAAATATCAATAATTCAATTGCCTCACAAGAGGAGAACCGTTTTACCCCGCGCGTGCGCGCGCGTTTTGTCGCCAGCTCTCGACTTCTACAGTGAATGAATGCCGCTCCGTCCTCCATCTCCTCCGCCCTAACGGACACTTTACCCGTCTCTCTCCCTCCCTCATCTCTCTCTCTCTCTCTCTCTCTCTCTCTCTCTCTCTCTCTCTCTATTAGTGCAACGATCACCACGGGCATTCTTTGCCCCGCTTCAGTTCCCCCCAGTGCCGTGATCGGCAAGAGGATAGAGAAGGAGGAGGATGCGGTCTGGCACCCTTTCCCTGTTACGTTGTCTCCCTTCACTTCTGATTACTCTCTCGTCATACTCTCTCGCTATCGCCGAGTTCACCCCTGATTACCACCCTCTTCAAGCGTTCAGATCCGCCGCTGATCCCAGCGGCGCCGCCCTGTACTCGTGGACTCCACGAACAGACCCCTGCTCGGGCACCTGGGCCGGAGTCGCCTGCCGGGGCGGCCGAGTCACCCGCATTCTCCTGCAGGACCGCCATCTCCAGGGCACCGTCGATGACACTCTCACCTTCCTCCCCTATCTCAGACTTCTCAATCTCTCCCATAACCGTCTCACCGGCGAGCTCCCAGACGGGTTCCTTCGTCTCCGTCGCCTTCGCCGCATCGACCTCTCAGTGAACAACATCTCCGGTCATATTCCTTCGGAGATCGCTCGTCTTCCCCGCCTCCTTACCCTGCGACTGGAGAGAAATCTCCTGACGGGGGAGATACCGTCTTCTTTGGGATCTTTCAGTGTGATAGCCGACTTCAACGTATCCGGCAACCGTCTGACCGGCGAGGTCCCCCGGGCTCTCTCCTCCTTCCCTGTCTCATCCTTCTCCTCCAATGAGAACCTCTGCGGGGAACCTCTCCTCCGGCGGTGCACCAACCAGACTGAGGGAAGGGATCCTCTCGAGAAGATCGACACAGATCGGAGGAAAAGTTGCTGGAAGTGGAAGACGGTGGCGACGATCGCCGCCATCGTGGTTGCCGTAGTCTCCATTCTCCTCATCCTTCTGGCCGTGGTCTGCTGGAGGAAGAGAGGAAAGCCGGCTTGCATCACGGAGGTAGATCGTGATGATGCTAAGGCAAGTGTAGTAGGAGACGTAGTAGAGGAGAAGAGGGTCGTCCTCTTCGAAGGGTGCAGGCCTTTCACGGTGGACGATCTCATGAGGGGCTCAGCAGAGATGCTGGGTCGGGGGGCTCTTGGGACGACGTACCGGGTAGTGATGGAGGGGGACTCGGGAAGGGGAGTGGCGGTGAAACGATTACGGAAGGTGAAGAAGGCCAGGGAGGACAGAGAAGGTACGGCGGCGATGGAGAGGCTGCTGACGGAGATCGGGGGCCTCCGCCACCCCAACGTGACGTCTCTGCGGGCCTACTACCACTCCGACGATGAGCTTCTTTTGGTCTACGACTACCTCCCCAACGGCAGTCTCCATTCCCTGCTCCACGGTCTGTAATTACTCCACTCTATCCACCGATTTCAATCATTTGACTTTTGAAATCAGCAAAGTTGACATTTTTTTTGGGGGTCAGGGAACCGTGGGCCCGGGAGGATTCCACTATACTGGACGGCAAGGCTGAAGCTCGCACTGGGGGCAGCGGAAGGCCTCGCCTTCCTCCACCGCGCCTCCAAGCTCGCTCACCAGAAGCTCACCTCGTCCAACATCCTCGTCGACGACGACGGCAACGCCTGCGTCGTTGATTTCGCCCTCCTCCACCTCCTCGCCGCTCCGCCGCCGCCGCCGTCCTCCACGTCGAGGAAGACGTTGACCCACGAGTCTGACGTGTACGACTTCGGGATTCTGCTGCTGGAGATCCTGACGGGGAAACCGGCGGCAGAGGGAGAGGTAGACCTGCAGAAGATGGTGAGGGAGGACTGGTCGTCGGAGCTGTTCGACGTGGAGCTGGTGGCCTGCAAAGAGGCGGAGGACGAGATGGTGGGGCTGTTGCAGGTGGCCCTCCTCTGCGTAGCTCCCTCACCGGCTCATCGCCCCACCATGAGCATCGTCTTCAAGATGATGGAGGAGATCAAGGAGAGGGGGAGCAAGAGAACGAAGGGCTCCCCCTTCTCCCCCTCTTCCTCCATTAACGACTCCTACTATCTTGGTTCTTCCACCCCCGTCGTCTCCGAGGACACCGCCAGCGGGTGAGATACTCTTCGTAAAAGCCCATTACGGACGTAGACCTTTATGGGGTGACCCCTCGGCTCCGGCCCAGTTCTGTTGTTTTTGGATAAAGAAAGGTTCTTGGGCCTCCCCTCATCGCGCTGAGCAGAGCGGCCTGTTTGTTTCCGAGAAAACGACAGATTCAGTAATTCCTACGTATACAAGGACCGATCCACGACTTCCTATTCCTCGGATGCTTCGTTTCATTCTTAATAAATATGGAATTGGGGTTCGTGCCTGTTTTATGCTACATTAATATCTTCTATTTTTTATAATCTTAGCCCCCCGCAGAAAGCAATTCCAAATGGACGGCAAGGGAGAGAGAGAGAGAGAGACGGATCGGACGTAGGTTCGGCAGATCCGATGAACCGGATCCGACGAGGATGTGGGGCCCACATCCACGTGACATCCTCCTCAGACCGTGGGTGACGTGACATCCTCTCTGCCTTTCGTTTTTTTTGAATATTGGGTGAGCCAGTGGGGCTGATGCCGTCGTCACTCACCAGCGGATATGGAAATCACATATGCTGCAGATCCCATTTTTTTCTCCTCCGATCATCCCTCTCTCTCTCTCTCTCTCTCTCTCTTCGGGCCCAGCTGATCCCGTCGGCGCGTCGTTCCTCCACAGAAAACGGCGGGGGTTGGGGGGGGGCGAGGAATGGATCGACTATAGGGATAAATTTTGAGGTCCAGGGAGATGATGAGCTCCCTGGGAAGGAGTGGACAAACCAACCACGGTGGGGGAATTCTTATCGTCTCCTTTTCCGTGGGTTTGAGATTTTTCTCTGGTTCTGATGGTTTCCGGGTGTAGTAATCTCTTCTGGGAGAGGCGAGGGATGGTCTTTCCTTCCAGGCCGCTCAAAGGCCATCCGGTTCTGCCGCACGCCGTCCACGAATCTGAGCGCGTGGAGCTGATATGGCGGAGGGTGGGGGAGGAACGGGCATCTCCCCGAGCCTCACACTTACGTCAGCTTCCCCAACTCTTGGTGGCTGTCGCCTTCCATTTTTCTTCCCCCTCGTCGCCCTCGTCCACCAACCCGAACCCTAGGCCCACCATCACCGCCACTGGATCTGTGCGGCTCCGGGGGGACGGGGTATATCGCGATCAGAGCGGAGCGAAGAGATTTGAGGAGGGTAGCGGCGAGGGGGGATAGTGGAGGGAGGAGCAGAGGAGGCAAGGCCCTTTTAAGCCTGCTTCTGCTCTCCCCTTCTCTGCCTTCCGTATTCGTCCGCATCGGCCAGGCGCGCCTGGGGAGGAGAGGAAGTAGCGGAGATATCCATGGAGCGCGCAAGGAAGCTTGCCAATCGCGCGATCCTCGACCGCCTAGTTCACCTGACCAGGCAGCGCCCTCGTCCCCTCCAACCCCACCTCATCTCCTCCCGCTACGTCTCTTCACTCGCCCGCTCCATCTTCCCTAACCAGTCGCCGTCTGTACCGTCCTCGCCCTTGCCCTCGGTCGATCTGCTGCCCCGCAATGCTGCCGCTGCAGCCACTGCCGCCCAGAGACGCTCCATATCGGTTGAGGCCCTCAAGCCCAGCGACACGTTCCAGCGACGCCACAATTCTGCTACCCCTGATGAGCAGGTCAAGATGGCGGAGGCGTGCGGATTCCCGGGGATGGAGCAGCTCATCGACGCGACCGTCCCCAAGGCCATCCGTCTGCCATCCATGGAGTTCTCCAAGTTCGACGAGGGGCTCACCGAGAGCCAGATGGTCGACCACATGAAGTACCTGGCTGACAAGAACAAGGTGTTCAAGTCCTTCATCGGGATGGGCTACTACGGCACCCATGTCCCCGCCGTCATCCTCCGCAACATCATGGAGAACCCCGGATGGTACACCCAGTACACGCCCTACCAGGCGGAGATCGCGCAGGGTCGCCTCGAATCCCTCCTCAACTTCCAGACCATGATCACCGACATCACCGGCCTCCCCATGTCCAATGCCTCTCTCCTCGACGAGGGCACCGCTGCCGCCGAGGCCATGGCGATGTGCAACAACATCCAGAAGGGCAAGAAGAAGACTTTCCTCATCGCTGCCAACTGCCACCCGCAGACCATCGACATCTGCCGCACCCGCGCGGAAGGATTTGCCCTCAAAGTGGTTACTGCCGATCTCAAGGACTTCGATTACAGCTCCGGCGACGTGTGCGGGGTGCTCGTGCAGTACCCGGGCACCGAGGGCGAGGTGCTGGACTATTCAGATTTCATCAAGAATGCTCACGCTAACGGTGTAAAGGTCGTCATGGCGTCAGACCTGCTGGCTCTGACCGTGCTGAAGCCCCCTGGCGAGCTGGGCGCGGACATTGTCGTCGGCTCCGCCCAGAGGTTTGGCGTTCCAATGGGATACGGAGGCCCCCACGCGGCCTTCCTGGCAACCTCACAGGAGTACAAGCGGATGATGCCTGGGAGGATCATCGGTGTCAGTGTCGACTCCACTGGGAAGCCTGCTCTTCGAATGGCAATGCAGACGAGGGAGCAGCACATCCGTAGGGACAAAGCAACAAGCAACATCTGCACTGCTCAGGTTCTTAAAAAGTTTTCAAATACCGGGCAATATCACCATTTATATGCCACTGCGTTTATAGTCATATATAATTATCATTCACAGGCTAATTTTAGAAATTCTCTTAGAACCTTTTTTTATTACCCTTATTTCTTAAAATATTATTTTCATTGATAAAAAAAATCTTTTTCGGAAAATCTATTTTTGTGGCCTTTGTATGCGTCGAATATGCAATTTTTCATGTTAATTGTATTTTCCTGATTTCTATGACTTTCCTTCTTCAATTCTCGTTTTCTGTTATTCTTTTTTGTGCCCTGCGAAACAGGGGACAAAATTTATGTTCCACAACAGCCAACATCGAGGAATTTTTCTCTAATTTTATAGCTCATGTGCAGGCACTGCTGGCAAATATGGCTGCAATGTATGCCGTCTATCACGGCCCAGCTGGTCTTAAGGCTATTGGTGAACGTGTTCATGGTCTTGCTTCAACTTTTGCATCAGGCCTCAAGAAGCTGGGAACAGTGACTGTCCAAGAACTGCCCTTTTTTGACACCGTGAAGGTCAAATGTGCTGACGCACATGCAATCGCAGAAGCTGCTTACAAGCACGAGATAAATCTGAGGGTTGTTGACTCAGAAACGGTATGTAACATTGGCAACTAATCTCAGTAAGATTGGCGATAATTATTTCCATTCTTGTGTGATCTTATTTTTTATCATATCTCGCTGGCTGTTCAGATAACTGTAGCTTTCGATGAAACGACCACATTGGAAGATGTAGACACTCTGTTCAAAGTATTTTCTGGTGGAAAAGCTGTAAGTGTGCACGGTGGCAGAAAGAATTATAATGAATTCTGATTATGTTAAGTGATTTTGTTAACAAGACATGAATTATATAGGTGGGTTTCACTGCTGCATCTCTCGCCCCTGAGGTTTCAACTGTCATCCCCAGTGGACTTATCAGAAAGAGCCCATATTTGACACACCCAATCTTTAACATGTATGAATTCTTGCTGGAAAGTTGCCTCTTCTTAGGCTACCTTATGCATATCTGATAGTTGTTTTTCTTCCTCTTGCAGGTATCACACTGAACATGAACTTCTTAGGTACATCTCTTTGTTGCAATCAAAGGATCTTTCATTATGTCACAGCATGATTCCCCTCGGCTCTTGCACAATGAAACTGAATGCAACAGTGGAGATGATGCCTGTGACTTGGCCCAACTTTGCAAACGTTCACCCTTTTGCCCCTACTGAGCAGGCCTTGGGCTACCAGGTTATTGCTAATTTTCTCCCTTAAAATTCCGGCTTTGATTTCTTCATTTTGAAAACTTCAATGCACAATAGAAAGGAGGAATAACTCTCGAAGCACCTCCATGCAATTCAGTGGAAAGTTCTGATACGCTGCTTTATTTCTTTGTGAAGGAAATGTTCGAAAATCTAGGTGATCTCTTGTGTACAGTCACTGGCTTCGATTCATTCTCATTGCAACCCAATGCGGGTGCTGCAGGAGAATATGCTGGGCTTATGGTCATCCGTGCTTATCATATGGTATGTCAGGGTTGCCAGATTATTTCTTATTGTTTGGAAATTCAGTATGATTCAGGACCTTCTTCAGCTTATCTTTGGGCCAGAATAACCAGTAATTCATTTTGCGTGTTAAAATTTTGTAGTCAAGAGGTGATAGCCACCGGAATGTCTGTATCATTCCCGTGTCCGCTCATGGGACAAATCCTGCCAGCGCAGCCATGTGCGGAATGAAAATTGTTGCAGTTGGGACCGATTCCAAGGGAAACATTAACATTGAGGAATTGAGGAAAGCTGCTGAGACTCACAAGGACAACTTATCTGCCCTAATGGTATGATCGATTATGAGATACCTAATTGTTTTTCTTTAATTCTGAACCTACTTGAGTGATTTAAACAACTTAGTTTCTGACCTACTTCAGACCATATATGCATATTAAACAACTTGGAAGACATTTTTTTGATGGCCTGTACCACGAGAAAGACTGAATTTTGTTGATATATCAGTGCAGACCTTCTTCTGGCATTAGATGCATTCTAGATAGGGGATTTCGCTTATTTGCTTTTTAATGTTTCCGCAGGTGACATACCCTTCAACTCATGGAGTTTACGAAGAGGGAATTGATGAGATCTGCAAAATAATTCATGACAATGGGGGCCAAGTTTACATGGATGGTGCTAACATGAATGCACAGGTTTAATTTCTGCCTTTTGGTGAAACTATTGTAGGTGATAATTGAATGCATCTGTCTCGCATTTTTTTATAGATTGAGTGAGTTGATGCAGTTCCCAAGAAAAAAAATTGTTTGATCCATTTGAAGAAAGTCAATTTATTGCGCTTAATTTTATTTATTCTATAAATAATATTCTGACTAAAATGATAACTATTTGAATAATAGGAAGTGCCCTTTAAGTTGCGTGAATAAAAGAAAACCTTTTAGGGATTATCTTTCGATGTTTTCAAAGTCTTCCTTCGGAATGATATGATAGTGTCCAGGCTGTTGTTGTTGAATACAGCTTGTTTACCTGGACATTTGTCTCAGCCCTTGAAGCTCATATTTTTTTCCTCTTTCTTTTTCATTATTTAGACATACTCGCCAGAGCCATGTTCACATTCTATCTTCTGGCTTAAAATTTTCGTGAATATGGAAACCTATATGCTCTATTTGTTTTTCATTTATGTTCTAGTTTTTTTGGCATCCCTTAGAATTAAGGGGGTTGGAACATTAAAATTTCTCATTCACTCCTTAGGCTGTCTTTGTCTACCTTCCATCGAACTCAGGATCGAAATTTATGTCAATCTGATTAGACTGTATTTATTTTTTGAAGGTTAAAACCATTGAATCTCGGTTACACTCTGGACACGACCATAAGCCTGTTTTAGTTTCATGACACGTAGCAATTTTTACCGCCATCATCTTGTTGTCGTCTGTGCCTTCTGCACATTCTTTTCATTATTGTGACACCACGTTCCGTTATTTCAGGTTGGTCTGACAAGCCCCGGTTGGATTGGGGCAGACGTATGCCATCTTAACCTACACAAGACATTTTGCATTCCCCATGGTGGAGGTGGTCCTGGAATGGGGCCCATTGGTGTGAAGAAACACTTGGCGCCGTTTCTGCCTTCTCATCCAGTGGTATGTTGTCGTACTGAAACCTACTATATTTGCAGACTAATGTCCCGATGTGGAAAAAATCTAAGGTCCTTATTTTGTGCATATACATTTTTTTCCCCAATATTTTCTTAGATTTTGCCACGATAATTTCCACCCTATTCAGTGCTCAATCTTGTGTTATTCTGATGGTAACTGGGTCTCTAGTTTGCTTCTTAGCTGCGTGTTCTTCTCCCGCTTTCTCATTTTCTTCCCTTTCCTTCATCAAATGACAGTGCAAACCCACTAGTTCTTGTTTGCATCTCACAGATTCTATCTGATCTTAAGTTAGTGAGGTAGGGATGTTGATGGAATGGTCGTTTTTTCTTCTTTAAATGGGTTATTACGACCCACCTCTGTTTAGATATGTCATTTATCGATTGAAAATCGCATTAATTCTTGATGTAGTTATATTTAAAGATGATGTCTGAATTATAAATGGGATAGACAGTCGAAAGGCAGGGAGTGATGAGGGAACCAGATTCAATTTAAATTGCAAGTCTTTGGTATTTCCCATAGTTTTACAGATGCAACAAGGATTTGATAAAGCCTGAAGAGGGCCCAATTTGTATAGCCTTGTGGAAAGCAGCACATAAGAACAGGCTACCTCAAGAGTTAGCGTCCTTGCTGAACTAGGAGAGTTGGTTACAAAAAATAAGGAAGGATGCTTTGATTCTTAACTTATTGTAGAGAAGTAGATTTGGCATCTGAGATTTTTGAAGGAAGAATCTTTACATTGCTAAGGTCTCTTTTAAAAAATTTCCGTCTATTATTGATATTCTATGTTGATACACATATGATTAATTTAGAACCATCTTCGATCCAGTTCCTTTTCATTCTTATGTGCCATTGACTTTTCTTGTCTGCATGCTATGCTAGGTCTCCACTGGTGGAATACCACTCCCTGAGAAGACCGAGCCTCTTGGCACCATTTCTGCAGCTCCTTGGGGTTCAGCACTTATTCTGCCTATCTCATATTCGTACATAGCCATGATGGGGTCCAAAGGCCTGACAGATGCCTCGAAGATTGCTATTTTGAACGCAAACTACATGGCAAAGCGCCTGGAGGTTGAGTTTTCTTAGCCTGTTTTAATTATATGGCCTTGAACCCAAACTGGTATAGACCCAGATCTACCCTTGTTAAAGTCTTGGCCAGCCAGCTCTTTATAATTTTTTGATGTCTAGCACAGCAACCTCCCTTTTTATCTTCTTTCCCTCTTTCTAATTCTCTCTACCATTTGTCCGAAATGCATGAGCTTAGACCGAATCCACCTTGAGGTCTCATTATTGGCACATGTGTCGGTTGGCATTGAACCAGGCCATTCGTAGGAAGAATAATTAGTTGGCCTTTTTGACCCCAGAATCTTTAGATAATTATCTTGATGATGATTTTAAGCTGATTTTTTCGGAATAATTCCGTATTACTATCAGTCAAATCGTTTTTTTAATCTTGAGATATGTATCTGATTAGTATTTGTGTGGCAGAACCACTATCCAATCCTCTTCCGTGGTGTCAATGGCACAGTTGCTCATGAGTTCATTGTTGATTTGAGAGGTTTCAAGGTGATTGATACTCCGCAACCTTGCTGTTTCCTTTAAAAAAATTTTACTTTAGACCCGAGAGCAAATTGGAATCCACTGTTCTGCAGGCCACTGCTGGTATAGAGCCTGAGGACATTGCAAAACGTCTCATAGATTATGGATTCCATGGCCCGACTATGTCTTGGCCTGTTCCTGGCACCCTCATGATTGAGCCCACCGAAAGTGAAAGCAAGGTACTTAAGAAGACCTTCTTCTTCGTCTCTCTCTCTCTCTCTCTCTCGTTCTACATTTTTTCCTTCATACCATCAGAGCATCAAGGAAGGTGATGTTTCCCATCGCAGGTTGAGCTAGACAGGTTCTGCGATGCTCTCATTTCAATCAGAGAAGAAATTGCCCAGATTGAGAGTGGAAAAGCTGACATCAACAACAACGTCCTGAAGGTAAATGATCTGTTCCTCTGCCTGTAAACATTGATAATGCTTGCCGTAGAAAATTTCAACTGCTAAATCTCCTCTTTTAATGGAAAATTATCGGGAAAAAGAATAACCATGCGTCGGTTATCACAAGATCGGTGACAAAATATGCCATCCAATCCATATGAACAGTTTCATTGCCTTTTAAAACGTTATGGATGCTGCAGAAAAAAATCCTAATTAATAATCCTCTTTTGGAAATTTACGGGGTAAAATTTTGTTTTGATCCATTTGCTCATCAAAATTACTTCCGAAATTATGCCATCCGATTAATATGAATGGTTTCATTTGATGTCCAGGGAGCTCCTCACCCCCCATCTTTGCTCATGGGCGACACATGGACGAAGCCATACACCAGGGAATACGCAGCCTTCCCTGCTCCATGGCTCCGATCTGCCAAGTTCTGGCCCACCACTGGTAATTTACTCGTCCCATACCCACCATCCCATTTCGGGTATTTTCTTCCCTCGAAACCCATACGAATTCTTGTTTTGAATTCCCTTGTGGGTTTACCAGGCCGCGTGGACAACGTCTACGGTGACCGCAACCTCATCTGCACCCTCCTCCCGGTCTCACAGATGGCGGAGGAGCAGGCGGTGGCCTCTGCGTAGGCCTGTCCCCTACCTCTGCATGTATTTTTCCTAGTCTTCCTTTGTATTCTGGGGAATCGGGGGCGGGGGTAGCCTCTCTTCTGTGCCACCATGTACATAGATTTCTGGGAGCATAAGCTCTCTATCACCCTCCACCCCCATGGCTGGCTACTGATATTCTCGTTCTATGTACATTTCCAGCTCCCCTTCTGATACATTTCGCACCGTGCAAATCATTTCGAGTTGATTTGTTATTATTAAATGCCATTTGAAATGATATCCGATACAGAAGGAAGGGAAAAGGGGAAGGCTCTAGGCCTGATTGCTCTGTCTATCGTTGGAAGGGTGGGCTTCGTCACTGTTTATACTAGTGGAGGCTCGTCTTTTTCTCATTGTATCGAAGCTCTGAAACTCTGGCAGCGCCGCCGGGTGGGGAACGAGAGGAGCCTCCCCTCCTCTTCGTGACTGAAGAGTACGGCAGATCAGCCGCGGCTTGCCTCAGTCTGCTGGCCTCACGCAGGCACGGGGCTTCTGAAGTGTGAGAGTAGGTTATTCGGCTCCTGATGACGCAAGTGGGCGGGTTCTCATGCTGTGGCCCTGCTCCCTCTGGTGATTTCTTCATGTGCTCGCCCACCCCGTTGGTCTGGATTTCTTACACGAGGCCACCTCGCCTTCCCCAACCTCGAAAGCCTACGAACAGTAAGATCGTCCTTGTCACAGAGAGAGAGAGAGAGAGAGAGAGAGGCGCAGTAACACAGCAAGAGAGAAGCTCCAACAGATAAAGAGTGACAGAGATAGGTAGATGATGATGATGAGCTCTATCAACTCAGAAGGCGGAAAGAAAACACTGAGACACTGCGATCTATGACCCTTCAATCGATTCTGGATAACGAACGCCGGCGACTGCTTAGCCTATCATGAACTGACGAGACTGAGCGGTGTCAGTAACCGGGCCGGGCCCGTTCTTCCCCCCTCCCCCCTGCGGTGCCTGCCACGGGGGACCAACGCGAAGAAATATGACCAAATTTGACCAGAGGAGCGGACCACAACGTTCCCCACGCAGAGAAGGCATTATCCAGGCTCGAGATCCGCCCAGCAGGGCCCTCCTCGCCAGCCGTTGGCCCCCGCGTTCCACTGGACGGAAGGAACGCCGGGACGGGCGGGTGGTCCAAACGGTGGCCACATCTGGCTAGCGCGCCATCCCCTTGCCTGATTTGTATGTCGTTTTCTACTTAATAATAACACCAACGAGAGAAATTTTCCAGTCTTGGATGTATCTTCCAGCTGGGTGGCCGACGTGGCGGGGGCGACCTCCTGTTCTGTGTTTTTTGTTTTTGGGCAGTGAACTCGCACCCAAGTGGTGTCGCAAGTTGCACCCTTGAGGGTTATCTAGAGATGAAGGCCTTCTTTTGGAGACGTTTTAATTTTTGGTTGACAGTGCCATTATCTAGTAGTAACATACATTGTGAATTGCCTGTATGTACTTCTAGTAGTAACTTTTGAAGTTGCACGCTTGTTAATTTCCTCACATGATATGCTTTTTTAGACCTTAGCGCTAAATTCAATTAATCAGACCCTTAAACACAATAACACTCATCATCAAATTTAAAAGAAAAAATTGTAGCATGCATCAACAACCTAGTTCATGGGTTTTATAGCATACTTACTGGAAACACATTTATTATCATCTGCAAGCAACAATCATTTTTCCATTATAAAACTTCACCTATTTAGTTATCTAGTATGTTTTATAAAAACATGATCTTATATAATTCCCCATCATTATATTTTGTATTATCATGCCCAATTAGTCACTTATATATGTTTATGTCATGTTCCTCATGCCATTAGTCACTTATATCCACAAAATTTGTAAATTTTCATGCCATTTGAGTTGTGCTCCTTTATATGTTCATGTCATGTTCCTCATGTTTTTATTATAATATCAATATCACCCGCATGCAGAAATGATTGAGCATATTTAATGACACGTAGACATGAATCTCATAATCTAGGCTCTTTATCACACTGTGTTCGAACATAGATAAATCAAATACATCATATGCATGTATTTTTGCACAATTTTGGTCATGCAGATCGATCAAAGGTCTTGAGAAACTTCTCATTTGTTGAGAGTATGAAAGAGTTTTAGAAATTGTGGACTAAATTGTAATATGGTATTTTCTGTCGTAATATAAACAAAGATCTCATCTGGCTTAATGCAAACCTCTTGACCACACCCTATATTATATCCTTTAAACATTGTATGGGGTACCTAATTATCGTTAGTTTAAGCCCCGATACAAATATCTAGATGCATCAATGTTCTGAAGACATTAGACATTCACTAGAGAAGGAAATTTTTATGAGAGGAAATGTGAATACTCTATAAATAGGGCTTTAATACAAGCAAGCTTATTAATATAATATGCTAACATTAGAGCATAATAATTGTATTATTGCAATTATTTAAATTAGCATGTCTTGATGCTTTTACAAGATAATTCATATTGCAAGTTTGACGTAAAAGGATTCGTTCAGCGCACAATTCAATTTTGTATCAAGATTATGGTTATATTTTTAAAAAATAAAATTAATGCTACAACCATTCGGATGTCATACAGGAACTTCAAAGTTCTTATTCTGACAAATTTTTGGGGCCCGGGCTTCGACATCAGACAGATAGAGTCAGAAGGAAAACACGGGGGGAAGCACTGGAGGGGAGGGGTCCTTTTACCTCCAACCAGATCCATCGATCACGGGAGGGGAGAGCCATCCTCTTCTTCCTCCGCCAAAGTCGAGAACTTCGTCACGATGGTTTCATCTTCCCAATGAGAACCTCTTCACTGTTCATTCCGGGACCGAAAGTTGTGGCGCCCCCGGCACATCCTGCCAGGCAGTGGATACTTCACAAGGACGAGGGGACGCCACTGCGGGGGGGGGTGGGGGGGGTGGCCGACGGGGGCGTAAGCTTCTGTCTCGGCATGAACGGTGCAGCTGGCTTCTCTTCGAAATGCAGAGGGCTCTGGGGTTATCTCTCCCGCTTAAACAACAGGCTGGTATTAGCTTCATGATAGGATCGGATGGTTTCCTATCTCTGCTTCCTTTTAAGAGCGATTAGAGTCGGCTTCGAGATAGGAGGATAATGGCTTCGAGATGGGATGAAGTGTGCCTCTAACCAGGGGAAGAAATCACGGGCTATGGACACGAGAGACAAATTATGAGGAAAGGAACCGATATCGAACTGATCAGAATCGGGAGGCGCTGCGTCCGCTAACGTAGTCTCGTCGGGATTCGCTAATTTAAAACAAAGTCTTTGCCTGAGGTTTCGATTATCCTTCCGGTAGATATCTATGGGGAGCAAGTTTTCCCAAACAGTTTCGACCCAAGAACTGATTTTTTGAATCGATTTTTTTAATTAGAATGCAAGGGGGCAATCTACCTTCAGAGAGTTCATTCTCCTAGATAAGATGAACATGTATAAAATTGGCTTGTCTGAGCCTAGAGCTATAATTTGTTGTTGATATAGATCTGATCAGTTACTTGGGTCTTAGAATTCTTAGGAATAGCACGGTTATCAGCCATTCTGCACTTTATAGTAGACTAGGAACATTTTCGGATAGAGTAGAGGAAGAATTATGTTCCAGTTAATCAAGGGAGCATCATGGTTGATGAGGCATGTCCTGATGACATTATTCGAAGCTTCTCAATCTCTCTCTATCTGTTTATAGGAGCTTCCCTCTGGCTATGTTTTGATGCTACGCTCTCTATCCATCCATTTCCCTCTCTTTCTATGAGATCCTCACTCTCTCTCAGACAGCTTCTCTCAAAGAGGCCCCTTGGATTCCACAGCAGACATCTTGCCAGGCGATGTGCCGTCTGGAAAAACCTAGAGAGAAGGCAACTCAAAGTCCGTGACCGTAAGCTTATCCATTAATCTACTCAATCAACCAGAAAGTTTCGATGGAAATATGCTGACAAGGGGATTACAATTCGAATCGGAAAGGATAATGATCGGCGAATTTTATTTCATCAATTTATTTATATATTTTCTGAGCGAATAAATGGACTAGAACCAGGATATGATGGACCACCTCTGTACGTGAGAGTAAGCAATTTTTAGTCCGGGGATTTGTGCCGAGGGTATCAAAAGGAATGTCGTTCATTAAATGTTAAGAGAAGAGAAAGTAGCCGAAGGTGATGGGTTGTCTGAAGCATGCAGACAGAGTGTCAAGGACAGACCGAAAACGACGCTTCTTGGACTCTCTCAGCAAATTGGTGCCTGGTTCTCTCTCTCTCTCTCTTGCCCTCTCCCTCTCCGGGTGTGAGGAGATGGTGGGCGGGGAGGTGGGGTGGACATGCCCAGGAGACTGGCAGGCCCTGTACGTATCCGTGCTCTTGATCATAGAATTTAATGAGATTGTCCGATCAATTCTCCCTATCCACAGGGCACCGTGACGAGAGCGATTTGACAAGATAGAATTGGACAACGGCCAATAATCCCGACTACGTTTCTTTTCAGATTCAAGCTCGGATATCCCTGTTGGTTATTAGATATTTCTATTTCCCTGATATTGCTGCCCCCTGTAGAAACCTACGGTGACAAAATGTCTCGGCTCAACGGTCCCTTGCTTCCGCCGATCCCCTCTCATCTCTTCGGTCCCGTGGCGCTGATTTCACAAGGGAGGAGCCGGCGGAAGGGGGATAGCGAAAGAAGAACTAGAAGGCGGGGGCGCTCCAAAGGCGGGGACAGTATATTTACAGCGGAGATAAACATGAAACGTCTAATCTCCAGTTGCTAGTCCGGCGTTCCCTGTCGCTTCGCCTGCTCCGACATTAAATGCTTCTTGTCAGTATTAAGGTAGCGATAGAGAAGAGAGGGGAAAGAGAGGAGAGAGAGGCTGGAGAGAGAGAGACGTGTGCATGCCAACATGCAGACCTGTCCTCCTACATACCCCTTCTATTCTCTAGGATTATTCCTAAAATAGTGCCCCCGATGGAGCCCGGTCGGCCGGGTCCCCTTCATCTTGGAAATCTGTTCTTGGCGGCACGTCCGCCTCCCTCTTCCTAAACCCGCAGTCTGCCTCTCTCTGAGCCGTTCTCAGTGAAGCGGCGTCGGGATCTCACGTGAACGGCCCTTTGGCTTCAGTCAGGGGCGCCCTACAAAAAAAAGTCTTGCCCTTCCGATTATGTCTTTCAGGATCCACCAGGCCTTCTCCGTTTAGCATCGGCTCTGGGTCTACTTCGCGACCCCTCCTCCCTACTTTCTATTTAATTGGTCCTGTAGACTGATCTATCTCTCTCTCTCTCTCTCTCTCTCGCCCTCCCCCCATGACTCCGGTTCCAGAGTACGAAGGTTCTTCCCCATGTACTATTCTCGGCAACCCACGCGCAGGAGGATTTTCTCTCGACGGTGAAGACCAAACTGATGATCATCTGCAAGAGAAGGTGCGCAAATTATTCATGTAGACAGACGCTATTTAAGCGTTTCATTCCTCAAGAAGAAGCCTCCCCTATCGGATCTCACGATTCGGAGATCTCCCTCTTTCCAGGCCAATGAACACTCCCCTTCGAGGGGATCCACAGGGTGCGGCAGTTTCCCTACATCATCGTCCACGGTCACCAAAGACGACGAGTCAGGAGATATCTCCAACGGCGGTGCTACCTTCAGCTGGATGCCTTCCAAGATGAGGATCATGAGGAAGATGATGAACTCAGGGGGGATCAACGGCACAAAATCGAGTAAGAGCTCGCCGGAGCTCCGTGATCACCAGCTATTGATCCCATACAATAGTAGCAACCGAAGTGTGCAAACTGGAGCTATCAGGGTCTGTTCGGACTGCAACACCACAAAGACCCCACTGTGGAGGAGCGGCCCTCAAGGCCCCAAGGTTGCCGCCACCCCCTTCCTCGTAAATCCTATTTCTATTGATAGCATATTTTCATCGTCAATTCTCAAGTACAAACTTCTATCGCTTCGCTGCAGTCCCTTTGCAACGCTTGTGGGATAAGGCAAAGGAAGGCAAGGAGGGCCATGGAGGCGGCTGGTCTGATCCCTGCCGCAGAGCAGACGAAGGCACGGAAGGAGAAGATTGTGCAGAGCGAGTGCACTATCCCTTTCAAGAAGAGGTGCAAGTTTACATCTGCTCAGCCTCGGAAGAAGCTCCACTTCGACGAGTTCACCATGAGCATCAGCAACAGCTCGGCGTTCCACGGCGTGTTTCCCCAGGACGAGAAGGACGCCGCGGTATTGCTCATGGGCCTCTCTTATGGCCTGATCCGTAGTTAAGCTATGGCGCCTCAGATCTCTCCATTTTGACCTCTTTTCCGTTCTTTGGCTGTGTCGAGTGCTTGCTTGTAGAGTGATGAAGAGTTCAATAACAAAGTGATCTTCGGTTGTGGCCATAACTATCGAGATTAATAAAGATTTCCGTCCCAGATTCTACAAGTCTTCTCCTTTCTGGGTTGTAGTTAACCTCCGGCACTACGGTCATTCCGCCGAGGATGTCCTTCAATGCTCATTATCATCTTCTCTCCAAACCTCTGACTTCCCCAAGAATCCGTGGAAACGGCGAAAATAAATCATCAAGACGTGAAGGAACATCCTAGTCGGTTGTGAAATGCTTGATCCGAAGAGAGAAAGAGATTCCCATAGTCTCTCCGTGAGGTACAAAACCTTCCCAGAATACAACGTGGCGAGAAATTCTCAAGACAGTAGATCGGAAACTTTAGAACCAATTCTGGTCCGCCGCGGGATGGAGCACACAGGCGACTCATCTCCCTCGTTCTTTAGCAGCGTGTGAGAAGAACAGGCATTACGGAGCTGTTCTTCCTCAAAGCCGATTGAGGTGCAATGCCAGCTTAATAGACCTAACGAAGCAGCAGATGCACTAGATATTAGATCAGATATCTGGAAGACAGCTCGGCGGCGGCGATCCTTCACCTTACTCCTACGTATGGGCGATGGGGGAAAGGGCGCCGGGGGGTGTTCGGGACTCAGCCGACCGGCGGTTGGGGACGCAGACCCCGCACGGGGGCTGTGCCGGCGAGGCCAGGCTTGGGCTAATAGGGACGACGTGGGCACTAAAGAAAGCATCATGAGCAGCAGAGGGACCGTGTTCTTTGGCTGCGGCCGTGGGGATTTGTACGAAACAAGCGAGTCCGGGCGGCGAGAGATTCTTGATGTGTTCAAGCCCCTCGTGCAGCCAATCTAAACCTTCGATCTCACTCAGAAGACGGAGATTCATTAAACTCCACCGCTGAGATTAATATATTTTTCTCTGCAATAACACTCGGTGGGTAAAAGGGGAGGAATTAGCATTTATATAGAATACTAATTGCCAGTTAGTTTTGAGTAGGATGAACTAGCGTGTTTACTATTCTACGGATGCCTACCGCGTAACTATTACTATATCTGCCAACCAAGAACCTCAAACAATTGGCCTGCATACGCGAATAGGCTCCCTAATTCATGTAGAACAAAAGATTTGGCCATAACAAGTGTATGTACTCTACTGAGTGTCTCTTAATTTTTGGTTACGTAGCGTAATAATTCGATCAAAACCCACCGTCGCTTCTAAGTTAGATTTCATTTGTGGTTTCCTAGTGACATAGCCTAAAAGTCAACTTTGGGTGAGAAAAATCGTCAAACTGTCCATCTTTTGGTTAATACGAGTCAAAACTTTCCTTACAGGACGATTCTATGGTTTATTTTGACTTTGGTGCCCCATGAGGAGTTGAAGGCATGTGACTGCCTAGACTGGGGTTGAGGTCCACGAGGAGGCAATTAGCTACCCATTTTCTGGGATTTTCTCTAAGCCGAGGCCCACCCCGGCCCTAATAACATTACGAACAACCTAAAAATGCCGGGCCTACAACACACACCTCTAGAGAGAGAAGATCTTGCAGACTAAGGCAAAGGAGAGGGAAATTCTGTAGAACCTAGAAAGATGGCCTGAAAGGCGGACGGGCATCAGATGCTGAATTCGTGGTGGTAGAGCTTCGGTTTTCGAGGAGGCCCAAGAGTATGTCCGTGCAGAGAGATCACGTGAGAGATGGCGAACCCAGTTCAATCTCTCCCTCGAGTGCCCTAATTAACGTTGCCGTTTCTCAAGGCAGTTGTACGCGCAGTAAGAACACCACACGTAACTGCTTCTCTCAGGCCTGGCGGCCCTACAGCCGCCTCTCCGCCGGGCTGTTTCCTCAGAATCATGCATGGCGCCGTCCTGTCCTCACATCCACATAGTGGTGGAGAACTGCCCAAGCATCTCTCTCTCTCTCTCTCTCTCTCTCTCATTCGGATTCATTATCCCCTAAAAACTTCCAAAACGTTAACATTTTTAGTCCTTAGATTACCCGAGTTAATCACAATTAATTTATGCCAACTACGAATCATCGCATGGAAAAAGACTAAAGACACTTTATAGGAAAACGTTTCATCACGTATCCTCCCTTCTATTGGGCCTGAGCCGAACATGAGATAGCAGAGAAGACTGCCCCCTTTCCTCCGATATCTGGGCATTGTGGGGTCTATTGGTTTTAGAATGATGGAGTAATTCAAATATTCTGAGAGTATTCTTCATAATTCGACTAAATACTACGAATTAATTTCTAGAGAAATTGGTCAATGAAAAAAAGCAGGTTTACCCATCATTTAAGTGGTGTATAAGTAGCTAAAAACCTCTCCTTCCACACCAATTCGTCAACCTCTGGAATCAACAACAGATGCTCGTTTCATGTGGAAGACGGGTTCTCATCCAAAGATTGCCAACCTTTTCCAACCAGCTACGAAATTTACAGCCTCCAATTGGAACCAGAGAAGGATTAGAGTTGTCTTACACTCCCCGACCCCCTGCTGGGTCATCTGATGGATCACGTCAAAATAATGAAACATCATGAAGATAGAGCACGAGTTTGCTGACTGAAAGAGAAGGCTCATTCTGTATTCACTTCTTGATGATTCTGAACACACCCGTCCAGCTCTGAGTCAGCTAGCTGTAAGGACGGCCAGCACCGAAGGCCCTCCCTCGATCACCAGCCCCACCAAGACCTGTTCAATCACCAAGAACACAACTGGCTGGTCAAGACAATGGCGATTCACAATTACCCTGGACCCCTCTAGGCCTGGAACAAAGGCATAACATTCAAAAGAAAACCATGCACACCATTCAAAGGGTTGAACTATGATAAAAAATATATGACCAGGTTATCATGGAAATATCTGTTGAATGATTTGCAAGCCAGTTTTAAATCAGCACAAAAGTTGGGATGTTTGAAGTGTCTCAAATATCTAGTCTTGATTGACACCATGACAACGCCACGAATGCCCAGTAGACGTTATAATTTTGATGGTCATGGACATAGGTGTTGAAATGTGACTTAGAAATGCATATCAGAGGGGCCAAACTTGGAAAAAAAACACATGAATAAAAAGTAACGCACAGAATCAGGCAACAGTATTGGTGATCATTTACGATAATGAATCATTTCCTAGTGAAATATAAAATTTTCAGGGCTATTTGGCCACCAGTACTAGCTTAGTAAAAATTGGAAATACATAGAGGAATATTTCTTCCTACAGAACAATGGGACAGGATTATTCTTGTTTAAAGCCATTCAATGGTCTACTACACGAGAAGGCTTTTCCTCGATTGATTTGCCAAATTTAGCTACTTTGTCCTAATTAACCTCGCAGACTGCACTCTCTTCAATATTGGTTAAATAAAATATTGAATTAGACTCGATCGAAGTAACCAGGGTACATGAGGGACGTCGTCTTTTCATAGCGAGGGGAAAAACAGGACTGCAGTTTCTACCACCAATGTTAGACATTTACTGAACTTTAAGACCTAACGTTTTCGCACCACTCGTCTCTTTGTAAAGCAAGCATATGCTATTTATTGTAGGGATATTGTTCATTTGACTTGAATTGCAAGGCTTTTCTAGTGTCACCATTTTCACACATTCCATTTTTAGGGAATCCAGGTTTCTTAGTCACCTACTGAAGAGAGGGCTAACCTGGAAAAGCAGGTGGGGCACCACGAGCCATCTTAGTCAATTCAGCACTGACTTTCTGACCAGCTTCTTCCAGTATTTTGATAAGATCCTTTGCAAATCTTCCATTTGCTGCCGTAAAGAACGTGTAGGCTGTTCCTTTAGCACCAGCTCTACCGGTTCGGCCAATGCGATGGACATAATCCTCTAGGGATCCAGGAAAGTCATAGTTTACCACATATTTGACGTCCTTCACATCTGTCAGTGATTAAAATAATGAGATCAATGATAACAAAAATAATGAGAAAGAAATTCCGTGACAACAGAGCTTATCAGAAAAGAGAGAACTTGTCATGACGCTCACCCAGACCACGAGCAGCAACATCTGTAGCAATCATAATAGGACTCTTTCCGGCTTTAAACTCCGAGAGGACCCAGTCCCTTTCTGCCTGGCTTTTGTCACCATGAATTGAAAGTGCAGGCCAACCATCTGTGCGAAGCTGTCTAGTAATCTGATCGCAGCCCTTTTTGGTGTCCACAAATATAAGAATCCGACTGCCATCCATAATATCCTCCAACAGCTTCACCAATCTGATATGAATAAGGGAGATTTTTAATTGCACCCCCCGTTAAAGTCCAAATTAAGACAAAAGTGATCGAAGCATAGCCTACTTGTTATACTTATGGTTCTCTGAAACGACCTCGACATGCTGTCGAATTGCACGGTTGGCTGTCAGGTCCTTGGAACCAATAACCACCTGCGCCATTTCAGATGCCACCACTGTCAGACATTAACAGTGGGAGGAAAATGCAGTGGCGGCCAAAAAATTACCTTGTATGGATCATACAAGAATTGTCTGGCAAGTTGCTCAACCTCCTTGGGCCATGTTGCACTCCAGTATAGAGTTTGACGATCAGGTCGGATCTACCAAAAAAAAAAAAAAAAGAAGGTTATAATATCCTACAAGACAGGTAACATAATAATACGGGAAAAACCTTCATGTCTTTACTCAGTAACTTCTATGTTGAAAAATCTTAAGTACCTGAGAAACAATTTTCCTGATTTGAGGATCAAAACCCATGTCTAACATTCGATCCGCTTCATCCAAAACTAGGTATGTGACCCTCCGCAGGTTAGTGTGATGTGATTCTAACATATCAATCAGCCGCCCAGGTGTAGCAATGACAATCTCAACACCTGGTTAGAAAAGCAAAATAAGAGCGAATTTTTTCGCAGATGAAATATATATAACAAAGTAATTTTCACGAGGAACTTTTTTCATAAGAAGCAACCTTTCTGAAGGTCACGAATTTGTGGCCCCTTTGGAACTCCGCCATATATGCAAGTGTTTTTTATCTTTGATGAGGAACCAAACTTTGATGCTTCCTGTTGGATTTGAACAGCTAGCTCACGGGTAGGAGCTAGAACTAAAACAATTGGACCATCACCAGGTGCTGAAATTCAAGGATAGAGAAACTGACATAAAAATGTGCTGATAAAAACATAGGATTTTATTTCCAAAGCAAAAATTATGCAACATCCCCAAGATCAACAATTATGTGTAGATGATGTCTCCAGTGGCTTTTACATTATTCAGATTATTCTGCACAGAAATAAGCTCCGAAATACAAAAAATATAGATGTCACTGGTACGACAAGAAAATTAAGGATAACGATGGCATAAGCATACATACAAACGACCTAGCTGCTTGGTTATACGCCATCAAAATAACATAATAAAAGAATTATATCAAATAAACAAAACGGGAGAAAATAAAATAAGTATTGCACCTAAAAATGGCTGAGCGTTCACATGAACAATGGCAGGTAATAAATATGCAAGTGTCTTTCCTGACCCTGTTTCAGCAATACCAATAAGATCACGACCCTTCAAAGCCATTGGCCAGCCTTGAGCTTGAATGGGTGTTGGTTCAACAAATCCAGCTTTAACAATTTCCTGCAAGACATAATCTGGAGATTGAGAAAATATCAGTTCTTTTTTCCGGTGGAGAATTGCCTTCAAGTATTCAGCGATAGAAATAAGGAAAAAAACGAAAAAGAATCACTTGCTTTCTACCATTTTTTTTTTTTACTTATACGTCACAATACACCAAGTTGGTCTGCTCACATCCCAAACAAACACGAACTTGAATCTCATCTACAGGAATTGATTTTACTGCAAGGGCGGCCACTGACACTTATTTTTCCTGTCCTTGATCTCATAAAAATAGTACAGAACATAATCACTTACAACTGCGTGTATTGGCGAAATCCTTTCGAAATCTCTGATTCATTAAAATATTCGTTCTTTTCCCTATGTTTCCCTAGTTACATTCGCATTCCCTTCTTTCCGCCCTTGAATCCAAGATCTTTCGAATCACTGCTTCTTCCGAGAATTCACTCTGTACAAACAACATACAGATCATCTTTTCCTCTCATTTCGAATCCAACTCTTTGGTATTAAATGAAAGAATCCCGAGAGCTAATATGCGCGTCTAATGCTTTAAGGAGGGAAGTGACTCATTGTTATTGTACGAACTTTTACACATACCAGTATGAGAGATAGAGAGAGGGAGAGAAAGAATAATAAAAGTGCATGTCAGGGTTATTTGAGCACCCGATACAATTTTCCCTACAAATAGAAACTCAGAATATATGATTCCATTTAATCCGACGCTTACTCTTTCATTCATATAAACTATAAAAGCATTTTCGATGGCAATTCAATACACACTAACGCGTAGATTTATAAAAAACTAAAATTTTGATTTACAAAGGAGATGTAGTTACGTAACATTTAGATGATGAACAAACAAATAGGTAATTTTGAATGAAAAAATCTTCTCAACAAGATTAACTTCATGGACAGCCAAAGATCATAGGTACCAAAACTGAAAATGTTAACCATGGTGAATAACGCTGTACACATATACAAACCTAATTGCGTCAGTAATGCTTACTATTTGCATAGAAAAACATGGTGATTAATATTAGAGGTTTTTATGCTTTCTAAGAATGAAACTGACACTTCAGAACGTCTGTAGAAGTAATTAATAGAAGAAAATTAAGGATCCATCGTCTGGCTACATGCAGACATTGTCTGGCTGCATGGCCTGCACCAAATGATAGCGGATGTATTGATGCAGCATATCCTGTTGACCAATTTGGTGTTACCCATGCTTGTCATGCCCATGGGATGATTAGGAAGGGAGGATGTGAGGAATCTTCAAGATATCCAATCATCTCAAAGGTGGCAAGGACATAGAGACGGACGATGGTATGTTTAATGTGCATCCTCTTTTCTCTCCTTTTTTTGCTATTTTGCAATGATATTGATTTTTTTTACATATGATATTTCATGTGATTTCTACGCCACACTTTCACTTTGATTTATAAATCAGCAACAAAACATAGACGAAAGAAACCATGTAAGAGCTTTCATATACAAAGAAAGTTATTTTCAATGGCCCTACCCTCTAAGGAACCTCTTCTACAAAATTGATTCAGCGATGGTCTGTTCCATGTCACTTGTGATGGAGCTTTACTTTGAAAAACACTTAAACAACCTTTGATATTCCACTCCCGGAAAGAACCAAAACTAAGTATTTACAATCTGATACTCGTCAAGAATTTGCTATTGCCAGGCTTCGCGGAACATTTGGAAAGATGAAAATATATTGCAAGTGATAATGTGTTGCCATGACGAAATATTGACGTGGCGTTCCAGGGATAACGGAACTTCCTCTAAAATAGTAAGTTAACGACCTGGAATGTTTCTCATCACCCCAAAAAGACAGTTCTCGGGCAAACATATCCATCTCAGAAGCATAGTTTTACGATCCAAACAAGCTTAACTAAATATTACAGGCTTTGATGCCATATATAAAATATGAGTCAAAAAACTGTTCGAAGATTAGAGAACGTCCTAGGGATCGAGCTTTTTTACACATTAACAAAGCCTTTGAGGAGTCCCTTTCATTGTTACCTACATAGCAATTCAAATAACAATAACAATTGAAAGTTATTTAAAAAAATCGAGATATCCAAAGAGTGATAACAACAGATATAGGACTTTTCCCCACTGTACCTCATGGGCAGAAGATGATACTGGAACTCGATTAGACTTAAAGAGCGGGAGAAGGATGCGCAAATCAATCCAAGGTTTAGGTTATGGCCCAGCTTTCCAAGAGGGTCCGATAATTATGCATCCCAAATTAAGCCCAAATGACACCGCAGAGAAAGGGAGGAGGAAAAAATGTGTTACGTACCTGGGAACCCACTATCACGGAATTCTCTCACAGGTCTTGGCACGTCGCGACCCTCAATAGTGATTTCCCTTCTTTGCCGGTATGCCTCTACTTCTTCATCTGTCATGGACGCTACCGAAGGGGACTCCACATAGAAATTCTTCTCGAAAGGAGTCAGCCCGTCCAGGTCCGAGGCAGCGTTCTTCTCCCTCTTGCTGGATGAGTCCAAGCTCCTCCCATAGCTCTGAGAGCTACCGAACCCCACGTCACTGAAAACGCGGGAAAGAACAATGAGAGAGACGGACAGGCAGAAAATCCAGCACATCACCCAATCCCCCAAACGCCGCTTGCCGAGATCCAGTCAGACAAACCACCCATTTTCTCCTTCGTTTTCTCCATCTTTCTCACAAGGACTAGAACCTTTACCTTCTCCGGTCGCGGTAGGAGTCCGGATCGACGGCGCGGCTATCGTAGCGGCTCATCTCTCTCGTGAGCTCAGGCTCTGGTTCCTATTCTCTACCGCTCCAACGAGGACCAGGGAGAATCCCCCACACCCAAAGCAGCGGCAGACTGTGGGAAGGTACTAGACGAAGAAAGGTCGCAGCAGAAATGAGGGCGAAGCAGGAGAAATGAAGGGGAGGGAGACCAGGGCATACGAAATTGGGAGACCCAGTGAATCAATATTAATGGGCCTTCAGATATTTGGGCCGGCCCACTCGACTAAAGGCAGTCCAACGTTGCCTACATCACCCTCCATATTAAACGTTCCATTATTTAACAAAAAGTACACACGCGCACAGATATACGAAAAATAAGTATAAATAAATATGATTCATACTGTACGCTATATTTTATTATTGTGTCATAAAAAAATAGAAAATAGGTCACGAGTTAGGATGGAAAAAGGCGCATATCTCTACGGTATCCCTGGTTAAGTAACAGACGTAACCCAGGCGGGAAGACTCGGTTCTGGTCACCGCCTGGCCGGGTACCTCCTACAGTATCGAGCACGCAGTTGGTGCTTACATCGCGGAAGGAGCCGTCACATAACGAGTGACCACATCCCGCAGGAGAGAGCCGTACTCTGCTCCCCCAAGAAAATGGGCCACGTCCCCTCCCCCCTCTCTCTCTCTTCTTTATTTATCATCTCTGGCGCGACTCCTATCTCTCCCTCCCTTTCGTCTCTAATTGCCGCCTCCTCACCCACGCCCGCCTCCCTCCCCCCCAACTCGCCCCCTTCCTAGGGTTTCCACCTCCTTCCTCTCTCATCCCTCTCTGTTTGCAGACAAGGAGACAGCGGCGGTTGCGGGGAGAAGCAGACATGACAGACGGCAAGTCCCAGGACTCGTTGAACCTCTCCGATCTCGGCTCCACTCTCCCACCCAACACAGCCGGTACCATCGTATTGCATCAGTGGTGTTATTAGTAGTTGTCCCCTTCTTCTTTCTTATGGTCTTCCTCCTCACTTCGTTTGGGTTCTGATCGAGTTCAGGGAACACGGCGGGCCTAGTCGCTGCTCTCCAGGTTCCACTCTTCCCTCATATCCCCTTAAAACTTTCCATAGCATTCTATTCTGCATGTCTTCTTCATTTGTGTATAGAATACAGTCTTTCCACTTGTTTTCCGTTTTTTTATGCATCTTGCTTTCATGGATTCAGAATAAACTTCAGGCACTTGGGGGGCATGACGCTAATGTACTGGAGTCATTATCTGACAAAGTAAGGAAGCGTGTGGAGTTCCTGAAGGAGATACAGGTTTGCCTGACTTGTACATCTCTTACTTTCGAAGTTTTTTTAGTTTCGCGAGGCTTATATTCTTCCATGGTTTGATTGCTTACTCTCTCTCGTGATGAATCTTGGGTGTGATGTAATATTTTTTGATAAGAAATAAGAAATTCCTCTGATGCTTCTCTGCTTTACTTGATATAAATTATAAATGGACTGTCTTCATGAAGTTATTGTTGTCGTTATAAATGATCTTTCCACGTATTCAGGAGGGAGATGGAAAAAAATTCTGTAACATTTGGATTAATTTTCCGTCGTGCCCTTTTTCGAGATTTTTGTTTATGTAGCTAGTGGACTTAAAGCTGAGACGCCTTGTTGGATATTATGAACTTTGCTGTCTGTCTCCTTCATTAGTCATGGGTTTTTGATCGTGCTGACAACGTTGGTTGGACCATGCGACTCAATGTTACCGGTCACATTGTTTAACGAAGAAGTCCCTGAATCCATTCTAGTCTCAGTTACTAGGCCTTTAATTGCTCATTTCTGCGCACAGAAATTTGAAATTGAGTGTATATATGTTCAGGCCGTTGTAGATCAATACACTACGATGCTGCTTACATGTGAGTACATGATGCGATGCGTTCGTATTTGTGCACTTCCTTCTTCTTTGAATGAGTCTCTGTGTTTTTTTGTTGTCTCCTAATTCAGATTTTGACTTGTGGATTTTGGTTTCACTATGCTCTTTATTAGAGTGATTCGGATTGTTCAAGGTTGGGTTGATATCTCATGATTCAATCCAATCGTGAATGAAAGTGATCAAGCAGTAGCGAGATGATGTTAGTTTGCTTGTTGTTCTCTTTGTTTTTTTTTTCCTTTACCGAATTTGATGTGTTTTACCAAACAAGGTCCATGATTTGACTTTACTTTCTTTCTACATTTTTTTATCAATACTTGGAGTTTTCCAGCATTTGGCTTCCTAATTTTTTATATTTCTATCAATGACAGGTCTGAAATGCTACTATTATTATTTTGATTTAGGGCGTCGTTGTCTCTCAATAAAATATTGACTGTAATTTATGTCATCTGTTTTTTTAGCTTTTTTCCATGTTTGCATTTGGAGTCATCCTTATCAATATTTTACAGTCGACATTTCTAATCTGACATTCTAGGGCTAAACTTGTCTGAGGAATCTTGGCATTTGGTTGATCTTGAGCGTTAATTCATTATTATTCTCTATTGTGTTCTTTTGATAATATCTGCCAATTATGGATGCATTTACGTGGTCTCACGATTATCAGTTTATTTATCGTATTTTTTAATGTGTTGCAGGGCCAGCATGATGAGCTTGAGGCAAAATTTTTTGAGGAGAGGGCAGCGCTGGAAGCCAAGTACCAGAAATTCTATGAGCCATTGTATACAAAGGTGCATTCGTTTATTCTATTATGTGATCATAAATGTGTGGCTTATGTGATATATAATCTTTAGTATAACTCCTTTGTCAATCCCCTTCAGTGTTAGTGCATTTTCCTTTGATACCTGATGGCATGGCAAGCAGCTATGCATGCAATGTCATAATTTTTTTAACGCAACTCATGTATCCCGTCCTAAAAGATCGGCACCCTTTCCTTGATTATTGACGCTGTACTTCAATTTTTTACGATTATTTTTCATTTTGGCATGCAGCGGTATGAGATCGTGAATGGTGTTGTTGAAGTTGATGGTCTTTTGAGTGGAGCGGCAGACACTACTGAAGAAGGCAAAGAAACTGATGGTACCCTATATTGTTTTTCCGTCTGTCTTTTAATGATGCAACTTTTTCTTCTCTTGAAAGTTGCATCTGAATTTGTTTCAGAGAAGGGTGTACCCGGTTTTTGGCTCACTGCAATGAAAACGAATGAAGTGCTGTCCGAGGAGGTAAAAACAAGAGAAGTTGTTAGCTTTTTTTTAACTTGAAACCAAGCAACAGCTCAGTTGTTGTCTTCGACATCAGATTAAGGAGCGTGATGAAGATGCCCTTAAGTACCTGAAAGATATCAAATGGTGCAGAATAGATAGTCCCAAGGGTTTCAAACTTGAGTTCTTCTTTGATACCAACCCTTATTTCAAGAACACAATCCTGACGAAGATATATCACATGATTGATGAGGATGAACCTATTCTAGAGAAAGCTATCGGGTACGTTTAAGTAATTTACTCATTTTTAGTTTAGAATCCTCTTGATATCTGAGTAAGTATGGGTTTGTTTCATTTCCATCTTTCCAGGACGGACATTGAGTGGTATCCGGGGAAGTGTCTGACTCAAAAGATATTAAAAAAGAAGCCGAAGAAGGGGTCAAAGAACGCCAAACCTATCACCAAGACAGAAATTTGTGACAGCTTTTTCAACTTCTTCAGTCCTCCTCAAGTTCCTGACGATGAAGATGAACTTGATGAAGATATGGTCAGTCATATGTCTTTCCCGCTCGATCAATCGGCCAACACATCCGCCTTTCTGATGATTGTCTTTTTTATCTGAACAGGCTGAAGAGCTACAGAATCAAATGGAAAGCGATTATGATATCGGGTAAACCCTCTCTGGCTTCACTTCAAAGATTTACTGGGAACGGAGTATATTTTTCCAAAACTGGGTAACGAGTGTGTGCTGTGATCCTGTAGGTCTACCATCCGTGATAAAATAATACCCCATGCTGTTTCGTGGTTCACGGGAGAGGCTGCCCAGGGTGACGAGTTTGAAGTCTTGGGAGAAGATGAGGGTGAAGACGACGAAGAAGATGACGACGATGAAGAGGAAGATGATGATGACGAGGATGATGATGATGATGGTACCGCCGCTCCCAAGAAGGTGGGTCTTACTCTTCTCTCTTCTTCACTCAAGGTTAGCAGCACTACTCTGGCCAATGACACGCATAGCTTTGATTCTGCAGAAGAGCGGTGGAGCTGCCGCCGGGGAGCAGCAAGCTGATCGCCCCGCTGAGTGCAAACAGCAGTAGGAGCTTCTTAGTCCCAACAACATACCGGCGTCTGCGGCTGAGATGAGAGATGTTTGAGTGTGCCTTTATTTTGATTATTTTTCCCCTTTTGCCCCTCCCTTCCCTCATGCGAGGAATCTGCTGGAGTCAGGCGATCGGTTTTCCTTATTTCTTTCTTCCCCCAACGTCCAGGTGGCGGCTTTCCTTGCCTCACTGCATTCCAGAATTTACCCCCTTCCCCGCCGAACTATGAGCGTATTTGTATCATGTATGAGATCATTTTTCCAGATCAACCCCCTCTTCTACGTAGTTCGCTCCGCCCGTCGCCGTGTGCCGCCAGGCGGCTCCTCGGCGTTTGCCGGGCGTGGCGCCATGCACGGAGCGCGCGCCGACAGGGCCCCTTCGCCGTGGGGCGACTCTGCCGATGGCGTATGCCACGCGCTTGTCTTCTGGGCCGGGAACATTCTAGTTGACAGGCCGGTGGGCCGTGCCAGACCGGACTAGTCTGTTTTACTGGGCCGACGGTTTCTGTCCCGGCCCATGCCTTGAAGTTCACCGTTTCATGGAGATAGAGAGGAAAACGAGGAAGGAAAGGGGTATGAGGAAGGGGGTCGTGGGAGTGCCAGTGGCGGGGTTGTTTCTGGCGCGAAGTGGACGTGGAGGATGGCTTGGAAGGGGAGGGGCAGGATCTTCGTCGTCCTCTTCTGCACGCTGTCACTCTGGGCCTTCTTCCCCGTCCTCGCGCCCCTTCCTGCACTCTCTTCTTCTTCTGGTGTCTCCTCCTCCGAGAGCCACTCCTCGAAGGTGCTTTTCGCTCATATATCGTTACAGTCCCGAATCTACGTTTGCATTTTCTTGTAACCCGGTCGGATTGGTTATAGTTAGCTGGGAAATGGAACCGCAAAAGAGACCTAGGGGTATGTGATTCGCTTTTTAGCGGTTTAACGTGGGGGTTCGGTCTTCGGTCCGACATGATTTCCTTTTTATCTTTGATAGGGATGGCCTCGATGAAATTAACAACATGCATCTAGCTTAATGGTCTCATTTACATTATGTAAAGGAAGACGCTCCAATGGTGACCTCGTTTTTATAGTCTCATTAGCATTCTAGAAATGATCACGCGTCAATGCCTAGCTGATAATAATATGGTGGAAAACAATCGTCTACTTACTGAGGCAATATATCATGGTAGTTTCCAGGAATCCTTGGATAGAGAGTAAACCAGTAACTTAAAAAGACCTTATCTGCGTGGATAGTTTCCATTAATGTCTGCTTTCTTTCTGTCAATCATCAAAATGAGCTTCTGATCGAGAACAATTTCTATGATAACCTTTCATTGTGTTTTCTTCCACGCTCTGTTGATTTTTTTTAGAAGAATTTTGATTCTTCAAGTGTCCACGATCTTGTAGATTGTACGAAAAGGCAAACAAGTCTTTGGTATTGCTGGTGATAGTTTAATCTTTACCATTGGATATTCTATCTCAGATTCAGATAAGTCTTACCTTAAATAATTTGACCAATCACATGGTACTACGGATGTGTAAACATTGCATCCGTAGGTATCCGGTTTCCCACCTTAAATAAACTTTATCTAGTTGAATAGGCTAACTTCTTGCACGTTCTTCTTATCTTAGGTTAACTTCTAGACTAACTCTTTTTTAATTGCGAATGAATTTTTTATCTTAATTCAGATTCCCTTGTTTCTAACACGTGAATGCATCAGGCTGGTTTTCGTAGCTTTAGGATTTCTGATGACATGTTTTGGAAGGATAATCAACAATTTCAGATAATTGGTGGCGACCTACATTATTTTCGAGTACTTCCTCAGGTATTTCCAATTTTTATGTTGCTTGATTAGTTATTCTTCATTTTTGTAACCTTGATTTTCTGGGATCATAGCTTGACTGGGGGTTAAAAACACCAGTGTATCGGAATGACACGATGAAAAGAAAAATGATCCAATGTGTTGGATCTACATCCATGTCAGGATTATGCATACGTACCAACTATTTGACCCGCTGAAATGCATGGGGACTCACATATGATTTTTTTCGGCACTATCAGGTTGTCTCCCCAGAATGCCAAGATCTTTCTGGTAAAGGGTTTTGTTCTTGAATGTGATTTGACATGTGGTTATTAACTGGTACGTTTGTTTGAGGTGATAATAAGGTGTATGATAATAATTAAAGACGCATTTGAACTAAGAGAGTGGAACTCTCATCCATAGATGAGAGAATTGCTCGATTGATAGAATCTTTCGCTTTGCTTCCATCAGGGCAAACGAGTGGACGAGAGTGTTCTGTAATGAGGAAGGAAGTGACTCTACTATTTTGAGAGCTTTGAGACTATGGAAGAGTTTACACCATCTTGGTTTCTGTTGATTTTGTATAGTGAGTTTTTTCTAGAGTTGATTATACACATGTTTGTATATTCTTCTATCCATCTTTTATATTTAATGAACTTGGTGCTATCCACTTAAAAAATGACGAGCAATGGCTTCTCCAAAGCATAGTGATGAATGTTGATGGAAGTGTTCTTACCAATATCTCTGATTAACAGCTCAGATCAACGTTTCTGGTTTTGTGTAAAGTCAAGAGGTTTGTTTTGCGTCCAAAGACAACATTTCTTGATCTTTTTTGCTTGTCTTATTACTCAAATGAAAAAATTTATTCATGGTAGCACATTTTTTCCACTGAGATCTTTTATATGGCATGTTAAAATTCTACAAACATTACTTTTTGGCCAATGAAAGCTGATATTTTGCTTCGTTCTCTATGAACTTAGAACTTAGATGATTTCTTGAATGCGTGCAGTACTGGGAGGATAGATTACTGAGAGCAAAGGCATTGGGTTTAAATACCATCCAGACATATGTTCCATGGAACTTACATGAGCCACAACCCAGAAGCTGGGTCTTTGAGGATATCGCTGATATTGAATCGTTCCTGAAGCTTGCACATGAGCTTGAACTACTTGTTATGCTTCGTGTGGGACCGTATATTTGTGCAGGTTAGAGTCAGCTATTCTGTATAGCTATTATGCATTCATGTTAATGAAGATCACGGAGTCATTCCAATTTTATAATGTTTATCTAGAAAATTCTTGAATGACTGGAATGATGTAAGGAGAAATTCCCAGTGATATGTGACTTCATCTCTGTCAGATATATATCACACTTGACTTATTAAGTTATGAACTTAATGAATTAGTGGATATGATGCATCAGGGTTATGAGTAATTTACTTCTAATTCCCGATTTCCATCTTAGTCATGGAACGACAGCTTGTCGTATTGTCTTTTGCCAGCGTGATACTCTCAAAGATATAATTTCTTTGCTTTAAAAAATTGCTTTTAAAAAATTAATAAAGAGAGCTCCTCGAAATAGGATGATAGGTCCCATGGTGACCTCTATCTGTAATTTGAACCTCAGGAAGATTCTTGTACTTGTTTATTAAGCAGAAAATCTGGGTGGCAACAGTGTGACAGTAAGGTTCTTTAATATTATGACACCTTTAATTTGAATTATTGTTTAACAAAGAAAAAAGGTATCTTTTCGTCTACAGTTTTGGCAGCTTCAACATTAACTATGTTTTTTTATGTGAAAAATTGTATCTGATAATTTGATGCGATTTCATGAGATGGATCCGTAATCGTTGAAGCCTATAGTTTCACCTGATACTTTTACGTTTGGGTATACAATATTTTAAGGATTTAACACAATCAATGTTTGTGTAAGCCTAAAATCATATTCTGGCTTTGAGGGAATGGCCATGTCACAACCCATGTCAGAAACCATTGTTTAAAAACTTACTCCCTTCATCTTCTGATTTGTAAAGGTGACTTTCAAAATCATTTGTTGGCTTCTTCTGATTCATAATTTGTCAATTTTCTTTCTTCCGATGAAATAAAAATATTGGCTTCTGATTTGTCGGCTGTTTGTTAGTGTCTTCTCCTTTTTGTGATTCTGGTCCCATATTCTCCATTTCTAGGACTTTCCATGTTGGCCATGTTCGAAACTTTTTATAGAAACACTGGCCCACTAAGTTTCATAGGCGACCCCGAGAATCCTCAAGGGCATCTCAACTGGGAAATGGGTTCTTACCTGCATTTCTTAAATGAAATGACTAGTTTGTGGATGAATTCCTGTTGTTATAGTCCTTTGAGTTGGGCCAGTGATTTCCTGTACCTGAGCCACAGGTTCCTCTCTTATTTACGAATTAATTTTGGCAAAACCCTTAACGATACCCTGTTGCTATATTGAAATAGTTACTTATCAGATGAAACTAAGACAGTAGCAAATGGCCACTGTTCTCTTTGATGTCTTGGTAAATTTACTTTTTCTTGTTCTGATTCATTTATTGTCCACGTTTTTGGAAACCGTATAGAATCATTCTTTTTTTGCGATGGAGCACTCAGTAATGAAATATTCATGGATCTTCATAACTAACCTCAAACATTTCATTTAAATCATAGACATTGTTGATAGCATATTTCATTTTCTTGCTCATTTCTTTTGCCATCCCTTGTTTCTTGTGCATATTTTTGGCAGAATGGGATCTTGGGGGTTTTCCTGCTTGGTTACTTGCCATAGAACCAACCCTCAAACTAAGGTCATCAGATCGTGCTTTCCTTCAGTTGGTAACCATTTCCCCTCTAAATTGATCTAGTTCAGTTCATGCATGCTTCCTGATTTCTGGCAGCTTGCTGTTTGCAGAATATAAGAAAATGATGTATTAAATATCTCTAATATGACTTTCTTTTGTCTTCTCGATTATGGAAGGCCTCTTCTGATTTTTCCTGTAATAATTTACACCTCTTATGGTGCATAGAAACTTTAGTTGTATTTTTAAGACAGATGAATAATTAATGAGAACATATGGATTCGACAAGTGATCAATGAGGTATCAACAGCCACCACCATCTCAGCCATATCCTATTATGCATGAGTCTCATGGACCAGTTTTCGTTCTTCAATATTTAGGAGCATAACGATTATTGATTCAAACTTAGGGTACCATGCATGCGTTAAATGCATCCATCTTTGGCCTCCCTTCTGCTTCTTTTGTGCTTTTAACGTGTCCTTGATTCTCACTATAAGTTTTTCGTGCTTGTTCCTGCACGTAACAACATAGGGTAAATGTGCCCTCACGTTATCATTCGTATCACATTGTCCTACCCCTGGGAACCCGTATTTTAATCCGAATCTTATCAATCTTTCTGTGCTCTCACCATACCAAATATCTTTTCTGGATGCATATTTTTGGTACGCTGCATTTTATATTTGACAGTGCAAATTTTAAGAAACTTTCCTTTCATTTCATCGTTATGAGCTGAGGAAACTGGAAACGAATCAATAATTTCGGAAAGTAATATCGACAAAGTTTCCTTTTTCTACTGTCATGATAAATGCATTTTCTTGTTAGTCTCAAATTTCTTCATCCTAGTGATTAAGGCGCATTAAATCAGTCATTTGGATGATTGACCAGGTAGAGAGATGGTGGGATGTCCTCCTCCCAAAAGTGGTACCTTATCTGTATAAGAATGGCGGCCCTGTTATAATGGTTCAGGTAAGAGAAATTTTCTTCATTTTTCTTTAGTTTATGCAACAGAAGTTGCACTTAGACTATGAACTTATCACCTAGTAACTTAATTATTCTACTACCCAGCTAGAATTATTCTATTGTTATCATCATCTACTTTGATTTTATGCCATTTCTCACTTCAAAAGCCGTCATACTGTTTCTTGCAGATTGAAAATGAGTTTGGATCATATGGATATGACCAGCCTTATCTTCGTCATCTAGTTGCTTTGTCTAGAAGACACCTCGGACAGGATGTAATCTTGTGCGTATTCTTGTTGATTCGTTTGTATTTAAAGTTTCATATAGAGATTTTTTTTTTTGTGGAAAACTGTTATCACATTTTCTTTCTATTTCCTTCGCTCTCTACGATTGCTAGGTTAGCAGCATACAAGAATTCGTGAAATTAAAAAGTTGTGCTGCATCATAATGACTTGAATGTGTCACTAGCTACTGAAAACTTCTATCTCAAGGATGATATTTTGCTCATTCAAAATGCCACCTGAGTTGCATTTGTAATCAAGGATTTCATCCTTGTCTTATTCTATTACTGCGATATGTTGTAAAAAAAATATTAATCAAATGAAGACTGTGATACAATGATGGATACCTTCATGATGTGCATAACATCAAATTTCTATGCGATGTTGATTTTGGCCAATGATTGGGTATTTGTAGGTATACTACGGATGGAGGCTCTCAGGACACGCTAATGAGAGGAACTATACCTGGAAACGATGTTTTTGCAGGTGATTCATCCTTACCGTTAGGCATTCTTCCATTCAAATGTCAATTTTGGACTCCTAAAAAGTGACAGTAAAATAGATGGAGATTTCTGTTTTCCAAATGTATACAAAAAGTGAAATTGAATTCATGCACATCTTGTTTGCTGTGGGAAGTTCGATTCAGAATTGTCTGTCATTAATGTACCGTGGAAAGTGTATATTGTCCTCGCTGTTAAATGTGAAATCCTTTCTGATTATATTAAAATTGAGGAAATATGGTAGCAAAAAGGTAAGGCCTATTATGCCCGCTTTCTGTTTAGAATATAAATGGCATGTGATTGCTGGCGTAGTGACATAGAGCCTTCCTGAAGCATGCAAATTTTCTTCCTTTGATATTTGCCTTTCAAAGAGAGGCAATTAAGCAAGAAAGAAACGCTTCACAGTTCTTCCTCATTTATTTTTATTTTTTGAATTGGAAATTCGCAGCTGTTGACTTCTCAACTGGTGAAAATCCATGGCCTATATTTGAGCTGCAGAGGAAGTTTAATGCTCAGGGAAAATCACCACGTCTATCAGCGTCAGTATAATGGTAACTTTTTTTCAGCGGAACATTAGTGAAGATAGATTTTGACATATGTACCTTTTTATTTCACAGTGAATTTTATACAGGTTGGCTCACACATTGGGGGGAAAGAAATGCAGAAACCGGAGCTGAGTTTACGGCTAGGGAGTTGCAAAACATTCTGTCTCGAAATGCTTCCGTTGTGCTTTATGTATGCTTTTTAATCTTTCTTGGAAGCTCTTATTGGGTGGTTTTCAATTATTCGTATGAAGTTAAAATATTAATTCTTACAGATGGCTCATGGTGGAACCAATTTTGGGTTTTATAATGGCGCAAACATTGCTCAATCTGATTCTGATTACAAACCTGATCTCACTTCCTATGATTACGTGAGTACGAAAGAATAATTCAAAAAAGACCTGTAGTTTTAATTCAAATGATTTAGGGATTGTCTATTTTTTTCTATTCAGGATGCACCAATTAAGGAGGACGGCGATGTGGAAAATCTGAAGTTCAGAGGCATGTTCTCCTTGTCCTTAATAGATAATATTTCTGATTTCTAGTTACACTGGTTGACTATGTTAGCGATTTTAAGATTCTACGAGTTGAATACAAAATCTTGATACATTGCTGAAATTGGATGAAGCACAACGCATATGCCAAAGCCTTTGGATATCATGTGCTTATATCTACTTACCCACTAATTATTTTAGAGGTTTGACTGGGATATATATGAGTTGACATGACTCAGTCTTGATTTGGACTGACTTACCATAGAGTCGGCCTTATTCATACGGTGCGAACTTCGGGTTTTTTGTCTACACATAGAATGATCTACTCGCCAGTCCCATTCAGCTTTGGACTCATGAAGCCCAAAACCTGCTTGTCATGGACTACCTAATTCCAAACGGGTGTTATTATTAATGAACCATCTCCTAGCATAAAGTCTTGGACACTCGTCGGTTCAGAATGTTTGACTTTCTGTCAGTTGTTTGATTTTCGTATACATTTGTCCGTTCTTGAACATTATCATATTTAGAGACTATTAAATATCTTAAGTAAAATCAATGTTTTCTTATTTTGATGTTCAGTTGTAGATCTAAAATTATACACAGAAATATACTGCACGAAGTTTGACTTGTGTCCATTTGCACGCACCTTTCTATCAACATAACTTGAGAATCGTTGTTTCGTCAATTAAGATTTGGAGTTATCCGTGTCTCTTCAATAGATGTTGATACTTAATAGGTTGCCGGACGAGAATAATATGTGGACAATCCATCATGAAAGAATGCCGAGACTTTTGGCATAAATAGCAGACTTTGGTCTATTTAGTGAGTGACAGAATGTATTTCCTTTTTCAGCTATTAGAAGTGTGATAGCGAAGCACAGTAGAGCATTGCTTCCTCCAATGCCTTCCAACAATGAGAGGAGTGGTTATGGAACTGTAAAGGTGAGCAAAGTTGCCTCTTTATTTGAGGTACTACACGCATTGCATGATCCGGCAGAGGTTGTGGAGAAGCAAAGGCCTGTTGCAATGGAACTTGTGGGACAGGTATATAAAAATAAATACCTTTTTTCATCCTTGTTGAGCATGGTCAAGCCATTCTTAATCATAATTAGCTTTCATTTGTGTGATTCAGATGTTTGGCTTTTTACTTTATACGTCAGAGTATCCTGGAAAACAGAAGGAGATTCTGCTCTCAATTCCAAAGGTTTATCTCCCAATTTAAAACTCTTCGATGCGTAGTTTTCTATGCTGCTGTAGACATTCTCATCGTGCATGTTTTACTGCTGACAGGTGCATGACAGAGCTCAGGTATTTGTTTCATGTGCGGCAGACAAAAATCAAAGAAATCCAACATATGTGGGTGTAATTGAAAGATGGTCAAATCGAGAACTTCTTATCCCAAATCTTGAATGTCCTTCTGATATCCGTCTGCTTGTTCTGGTACATTCCTAAAGTTTTTCTGACCCCAATACATTAGTGACTGAGTTTGATTTCTTTACGGGTTGTATCTGCTGTGCCCTGTTGCATTTGAAGTACACTATGTAAAATCAATCAAATCCGATACACTGCATACAGAATACCTCAACAACCTTTTCGATGGCATTTTCAATGAGAACTAAAGACTAAATTTTTTATTAGTTTCTTTGTTCGTCATTGTGGCAAGGATAGATCCCAAGTTTCTTTGAGGTTGTACTTGGAAACGTGGAGTGGGAGAGAGATTAATGAGAGTCGTTACCTAATTCCTAGTCAAAGAATGATGTTTGCATGTCCACACAAATATGGCAGTGTGGACATTAAAGGTGTTTTGTATAGAATCTTTCTCAGTCAAAGTACTTGGCAAGTTTCTCAGTGTTTTGTAAAGTTTACTCTCAGAATTTACTAATATGACATCAAAAGTTTTTAGAGCTTTCTTTCTGCTCTTTAAGGTGTTTATAATGCCCGAGATCTTTCAGTATTACAAGATTTATTTTATTTATTCGTACTTATTGCCATATAAAATATTTGTTTAACCATTTACTGTTTATTATTATATTTAACTTGTGTTTTTACCAAGAGTTGATTCTAGAATTTTTAGTAATATTCTGTAATTTTTCAGTAGTGGTGTCAAGTTAATATCTTGGAGATAGTAGGCTTCGTCGGGATCAAGGCATCTTATACTCTATTCGATCCTAATAAAATAGATGTATGGTACTTGAATTTGACAGAATGCTGGGACTAAAATTCTTGAACGATCATTTTGAACATTTTTCACTGCTGAAATAAAGATAGCGCTCTGGCATCCCCGACAGCTATTTTTTATTGATTATGTCTGGAGTTTCACTTATCAAGTTAATGATACTGTTTAAAGCTGGAAATAATACAGAGACAATGGAGAACTCTACCTCCATAATTATTTTTTGTAAGCCCGCAAGCTTGGAATGATCAGTGTTTCTATACTTTTACGTGAGCACATGTGAAATTAGATTTGAGGCTAAGTGGCTCACTCTTGTAGATCAACTTTATGTAACATATTCCTAGTTTCTTTACTTTTCTTTTCTTTTTTTCTTTTATTATTATTATTATTATTATTATTATTGCTTCTCTGTGAATCTGATACTACGTAAAATCACAGGTGGAGAATATGGGTCGTGTAAACTATGGTCCGTACTTGTACGATAGAAAGGTAATTAACTCTTACATTAATGGATTTAAATTGCTCCTACCTCGGTCTTCCTCTGGGTAAATTCCAAGTCCACTGGTGAGAATGTTTTCTTGTCAATCCAAGCTTCCCTTTTATGAAGAAAAAAATTCATAATTTTATTTGGGATGGGTTGAGAATTTTAGAGACATCGTCATTTTCTTTTGGGATTAATCTATATCAGCAGACATTTCCGTGACTAGAAGATTACCTGTTGGTTTTAAATTTCGTGAAGATTTGATAATGTCATTTCAAAAACCGAATATTTGATCTTGCCCTCATTCTCATCATTTATTTTTCCCTTTTTCTTGAATTCAGACGAATGACTGCCGTCAAGATGAATAGACGGCAGACATATTCAAATGAGACCTGCCTGCTCGCAGCCTTTACTTTGTTTTAATTTACTGGGTACAAACGCGCATCGTAGAAATCATTGGTTTGTTCACATTCTTTACTGTACAAGGAAATGTATTAACTTTTGCCTCATTTCAAACGTACTAACGATTTATTGGGGAGAAATATTTCAGATCGCCCAGTAATAGAGGAATCTAGGAAATTTTATACAGGCGATCATAGCCATCTGAAAAACATGGCGAATCAAGTTATAGTTGACAGATCCATTACAAACTTATTAAATCATCTGAGCTTCGTCCATGCCTTCAACGTTAAGCAATAGGATGATCGACAGTGTACGAACTCATATGTATCATCTTTCCCTTGCACCTTCCAGGGTATACTCTCTGACGTCAGACTCGACGGTGATGTGCTTCAGCATTGGAGGATGCTTCCTATCTCATTTCGCAACCTGAGCAATCTTCTGCTAGACGATCTCATCACACAAGTTGCTGACTCTAGAGCTGCTGTTACGTCTGGTAAGCTTCAAGCATCATCTGAATAGCTCCGACTCCGATGAACTTGCCCAGAAAAATCACATTAGTACCCGACCAGTTAGATGCCGTCATATCTGAAAATTCTATTCCGGTGCTTTCGTCAATTTGTCGATAATTGACATCCCTGTAAACCAAACAATTCTGTTGTTAGATGTTTTCACGGGGGATCTTTGCATGCTGATAGGGTTTCAACTTTTTTATTTGAACACCGATTGCCATAAGATGGTGGGCAACTCTTGGATAAATATGGCACAATCATCAGAGGAAAACCAGCCATAGTGTACCAGGCTATATGCCTCAACTGGTTTTCCGCCCTCCCACTGCTGTTTCTGGCTGGCTCCTCATTTCTAGACATTCTTTGATCGGTTGGCATCAACGGATTAGATCTTTGAGAAATGCTTTGTGATCCACCACTCGATCCCGTATTGATGCGATGAGGTTTCTGATGGTCATAGAGGGTATAATGGTGACGACAATAACCACCTTGAGCAGTAGCTGGCATTTCAAATCATATTCATGGTACAACCAGCAGTGCTCAGGCAATGGATTTCGACGAAATAAATACTGAATTTAAGTTTTTCCTTGTAAAGTCTAGCCTGAAATGCTTTTAACAAAATCAGTATTGGTTTTCTGCGATAATTTTCAAGAAAACCCAATCGAACATAATTGAAAAGGGTTATAATTGGCTGTTTATTGATCCGAACTGTCTATTGAAGATCGCCACTATTTATCGAGGGTGGGGAGGGGAGAGGGGAACCATGGATGGATGGATGGATACCGAAGTAGGGATTCCACATGGAGGCAGGGCATACATAATATAACGGTGATTCATTATATCTTGATTTTTTTGAGATCCCCCCTCTATGTTGCATCTCTTAACCACGGTGCATGGCCCTTGACGGCTTCTAATCGCGGTAATTGACTGGTCTCTGCTGGCAGGGAAGGCTGGACCTGGATTTTACGAAGCTCGCTTGACAATCGATCAAGGGGCCCGAGTGAAGGACACCTTCATTTCGTTCGATGGATGGAACAAAGGGGTGGTTTTTGTGAACGATTTCAATCTCGGGAGATACTGGCCGGTAGGAATTCTCTCGCCTGTTTTGCCCATTCAGCGGTTTCGGTCTCTCGGGCCTGCATTCTTACGAAGATTAACGGCCAGCTTATTTGCAGTCAGCAGGGCCGCAGTGCACACTCTACGTCCCCGCTCCGCTCCTCCATGCAGGGGTCAACGTTGTGGTATGTTGATCCATCTATTGGCACCTTCATTTCTAGGATAAATGCCTGGCTGAGTCATCTCAAGACATCGAGCCGCATCCTTCTCTCTAGGGTCTCCCTAGCTTTGGCTCCCGGAATCAGCTGCAATCCCGTCTTTTCTGATATTGCACATAAGTGCCCCGAACAATGCTGATTTAAAAGCCCGCCCCTCTAGAAATACCATCCTTCTCTCAGGGTCCCCCCTAGTTTGATACATCATACAATTACCCAGTCTTTTCTGATAATGCACATAATTGCCCCGAACCACCCTCTAGAAAGAGCATTCTTTCTATCTTTTAGCTAACGGAATCAGTTGCAAGCCCCCGTTTTTTCTGATATCGCACCAAAATTTCCCCGAACCATGCTGATTTAAAAGCTCTCTCTAGAAGCAAGCCCTCCCTCTAGAAGCAGCCGACACTCCGTCGGCATGACCACATAGCGGCGTGCTGACCTGTTTGTTTGGCTCTTGGCAGGTGATACTCGAGCTGGAGGCGCCCCATCCTGAGCTTGTCCTCGAGTTTGTGGACCGCCCCGACTTTACTTGTGGATCCCAGTCTCGCTTGCCTTGAGATCCGGTGAGATATGCCGTGGTCAAGTGCAACTCCCTCTGCTAGTTCTAGGCCCATAGATTTGCACTGGATTTATTTGATCCACGTGCGGAAGAATGGAACTCGTGCAAATAGAAACATGGAGCCTTTTTCCCAGCTCACTTCCCAATGTCTGTGGGTAGGGCGAGTCCGAAGCACACACTGGGTGCTCTGATTCCTGTTTCCTGGATTTTGCTCTCAAAGTCAGCACTTTTAAGAAAAAATGTCATGCGTAGCGTCCATCCAAGATCAGTTGGGCTTTGATGAATTCTGGCCTAGGAGCCGAGAACTTGCTGATAACCCACGTGGCATCTCTCTCTCTCTCTCGCCGCATGTAAATGTATGCGCCCATCACATCATGAAGAGAGATGCATCATCCATCACAAGATATTCAATCGCAAATGTTGGCGTTAGGTAGAGCAATGGAGCGACTTGGCATCAGAAAAAATTAAGATTCGAGGGTTGACCTTCTAGAGATCGCTAGCAAATTCACCAGCAGTCCACAATCCGATAAGCTTAAGAGTCCCTGAGAATGGAGTAAGAACAAGGAAAAAGGGAAAAAATCCCGTTTAAATCTACAAAAGAAATTTATAGTGACGCAAAAAAAAAAGCAACCAAAAGATAACTGATGAAAAAATATATCGAAATTATGCAAAAAAAAAAACGCAAACTATTCGAATGAAGCCTCCGGATTAACTTTGTAAAAAAAGTAGCCTACTGCTACTAGAAACCTTGCACCAATTCAGATGTTGCTCCTCCTTGAGTTTCTTCTCTCTATTTACTTTTATCAGTGCGTTTAAAGACGTACATGTCAATAGGAGTTGACCTGTGGGTGTATTTCTTCTATAGAAGATTTTTCTTTCAATTTTTTAAATATTTTCTCTCCCCTACTTATCAGGCCAGATGAAGCTGCAGAGACAATTGACTTTAGTTTACTCAAGAAAGTAAACTAAAAAATAAAATGAGCCCAAGGATGGGCCCTAGGGGCACAAGACAACGTTTAATCCATGTTAAACCACACGTGCTCCCGTCTGAAAATATTTAATATTTATTTTATTTAATTTAAAAACCTATGAAACAAAGCTAGGGCAGAAAACTTGCGTGGCATTCGGAGATTTCCTTGCTTCAGGCTTTCAGAGGATAGCAGCGTCAGGTGATTTTTTCACGGAGCCAAATTCCAGGGGATTGGGGAAATTTAGAGCATTCTCACGTTCATGGTCTCTTGCCTTAAACGAATCTTACCCAGAATATTATTATACCAAATATCTTCTATCATATCTTCCATGAACCATCAGAGAAGCTTAAAAAGATTTGCAAAAGCATCGAGCCATATAACCAGGCAGTATTTACGAGCGGTTTTTCAGAATATTGTGGAAAAATATCAGCATACCTGGGAATTTTAATATTTCTGAACCAAAGCATCAGAGATAGCAAAATAGGGACCAACGCTAGATTTATGTGAGCCAATGAATGCCCGCTGATGATATAACTAGTTGACCAATAGACTTTCATATCAGCTGATGCCACAAATTTTGCCACAAGATAAAGCCCTAATGTAAAAAACAGGTATCAAAGATTAGGCACGCGCATATTAGACATTCAGAATGAGATTGATGGAAGAACAGCGGCTAATGAAAATAAAGAGCGACAGACACAAGAAGCAGAGTAGTGGGAGAGAAGTTGGAGATGGGGAAAATAAATTAAAAGACAAAAAACCTTGGGTATAAAAGCTTAGGGCAATTACTTCACTTTTCATATAAGTTTCCCAGATACTTTGAGACAAAAATATGAACGTTCCATAACCTCTAGCTAACGCACAAACAATGATGTATGGTAAAACATTGGAAGTGCAATGAAACAAGTTTAACTTTCTCCAATAATCATATCTCCTTAATGGAAGAAAGAAAAAAATGGCAAAAATAATAAAGTTTTTGAAGGTTAGACCTGCGGCCCAAAACCAGTATCTTGAATGTGAATACTTGGCCGGAAACACGAAAGCTAGTGCTGGGATTGATATACTTGGGATGAAGGTGAGTGTCATGCGTAACCGGAGATCATCAAATGTCCTGGAACACATGGACATAAGCTCCATAAAAAGATAAATATACGAAGTTAAACGATCAAGCTTTCAGTTTTAGCAGCGTGGGTAACTTGAACAACCTGGTGAAACCAAACTCTTACCTTTCATAAGCAATGCTGCCGAGGACAAGCGACATAAGGGAAAATAAACAAGTCAATCCAAGCCGTTCATCTACTCTCTCTACAACTAAGGTAGAAAAGAGTGAAACTATTGAAATCATCATCTGCATCACATAACTCTAGTTAAAAAATAACGTATTGTTGCATGATATTTGACAGAAAAAAAGGAACGGCTCTACGGCCATGACATTTGACAGACCCGAAAGAACTCAAGAACAGAATGGCAATGAATGTAGTTTATAATTTGCATGATAACAAATTAAAACAAAAATCAGCCTCAACTACCAAACCCCCTATTAGCAACTCAGTTTAAAATGTGACAGCTGTCAAGGGAGCAAAGAAGTAACTGACACAGACATCAGACAAGGTGTGTCAGGCATACCTTCATATCAGCAGGACAATAATTCTAACGAGAGAAGAGAAAGATTGCGTGGGCGTTCTAATCTTTCAGAGCCAATTATGCATTTATTTCACTAGTCACTTGAAAGCTTTTCTGATATTCCAAGAGGTTGTTAACCTGACACAAATATATATTTATATTTTTGCAACGTACTTTTTACACGTCTAGGACAAGGAATAGAAAGTTAAAATGCCACGATTTTCTCAGGATATTCTCACAATGTGAGCAGTTAAACTAGGGATAAGGCCACCAGATACCTATGCTCCATTGGCAGAAAAAATCCGAAAATAGCGGACACAAAACGCTACTGATGAACCATGGTCTTGATTCACATGCATTTCTTACGGAACCATGTCGTGCAGCTTCCCTTTGAGAGAGCAGAGTGCCAAACAATCTAAAACATGTCAACCGATGCCAGGACATAGACGCCACCGGATTCAGGTGGCTCCAAACGGAGTCCAGCTTCCAAAGTTTTTATACGTATCAATCAACTCTTGTTTTACGTCCGTAGCGTGGCCTCATCTATGGTAAGAAGACGCCTTACTACGTTGAGTAAGACAGTAGTGATCATTGCATAACCGCGTTCTGTCAATCAAGGATCAGACTTGGGATTCCGATTCGACGATGTCGAGTCAGAGAGTGCACTAGTCTGTTTGGTGCGAGTTATGCTAATAAAAAAATAGAAAATAATTGGAGATTGCTGAGATTTGGTCTGCATGATACAAATGATGAAACCAACGCAAGAATAACGTATCTAAAAGCAAGTCAAACGTACAACAGAGTTCCATCAGAAACAGAAGAGATACAACGGCAAGAATATTCACCGGGAATACTTCCCATGTGACGCGAGAATCATCAGGCTTGAGGTGATAATAAGAAGATCCGAATGCCAACCCCACGACTCCAGCATAGAAGAATGCCCAGCCCCAAGTCTCCCCCTTAACGCTGACCATAGCAAGGAGTCCTGTCCGTCAAAAAGGAATAAAAGAACAAAACAACGGAACACAGAAGACGCAGAACTCGACGGGGCAAACCTGATGCCGAAGCAACTTCCGTGAAGGCATAAAATAAAGCCAACGACTCCGACCATAAGCAGAGGGAAACTCGTGAGCACGTTCAGCGTGTTGGGAACCCCTGCATGAGGAAAGCATGAGAGGACGGCGCAAAAGACACAGGAAGCCTCAATTACCGAGATGGAAAGACGAAGATTGCAACAAACAGAAGATATCCAAGATACCAACCGAGGAAGTTCCGCATGTCAGCATACTGGTGGTGGCTGCGGGAGTGGGGGATCTTCGGCGTCGCCACCATGAAGAAGAGGCACAGAAGGGCCGCCCCTCCCCATACGCGCCACCTATTCTCCCGCCTCCACACGTACTCCTCCCAGATCCCCAGCCACAGCATCATCCTCCCTGTACCTCTCCTCCGCCGAGATCCCTGCTCTCCCTTCTCCGGAGAGAGAATCTCTTCTACATCAACAACAGCATGATGGCGCCGATCGAAACGGAAGACGTCGAGAAAACAAGAAAGAAAAATGCATATATATAGTCCGTTGCGCGGCAGTGCTCACTGCGATGCAGCCCTTCTCTTCGAGCTAACATATAATAAGCCATCTATTTCCTGTTATTTATAAATACATCCACATTAGCGTAAATTTGAAAGGATGTCGCGAGCAACGCTGTAGAAATGGGGCCGCCACTCCCCATTGCGCGGTCGTGAGTCGCGGTCCAAGCGTCTCTCTCTCTCTCTCTCTCTCTCGCTATCTCTCTCTCTGCCTATACATCCTACCCTCTCTCTCTCCGCAGGTGCAACGTAGGCATCAGAAAGAGAGAGGGGGAGACTGAGAGCCAGGTCAGCACAAGTGCCAACGCGGCGCACCAGCTGGACCGCTGCATCAACGGTTCCAGCCAAATGAGATGCACGGAGGAATGATATTATTCATGGTATATTTTTATATGTTTTAATATTTTTTGATAAAGTCGTAAAAATCCTCTTCTCCATGCTTGCCGGAGTCATCAGGGGTTGTTCTAATTGGGCTTGCAGAAAAAAAGCCCATTTACGGCCCAACAATGTGGAAACCTCCCTTATCCTCTTTTTTGGGCCTAAATGCGAATCTCCCCTGTTCTTCAATATTATTCCGGATATAGAAAAATATGATTCTTCCGAAATAATTAGTATAGCAAGCAATAAACATGATTATATCTCATTATATACCCAATAATTTAAAAATAGTATAAGCTACTGAACCAAACTCTGATGACAACACCTGATTGGCGTACGATTACCCTCCCTCTCCCTGTCTCTGTCTGTCTGTCTGCCTTTCTCTGTCTCTTGAAACGTGGCGCTTGTCCAGATGGGAGGCAGGATTTAGACTGTCAATCTTCAGACAAGGGAAGGCTTCTGTCTTCATGTTGAAATGAGGAGCGGTCGTCTCTGAGATCCCCGGGCGATACGATCCTGCAGCCAAATCTTGTTGGAAGGCGAAATCCCGCATCGCGACGAACCCGGCGCGTATCTCCCCGAGATCTGTCATCTTCACGGTTCATCGGACTCCGTTAATGCAACGGGAGAGCGCCTTCTTCGCGAGTTCCCCACGCTCACGGGAAGGTCGCCACCGAATCAAAGGTCCCTAGATTTGATGGCTACGGAAGAACGAGGAGATAAAGAAAATCGGATAGCTATGGGGAGGGAGCTTTCCGTAAGTCAAACCGAATCTCTCAGAGGATAACTACTGCTGATAGATCTACTCACTGGGAAGACACGGAGTAAGAAGAAGGCCTTCGATTTATGGAGATTACATACACAACTATGCACAACCTACGCATAGTTCAGGAAGAATAATCAGCAATCCTAAAGCTTATTCTCCTTGCTTCGAAGGGCTTCTGTGTGGGAATGGAGGCCTCATTAGGTAGCCGAGGAAGTGAAGTTTCCCTGGCCGGGAGAGAGAATCCTCTTGGGGTCGTACTTCCTCTTCCTCTCCAGGAAGACTTCCCACTTAGCGCCGAAGTGCTTCACCCAATCGGATCTCTCCTCATAATGGGGCAAGTACTGCTTCACCTTGATGCCCTCGTCGTTGCAGAATCGCAGTACTTCCTCATTTTGGGCCTCCAACTGCTCAAGGGTCTCCGTTGTCGCAGACCACAGCAACGACACAGAGTAGAAGACGCCTTCGTCCGGGATCACTGCGGACGTTCTCTCATCCCACCTGCAACAGACGATGAAAGATGTCGACATTCTTAGTTTCTCGCAGCCGATTTCAGGACATCTCCGAATTATGTCATCCTTGACGGTCACATGGCGACTTGCCTGTCTCTGTTGACGGGGTAGACGAGGATAGGACCCTTTGAGCGGTTCTCCCTGATGATCCTCCTGAAGACTCGGGCATTGAAGTCCGAGATCCTGGATCTGGGCACGAACAGAGCAAGCCATGGATGGGGGACATCCCACAGGCCTTGAGCGCGGAGTTGTAGCTCCCCTTCGCGAACCCTGTTGAGAAACCTCACGTAGCCGATGTCGATTATGAACGTCATGCCCGGGATGAAGCTGAGCTCCTCCAGCAACCGATCAAGGTCCTGTGGATGGATCGAAGAGCTTAGAACCAGTCGAGACATCCAAAGTCAACGCCACGGCTTACCTTCTCGGCAGCGAATTTAGAGGCATTGCGGTAGTAGATGCCGGCTTCCAAGCAGTAGACGGGGCCATACTTTGTTATCAGGGAGTTTATCCTCGCGGAGTCTGCCGGTGAGAAGGAAGATCTCCAGCTGCTGACGGGGCTGCGGTCAAGGAAAACGGAGCCTTCCACGTAGTCGAAGCCCTTGCTCTTCGTGCTGTTCGTCCCGGGGGTTGGTCTCCCGTCCAGAGATATCAAGTATTCCTGGTCCTTCGTGAACGCGGCGAAGTTGGTGTAGATCAATCTCACCCACTTCACCTGCACCGGGAGATTGAGCTCGGCCTCATCAGATTACTCGTGCATGGACACGTCCGTAAGTATGTAAAATCGTGATACATAATTAGATATTTAGGCTAAGCTTGATGGTTTTATTGGGATTACGTTATCAGGCGCTGGTTCCAGAGCGATCCGAGCCCGAGTGATGACCCCGAACTGGCCGAGTCCCCCCAGGACCGCGTAGAACAGATCAGAGTTGTGCTCCTTGGAACAGGTCTTCATCTCTCCCTTTCCTTGTGATCCCCACGTCAAGATAGCACGGAGGATGTCAGCCAACGTTTGCAAGAAAAACTTATTTTGATGTCGACGACAACCCACATCAGAAACCTCATCATGATTATCTCATGTATCGAGAGAGAGAGAGAGAGAGAGAAAGAGTACCGGTGATCACGTCAAGCTCGTAGACGGTGGAGATCTGGGGGCCATGACGGAAGGCCTGGCCGCTGATCCCCGCGTTGGAGAGGGTGCCTCCAACGGTCAAGTAGAGATAATCTGTCCACGACTTGGGTGCAAGCCCATGCTTGAGCGTCTCGCTTAGCACGTCTGCCCAGAGTTGTTCCCCGCCGGCGTCCACGTAAGCGGAACCCTGGGGGTCGCTGCCATCCTGGCAGGACGACACTGTGATAGGGGACAGCGTCGTTGCCACGGTGTCGTGGCCGCCGCCTGTCCGCCTCGCCAGGGACCTCATATCAATGACGACGCCCTTCGGCGCCGCCGCCTGCCCCCGAAGGGAGTGCCCTCGACCGCGGGGAGCCACCTTGAAAGGCCTCGGCGAGTCGTTCGCGAAACTGAGGAGGGCCATAATGTCAAGGTTTGACGACGGGAACAGAACGGCAGCGGGGGCGGCGCTGACCAACCGGCCGAAGTCGGTGGACACCGGGAAAGTCGCCTCCGGGTCGACCCGGATCCTGACGGAGATGTCGAGGGCGGAGAGCTCCTGGGGAAGAGTGGCCGGCCATGGCCTCTTATGCCCAACTATAGAGACTAAGCTGCTCAAGATGAACACCACTGTCAGCCGAAGAGCAACCATCATGGAGAAGGCTGGTCGGGAGGGACAAAGAAGAGAGAGGGATGAGGGGGAGGGAAGGGAGAGAGAGAGAGAGGGAAGTAATTCAACGGTGGTAGATTGAGGGTGTATTTATGGTGCAATGGGGGACGAATCCTGCCTCTCTGTCTCTCTCTCTCTTCCACGAGTATTTTGTGTTTGGTTCCACTTCATCGTGCGTTAGATTACGTCTTTGACAGCAAATTGGGGCAGGTTTGCGTTGCACCGGGGGATTACGTCTGTCGACGTCGACGGTTCTCGGTTGAGGTATAGCTGCGATCTCCGCTTCCTTTAAGATGGCTAGCTGCCCCGGCGATAAGAGGCCGCGGGTGGGGCCTGCAGGGGCCGTCCTTGGTCAAAGACTGGCCATGAAAGCATTCATTGTGGTAGTAACGAGAAGAACCAACGACCCAGTGGAGAACAGTAAATACGGAGGCTATAGTGTAAAATATAATCATCGGAAAGAATATATACCCTATTAAATATCCCGACCATCTATCTTAAAACAAATAGAACGTAAGTAGAATATGCTTCCATGGCATGAAAGTCTATCCCTAGGTTCTACAGACCCTATTCATAAGAGATATCATAAATAGATCCCGGTCATAAAAAGGGATCGAGGAAATTAAATCGAAGCTGGGTAAATATAAGTTGAAAAAAATACAAACAAAACAAATGAGAAAATCAACAACACAGGCCGTCACTTGGATATCTAGCAATCAGAAGGGTCACTCTTTTACTTGTGTTTAAATGAGATAATCTCGAATTTAGCAAGGTTGGAACATGGCAACAAAGTTATAATCGCTAGAGGTCAATGAATTGGATCAGAAGCCATTGTTTTTTTATGATATTGGATGGTTTTGGAAGATCTGTCCGATGATTGCGCAGGGAATCCCTGCTAATCTTTGTTCAAGGATTTATGGTTGATGAACCCCTTTGTCCACAACTTCTGGAGAAACTCAGAAGGGGTGTACGGAGATGGGGCTCAGCGCCCATGATAGCCCATATGCAGCTGACGTTGTTGGGGGGGGGGGGGGGGGGGAAGGGAGACGGGAGAGAAGGGAGCTCTGTCATCTTCTGCTAACTTCAGCTGCCCCTTCATAGAAATTGAGCACTTCCTCTTCATCTCTGTTACGTTTGGTGTATTCCACGTGGAGTACGTGTCTTCCACGGCTGAGTTTCCTCGACCTTCCGCCGGCCAGCATTCAACGATTGCGGAGAGGATCCGGGCGAGATTCTTGACAGATGCTTCTGTCGACGAGACCAATAGGATCAAGCCTTGGAAAATCGGTTTTCCATCGGGTTTGGCCGGCGACTATTGAGGAGCTACAGTCCAAAATTTGAGGATCCACTCGAGCTCCTCGTCTCCATTTTCCTCTTCCTTCTTTTGGAGTAGTCTGACGATTCCCATAATAGATCCCTGTGTAGCTGTCCCGAATGTAGTCTAAATGCCGATCTCGTCGTCAGATTCTCTCTCTCTCTCTCTACTGCGGATAAGGATAGCAGACATCAAAACGCAAGAAAGTAAAAATCTCGGAGAATATCGTCTTTCATATTAAGTAAAAACAGAGGATGGTATGAATTAAGTCCAATAATCTCTTGGTATGTGTGAGCCCCACATAGCGCTCTGCATGAGCTCTTCAATTATACATCTACGGTGACTTCCCCACGCAACAGTTCCAGAATGGGAGCCCATGATCTCTTACCTTTCTTCTCTGCCCGGTGCAACGCCGGCACCGGTGTGTGGAGGCGCCTGGTCCAGTCAGGAGCCGGTGGCACGACCGGGCTCGGAGATGTCGCCCGATCGCCGTACAGTGGGCCTCGCCGGGGCCTCCGACGAGGGGCAGATAGATCTCTGCACAAGGAAAATTTTGATAAGCGACATCTCAGCTTAACTTTCGCTCAATGAACGGCGAGGCCGATATAGAATTCGAATAAGCTGGCTTTTCCCGTCGGAGTTGCCACTAGGTTTGCCTCCGGGAGCTTGTGATGGTAGAAGATGGGTTGGGAGGGGGAGGAGGGCACGGTAAATCTTTGACTTTTTAACCAGAAGGTGATGGAGAAAAGTCAAGGGTGAAGACCTGGCAGGGCCATCTCCTGGAAGGATCGCAGAGTGACGGACACGATGGACCAAGATTCTTGATATCTTAGAAGGGCTGGGAGGGGGGATGCGGGAAAGAGAGAGAGAGGAGGATCTGAGTAGAGATCGCTTCGTAGATGGGTCCAGTCTCTCATCCTTCAGAGAGATACAGAGGGAGAAGGGAGAGAGAGAGAGGGAGATGAGGGAGAAAGAGAGAGAAGTTGCGTGGGGGACCTCCGGGGCATCGGAGCTCGCAGATGAATCGGGACCCAAACATGTGTCTCTCCGAGAGAGCGAGAACGCGCCTCGTGTTTTAGGGAATCCCCACATCATCATTTATTGGTATCTCCTGCCCATACCGGTACGTACATGAAATAAAGTCCCTTCCCCTTCCCAACCTCTCTCTCTCTCTCTCTCTCTCTCTATATATATATATATATATCTCCTTTCTCTCTCTCTCTCTCTCCCCCGGCGCCGAGCTGGATCCACGTCCCGGTCAACCTGAGCTCACCACCAAGAAAACGGTGTGTTGTGGTCCGTCGATGGCTTTTGTACCCTTCGACGGCCAACTGTTAATGAGAGTGAGAGACAGAGAAAGAGGTCTCCGTTGCTTGGAAGGGCTTCTCAGACTACTTTAACCAAGATCAACCCATGGCAAGAATAAGGGTATGTCTTGTGGCCACTCAATGACAGAGGCCGTCAATGGCGTCTATACCCTCCGACGGTCAACTATGTTAATAAGAGTGAGAGACAGAGACAGAGGGGAAGACAGAGAAAGAGAGAGAGAGAGGTCTCCGTTGCTTGAAAGGCATTCTCCGACTAAGTTAACCGAGGTCAACCAATGAAAGAGTAAGGGATGCCTAGTGGCCACTCAATGAGAGAGGCAGGTCCGTCGATGTCTTTTATATCCTCGACGGTCAACTATGTTAATGAGAGAGAGAGAGAGAGAGAGAGAGAGAGAGAGAGAGAGATGTCTCCGTCGCGAGGAAGGCATTGTCAGACTAGGTTAATCAAGGTCAACTAATGAAAAGAATAAGTCATTATCAGACTAAAAGTCTTATGCACTAGAACCCTAAACCAGTCATCCCATCGATCATCAAACCAGCCAACAGAAATCCAGCCAACTTGCTCAAAAAACCATCTTTAGACGACTTGTTTAAACGGCGGCCATTTCTCTCTCCACTCCACGTGATGGAATCAGAAATTATAGAATTTCAAGAATAAAACGCCATAATTAAATTATAAATGTTGTCACATAGAATACGACACTAACTCTTTAAACATTCATCACATCCCATTCAAGCAACGTGTCTGCTACGCGTGTAGTGAAGAACCTCTCGCTGCCCAATGCATAGGATGACGTCAACCCCAAAAGGCACACACTGGAGGACACGCTTGCGACCGGAGACCATCTCTCTCATATCGTATTTATATGGAATATATTTATACACTTGAAACGGCAAAGAAGAGGGAGAAAAAAAGGGTAGGAAAGAATCTAACCTCTGTAAACAATGATAATGACAGGGAGGATGAGGTGGGTATATAGTTCTTGCTCCACTTTGGTAATGGCTGAGCTGGAGACACACAGCCCTTGTGCTCCTCCTACCTGGCGAATCACAGGCCGTTTGATCCTCGAAGAGATTATGCTGCCGATTTCTTTCTAGAGTACACGATGTACATTGGGTCTGAGCGCCCGGGGTTGGGAGAAATGTCCACCGACTGAAACAGCACGTAGAACACACGCGGCTCATCAAATGTGTTAATGATTTAGATGATTCGAGTGATGGGCTGTGGTCGGAAAATTATAATTAAACCCAAGAAAATAATGGAGAGTAGATGTTGGCGTACAACTGGCGGCTCGTAGCCTCCGGCGTAGTGGAAATAGGATCCGACAATCCAAGCATGATCAGCGTCGCCAGTTGATGTCCAAATCGAGATGGCTTTTGTCCAAAAGCAGCGATTTGAGAAACTAGTCGGCAAAGACAAGGAGATTAGACTACTCGGAGCTAAAACCAAGTAATAATGATCAATGGCACCCATTCTTCTGTTTAGATGTTCATCATCGCCTTGGAAAGTTCAATCTGCCCTTCAATTGCTCCAAGATAATTAACTAAGTATCGAGTTATGAACGACATTGTATATGGATGAAGATGAAATAAAAATATTACCTCATGATCGCCAACCCCCCTGGCTTGAGAATCCGATTCATCTCCTTGAACACATCAAGCGGCTTATTCAAGTAGTCAACACTGACCTATGAAAAAGATACAGCGGAGTTACTAAGCTTTTTGGCATTGTTTAAATTTGGATTAAATTTTCATGCAGTTCAACCATCATAACAGTGTTGCAAGTATTATAGCCATTTCACATGCATAATATGGTTCTCAGAGTCAGCATGTGCTAAAGAAAATATTCTAGCCCATGCATCCAATCTATCGCAATGCTTCATGGCTGCTTTCTTGGAAAAGACTTTCAGTTACTCTGACCTTAGTTTCCTAGTCAAAGGATTTTCAGCTGGTCAAGCAGCTACAACTTCAGATATAGAAATGTCAAGCATTGTACCAAAGTTCAAACAAAGAAAGAAAAATTATTATCCAAAAATGGGGAGATGTTGTAGGAAGAGGAGATATACCACCATAGATTCATCCTTTCTTATGTTGAAAAAACTATGGAACATAGAAAGGATCCAGAAAAGGATCAGTCGCCAAGCAACTGATAAAAGTGTGTCAATTTTTCTCGACAAGGAACATGAACGAAATAATGTCCTGAAATGATATAAATCAACGATGATATTGACTAAAGAGGTTGTTGAAGGTATTAGTGAGATGAAGAAACGCAAAAAATTTAACTGACGGCACAGGGATCAGTTTACTGGAATCCTTTAAACGTTGACCAGAGAACAACAGCCAGTTCTCATCAAAATTAGTTGCAAGGAATAAAGCCTGCCTCGCGAATTCAACAACATTTTGCTTGTGTACAAGAGATAAACAGAGTTCTCCACATCCAATGTTAAATCCAAGATTCCTGATATGATAAGGATATTTCAGTGATTATGTTATTTTCATGAGCTCAAGAGCACCAAGGATCCGAATATCTATTGAGGATGAACTGAAGCTACCATTCTCCAAGACCTCAAATTCATGCCATTAAACTCTGCAACCAATAAATTATATGACAACCACTAAGTCATAGCATGGGACTTTAAACCCTTTTTCTCGGATAATCTCAAAGAATGTTAAAACATTGAATAGAATATGAACCTCGTGATTTTCAAAACATAAAATCAACAGTCTTGGTTCATGGCCTTACAATTGGTGAAAATATTTCTACACATGATTCTATGGATAATCATAAAGACAATTCTGTTTGCTTAAATTCGGGACAGAAAAATATATTATTAAGAATGTCAGAAAAGGCAGAAATATCCAAAATAGAACTCATTTGCTGTAATAAACCATGACAAAAACAAAGGAAGCAAGATAACTTACCACGTTGGTTATTACATCAAATGTATTGTCATCAAATGGAAGTTTCGGATTCACATTCAGATCTTGTGCGAGATACTCTGTCAAAACCTGAAAAATACATTAAAGAAAAAACATCATCAGGGATAAAAATATAAGCAAAAAATACTTCTACAAAATCCTTTTTAATTGGAGGTCCAAAACATTATTTGAAATGTTTTGTACCGACTCCCAATAAATGGTTTTTCTTGTCTGTGATAATCTCCAAGAAACACTGAGAACTAATTAGAATTCTGAGAACGATATTTTTCTTTCCAAAGCTCTGTTATTTTTCGCGGCTATAATTATCAAGTAAAGAATACCAATGTAAAAATAAAATAAAAAATAAAAACCTTGCTGAAACATAAACAATTTTCTGGAGAAATTTCAGCATAATTTTTAGCAAACTCTCTGAAGGGAAAATATTGAATGCTTCTAATTTACAAAACCAAGGCAGGAAGTATTATGTCAGTATTTAAGAAAAATTATTCCCTAGTGACTAGTACCGGATTTCGCTTAAGCTCTTCGTCATTCAGACCCATGCCAACGATTCTATCTTGCTTGTATCCAGGTGGATAGTGGCTAACCTACACATCAAAAGATACAGCAATAAATATATCATAAAATAAAATAAAACCACAAAAAATCACTTTATTATAAAGAAAAACAATAGAAGCTCACCCAGCTACTACATAAATCCAGCAGAGAGATTCCTGGAGTATCCTTTGGAGGAAAAACCTTGGAGTAATATTTTGTCAGGGCATTAATCGCTGGATCATCAATATGTGTAACAAAACGAGGTTCTGAGTAAAAGTAAGTGTCTGGTGATCTGTCAAGTGACCCAATAACACTTGTAAGCTACAATACATGACCGATATGAAACATTATCAACAATGACCAAAAGTAATGGTTCTCCACGTAAGAAGATAAAAATTGGCATCAACATCAAGTGACAAGGACAAACGGAATGCATTAACCCATGGACATACTGATGGCTAATCAAACAGGTGATAGAAAAGAAATAAAGGAAAATGAGCCTGAAAGGAATGCCCGCCAAGAAAAGGATAATTATCATGAAATTTCCACCAGAAGAATCATGGCAAAAATATAACTATTTAACAAGTCGGTGTTCTATGTATCTTTAACACTAGGAATTGAATATATTAAATAGTCGTCAATAAAAAAAGGACAACAGAAACATCGCAGGAATCAATGGATGTTCGTTGCTATTACCAGTTCTTTCCACTTTTCCACTAACACTTGAGAATAGACTCAAGTTAGGATTCATCTAGCAGATAAATTTCACCTCACTGAAATATCATTGAATGGTTGTACGAGAAATCATAGGTCACCCCATCTGTGTTGGCGTTTACGAAACACACATGGCATGCCATTTCCCTAATTCCCTTCAGCGCTGCCTATGACACAATTTAATTACAAACTACTCTTAAAGATGATATGAAGTAACATGGTGTTACATCTAAAATTTTGCATCCTCATTTGGTAATGTTTTTATATTGAGAGAAACGGTTCACATAGTAAGCCATCCAGGAAAAAGTGCATGCGCATCATAGCTAATTCTATGTCTGGACACAGCATGCGATTCTAAATAATTATTCTGCCATAAGACAAGCTTCCGATGGCAAAGCACTCGTATTTTTGCTCCTAACTAAACAATATTACTGATGACAAAAACTAAGAGAATTCACCGATTTCGAAATCCATGATTTCAAGATCGTTAGTTTCACCATTTCTGAATTATTCAAAATCTCATAGGGGCTAATTAATCGCTTAGGGAAAGGCAAAGTGAAGAAGATTGTGGGTCAACCACAGACTGCAGTAAGGCTATGGAGGTGCTGCGACAAGGTTCTTTTGGTTTGGTTGGCACAGAATAAAATGAATAACACTAGACAGGGAAGCAAATAGAGGACTAGTTAAAGCTAATGAGTAGTCGAAGAGCAATTACTCATCGTATCGACTGAAGTCCTCTTCCTTGAAGGGGAACTTCTCCGGCCACTCGACATTCATCAGTACCTGCAGCGGGAGAACACAGAAGAGCCAAGCACGAGAGACATCTTAGATTCAGGGACAACACGTCATGGGCTGGTTAATTCCGCAAGCATCCGCCAATGCTACCTGCTCCACGGGCGAGGCACCTTGCTGCGGCCGTGCGGAGGCCGTAAATGATCGACCTCCGCTAGAGCTGCCGGCGCCGGAGTCCATCCTTCCGAAACTCTCCAGAAGGGAGGCACCGATGCCCAGAAAGATGCGGCGAGGAGACCCCCTCCTGTTCCCAGAACTCGCCTGGGGGCGCACAGAGGCGGACAAGCCTCGAGCAAGAGCAACGAGCACGAAAGCCCCCGGTTTCCTCAACCTGAGAGGGCTGAGGTGAGGGTTTCGAATGGCAGCGGTGACCATGGTGGGGATGACGGGCTGGAGCTGAGTGGTGGCGGAGGTGATCACGTAGACAGACGAAGAGAGTTGTTGGGCTTTATTCTTCCAGCCCATTGACCAGCAAATAGGTGGTGGAGGAGGCTTCACGAGCCGATTCAGGAGCAATCTCCGGCCGGAGGGGAGGAGGACAGAGGTGGAGAATGGAGCGGTGGGTCCCGCTCTTCCAGATCTTCCTCCATTCTCCATGCCCGGAAGGGGAGGCTTCCCTCTGGTTCCAGCAGCAGCAGCAGCAGCAGCAGCAGCCACCACCTGGTCACCACGTCACTTCCGCCTTCCTCTCTCTTCTCGAAGCCCCCACTGCCGCGGTCTCCCGGTCAACCCCGTCGTCTTCGCGGAGGTGAGCGGAGGCTTTCCAGAGTCTGCTTTTCCACTCTCTACCGTGGGCCATCCCAGCTGGTTGATCGATTCCTGTTTCTTCTCCTGGCATTTGAAGGTGCGTGTGGATGCAGACGCTCCCGCCGGCGGTGCAGTCGCAGGTCCTCTCCTTTCTCGCCATGGAGAGCCGCAGGTTCTGTCGTCGGCGTCTCCGCTCCCTCGCCCGTCATATTCTCGAGGATGAAGCATCTGGAGCTCGGCACAACGGGGAGTACTCCTGGGTTCTGGCGGCTGCCCGCAACCTGCTCGACTGTGTTTCCCCGTCCCATGATCCCAAAGCCCATGAAGAAACCGGGGAGGAGGGAGGTGGAGAGGAGATGGAGGAAGATTTCGACAGTGTTCCTGCATGGCTGAGCAGCGTGACAGCGGTAGAGAGCCCCCTTCTCCCTTGGCTTCCTCTTTCTCTCCACCAAATTCATGAGCTGGGCCGAAGGTCTCGTTTTGCCCAAGAAGAAGAGGTAGAAGAAAAGTTGACCATGGAGGAAGAGATAGAGATGTCAGCAGGAGAGCAAGCTGGGGCCCATTATCCTGACCTCCAGATTCTAAATCCTGGTACATCGGAGAGAGCACTGTCTCTGAAGGCCAAAATTTTGACAGTAGCTTCTTCCTCTGATGCACTGCTGATGGCCAGTGAAATCCAAGCCCTGTGTTTCAGCCATGGAGAAGCAGAGAACCAGAGACCTCTTGAGGTCTTGAGCCTGATGGAACCGTGGCAAGCGGAGGACGAGATGGCATCAGTTCTTCTCTCCCATCTCTCCTCGAGTTGTTCCCTCGGCAACCCTCACGCCTCCGGCCTTCTTCTCGCTTCCGTTGTCCTCCCCAAGCTAATGGTACTGCAGAGCCCAGCCTCTCGGGTGCTGCTCTCCACCACAGTCGACTTCTGCAAACTGCACCAGGTGGCGGCAACCAATGCCCTCTTCCTCCCTCTGATTCTCCTCAAGGAAGGAATCAACAGCCACCTCTGTGATCTCTTGAGCAAGATCGTCAGAGAGTGCCTGCACCCGTCTCACGTCTCCGCCTGCTGCCAGAAGCTGCTCCGAGGGGCGACCCTGAAGGAAGAGATCATATGCTTGCCCTCTCACCAGAGCTTGATCTCAGATTACCCAGTGTGGACGGAATCGTTGTTCAGCCTTTTCCAACAGATCCTGACTCGGGGTGTTCTGTTGACCCCGGATGCGGTGGATCGTCTTGTTTCCGTCGTCGACGACTCAGCGAGTGCGCACAGGAAATCACTCAAGTTCTGTAACTTCTTGCTGTGCATGATCAGCAGATGTCCCCGTGCGGTCAAGTGCCATAAGACCTCTCTTATGAGGACGGCAGAAAGGACTGACACGTTTGTGACGAAGTCCATACTCTCGAAGTTGGGGAGTCAATGACCAGTTAGGGTCATCACCTTGTTCTTGCAGTTGACTCGTTGACCCAAGTGCCTCGGATTTTCTAAGTGTTTATACCCACTTTTGTGACGTCAAAATTAAATTATAGTAAAAGGAGGTGGGGCATTCCCAAAAAAAATACACTCCAAAAAAATAAAAAAGATATAAAACAGCATTAAAAAACGTAAATCAATAGAAAAATAAAACAAACTATGAACGACCACTTGGGTTGGATCAGTATTCTCGTGCTTTATTAAGGCCCAATAACATTTTGGGCTGTCTTTTAACATTCTCTTTTTACGACCCAATCAGTATTCTTAGCGGTTTCATGACGTCGCTCCATTGCTATGATCATGTAGGGTAGATGAAGTGATACAGATGAGGAGAACATGATTTGTGGGGGTGGTAAGTAAAGGAATACTAATTACTCGCCCGGGAGGAGAGGGAAAGAGCGATCGAAAGCCAAAAGGACAAGGAGATGGACAGGGGAGAAGAAATAGACGAGCAAGAGAGAGAGAGAGAGAGAGGGGCAAGGGAGAAGAATCGTAGACGATGGAGAGTATAAGATGACCGAGGGTCACAAGACAGAATTAAACGGTCCTGGCTTATGGCCGCAAGACAAACGAACAAATGACGTTGTACACAGACTAATCTATCAAAAGAAAGAACTGAACTCTCTCTCGCTCCCCTTCTGTCTATCTGTCCCTTCCCTCTTTCTGTGTGTGTCTCTCCCGCTCACTCTCTCTCCACCAAGCGTTGACCAGAGCACAGTTCCTCCTGATCTCCCCTCGCGCACCGGTGAGGACGCCGATGCTGCCCATCTTCCCCATGGCGACTCCGAAGTCGCGGAAGAACTTGGAGGCGCTCCCGGTGTACTGGTACACCAGGTCCCTGTCACCTTGTCGCGGAGCAGCACGACATCGGAGTGGAAGAGCCCCTTCCCATTGCCCATTCGAGTGTAGTAGCTCGTGTCGAAGCTGACGGCGTTCCCCGGGTCCATCTCCACGATGCTGATCTCGTCCCCTCGCGGGCACTGCGACCTTAGCGTCCTGGTGTACGCGGGGGCCAGAGACGGGTCCCTGTCGCCCTTTCCAGTGAAGTTGTAGAGCCTCTTGGTGAATGCGTTGCAGTGGGCGTTCCCGATGGTGTGGGCTCCAGAGAAGCACCACCAGAGCCATCGTCAAGTTAGAAAGAAGAACGCTTGAAACCCGGAGACCGCTCGCCGGAGGAGGACGACGACTGGAGCAGCAGAAACTGTTAAGGATATTCAAGATAACGATTATTAAAGATTGGTGGACCAGTGTTCACTAATCCAACGGTTCTAAATCAGAACCTTATAAATATAACATTGTAAACACGAAAAAGATTAATACAATTCATTTTATGATTCCTCTTTTCCACGATTTCTTTCTCTCTCTCTCCCTTTCTCTTTCTCTCCTCTTCTTGAATTCTTCACATGGTATCAGAGCCATAGAGGATCAAATGACTGCGTTGACGGGATCATCCAACTCTGCATCTCAAGCAGTGACAGCCTCTGCAGTCCAAGCTTCAATAGCTATTCCCACCGGATTGATCTTGCTGGTAAAATTTACAGGAGAAAATCATCATGTTTAGAAAAATTCAATCATTCCTATTTTGAATGGGTATGATTTGATGAAATATATCGAAGATGATCCCCCAGCCGTTTTTGTTGTTGATATTCACAATAATATACAAACAAATCCAGAATATAAAATCTGGTGGTACCATGATCAGTAGGTACTGAGTTTTATTCTTTCCTCTCTTTCTGAATCTATACTCTCTAATATTGGACGGAAAAATACCACAAAAGAAATGTGAGATGCAATAGAAATAGCATATTCGTCAAAAGGAAAATCAAGAATTATGGATCTTCAAAGAAGACTCCACAATTCTAATAAGAAAGACATGACTACTGATGACTACATTAAGATGTTTAAAAATATAACAAAAGAATTGTCATGTGCAGGACATTCAGTTGACGATGCATTAATGATTTTTGCATTTCTAAGAAGACTTAGTACCTCTTACATTCCATTCAAGTCAGCATCAATGCAAATCTAAATCTCTTGACATTTGAAGATATAATAGCTAGATAAAAGGCTCATGATGCAATTTATGCATTTCATCAAATTCAAAATACCAACAGTCTAGCTCTTGTAGCCAACAATGTTCAACTTTGGTCATCTCAAAGTCAAAGTAAAGTGAATTTGCAATGACAAAATAGAGGATTAAGACAAAACAAAGGAAGAAGGGGCAAAGGAAATAGGAATTGGCAACCTCGGTCTCAAATATGTTCATAGTTGGACACCGAGGTAAGAAGTGCAAAAAAAGATATTTTAAGAATTTTTCACATTGAGTCAAAGCAATCCTACAACCCAAGGGAATCAAGACAACTCAGTGACTCAGTTTACTCAATTTCCTCAAGCTGCATCACAAGCATATATGATGAACGTTGGTAATATTTCTGAACCCTCTATCTCAACCACTTGGTTTCCAGATAGTGGTGCAATGCACCTTGTTACTCCTAATCAACTTGTGATAAATATGCCAACAAACTATCAAGGAATGGATCATCTCAAAATAGGTAATGGTTAAGGTTTGAAAATTCAATTGCTTGAAAATACCTTTTTAAAATAGTTATCATTTCCACTTAAATTAAAAGATATCTTGCATGTACCAAAGATCACTAGAAATTTAGAATTAGTGAAAATGTTAACGACTGATAATAATATTTTTTTGAGTTTCATGTTGATTATTGTCTTGTGAAGAACGAGAGGACACACAACGTCCTCAAGAGAACAACTGCAGATCAACTTTATCTTTTGAAGCCACAGATCAATGGACATGTTGCTTTTCTTGGAGAAATAACTAATTCCACACATGGCACAAATAGGCTCAGACATCTTCAGTTTAGAACTCTTCATGCAATAATTGAGCAATATGGTTTACCAACTACTCAATTACCAAAACATTATTGGGTGATGCTTTTTGTATTTCAAAATCTCAGAAACTTTCATTTACTAGTTCAAATAAAATATCAACAAAATCTTTAGAACTAATTCACTCAAATTTATGGGGACCCTCACTAGTTCTATCTCATTTTAATTTTCTTACTATGATATTTTTATAGATGATTTTAGTAAATATATTTGACTATATCCTCTAAAACTTAAGAGTGATGTTTTTAATGTTTTTTTAGAATTTCAAAATAGAGTAGAAAGACAATTTTCTATAGAAATTATTTCGTTTCAATCTGATTGGGAGGTGAATTTCAGGTCTTGTACCGTCATCATAAAAACCAAGGCATAATACATAAAATCTCGTGCCCTCATACTCTTCAACAAAATGGCACAACTGAAACAAAACATAGACATCTCATAGAAACATGTTTATCACTTCTTTATCAAACTTTTTCAATGCCAAATAAATATTAGAATGAAGCTGTATGCACTGCCATTAATTTGATTAATCAAGTGCCAACACCAATATTGAGAAATAAATCTCCATATGAGGTTCTATTTAAAATGTCTCGATTATAATATTCTAAAAACTTTTGGTTGTTTACATTATCCATATTTACAACCCTACACTCAACATAAATTGACATCATAATTAGATCAATGTGCTTTACTTGGTTACAGTCCATAACACAATGACTACTAATGTTTATCTATGAATTCAAGTAAGTTGTTCATTTCAAAGCATGTTATTTTTTATGAACATATTTTTTATTGTTCTTTTTTAAATACAATTCTTGAAAATTCTAATGCATCTTCTAATAAAGGTACTCTAGGAAATTGTCTAGACTCTTATTCTTTTCCTATGACCTCCGCAAGTCAAATGATGAGTCTCACAAAATCTAATTATCTCACTTATAGTTCTCCATTCTCTGAGTTAAATATTTCTTCCTCAATTACTAATCATCAAATAGTTGACACACCAAGTTCATCTTCATATCATTCTCATACACTCACTCAAAGTCCACAATCCACTCCTCCAACCAAGCATAAGTCTCTTAACGACATATACACAGATTGTGGTGTTGACCTAATTTCTCTTCAAAAAGAACACAAACCCAATGTTAATCTCACCACTCTTAGTACAAAATATCCACTGTCATTATGCTCCAATATTACCTTACCTTACACTATAGAACCAAATGATTTGAACTCAGTCTCTAAAAACCCTCAATGGTTGCAAGCTATGACTCCTAAATTTAGTGCACTTATTAAAAATAATACATGGACTCTAGTACCTAGATCTCCCAACTTTCATGTCATAGGCTGTAAATGGGTGTTTAACCTAAAATATAAGCTGGATGGAACTATTGATAAACATAAAGTTAGGCTAGTAGCAAAGGGGTTTAGCCAACCAGAAGGTTTCTATGAAACTTTTAGTCTAGTTGTGAAAATTACATCAATTCCTATTTTATTACCTCTTGCTATCAGTCTTAATTAGTCTATTCATCAACTTGATATTTCAAATGCATTTTTGCATTAAGACATTTTAGAACTTATTTACATGGAACAACCACCGATTTTAATCATTCATCTTTTCCTAATCACGTATGTAAATTACAAAAATCAATTTATGGTCTTAAACAAGCTCCTTGTGCCTGGTTTCACAAACTAACATATCATCTTCAAACACTTGGTTTCACTGGTTCTAAAACAGATACATCTTTATATTATAAAAATAAATTTTCTAATTCAATATTTTTACTAATTTACATAGATGACATACTCATTCTCAGTCCTGAACAAAATTGTATTGACACTGTGATTAATTCTTTGCATGTAAATTTTGCTCTTCATGACGTAGGTCCAGCCCATTATTTTCTTGGTATTGAATTTATTAAAAATAAATCTAGTTATACTTTATCTCAATCAAAATACATAGCATCATTGTTACATCGTACTAGGATGGACCAATGTAAACCACTTTCAACGTCATACTCTACTTCCTCCTCTCCTATTATGAATTCTTCTTCTTCAATTGATTTTACATTATATAGAAGCCTATAGTAAGAGCACTATAATGTATAACCATCACACGACCTGATATTTCTTTTGTTGTTAATAAAGCCTGTCAAAAGATGCATGCACCAACATTTACTGATTGGATTAACCTAAAACGTTGACGATCGAAGATCAACAAGAGGATATCTTATTTTCATAAGAAACAATCTGATCTCATGGTCATCTAAGAAACAACCAATAGTTGCTCAATCAAGTACAGAGGCTGAATACAAAGCTTTGGTAAATACTGTGGCAGAAATAACTTGGATTCAATCACTTTTCTCTTAACTCAATGTTCCACTTTCATCTCCACCAACAATTCACTGCGACAACATTGGAGCGACTTATCTAGCATTCCAAATCTCCTTCGTTCCAAGCACTCATCAGTTAGCAGATGCTTTGACAAAACCTTTGACAAAGAAACGCTTTCTTTGGATTAGAAACAAGCTTTGCATCGTTCCAATACTTAGCTTGCGGCGGGATGTTAGGGATATTCAAGATAACGGTTATTAATGATTGGTGGACCAACGTTCAATAATCCAACGCGTTCTAAATCAGAACCTTATAAATAGAACACTGTAAACACGAAACAGATTAATGCAATTCATTTTACGATTCATCTTTTCCACGATTTCTTTCTCTCTCTCTCCCTTTCTCTTTCTCTCTCCTCTTCTTGTATTCTTCACAGAAACAACCGACCGAGCGACCGACCAAAGAGAACTGCGAGGTCTTCGGCGCTGAGGCCCTTCCTCGCGAGGTTTGCTTTCAGTTGGCCGATCTCCCTGAAGGACGACGGCTTCCGATGCCGACGACATGCGCCCGTCCCGCCGCCCGGTCTTAACTCGCCAGCTCGGCCCGTTGGTTTGAATCCGCATAACACAGTAGACACGGTTAACGGGAGGGGTAAAGAATGGATAGACAGAACTCGATGTCTCTCTCCATTGGAAGAGAAGCGATCCTCGCGAGTGATTGATTGATCAATTACCAGCTCGACCCCGTCCCTAGCAGTGAGAGCGACAATGTCGGCGCACGAGACGACCCCCGGGCATGCCGCCTCCACGGCCGCCTTGGCGGCGTCGATCACGTAAAACCCGTCGAGGCTTAGGTTTGGGCATCGCGTCCTTCTCTGCGAGACGGCCCTTGGTGGAGTTGAGCAGCACTGAGCCGTCGCAAACCTGGCAAAAGGACAGCAATAGCAAGACGGCCAGCTAGAACGTTAGGATGATGTGATCGTCACTAACGACGGAGTGAGAAGAGGGGCGCGCCGAAGCGCGGCCAGCCGGCGGTGGGAGTAGCGTTCTCGCATACCATGACGAAGCAGTCGTGGAAGTGAAGCCTGAGGAGCGGCGCCGCCACAGTCGCGTCCTTCGCGACGAAGCCGGCTACCGTCTCCCGCACGATGGTCTCTGCCTTGGGACACGTCTTCTTGTAGAACCCGACCCTCAGGCCTTAAGCATCCGCCTCCCTGAAGAGGACGGGGAGGAGAGCTGTACAGACCAAGAACGCCAAGAACGAGCTCCTCGATGCCATCATTCTCTTTCTGTGTCTCTCTGGGAATTCACTCTCTTTAGAAGGACGAAGTGACCTTGAACGATCTCAAGCCCTGTTTATATACACTTCTCCGAGAACCCCATCTTGCCACCTCTCTTGGTTTCTTCGTAAATGTCGGTCTTCATTCTCTCACTCTTTCTTAATGGAGAGTACTTGACAGCCGGAACGCAGGTCCCTTTGGGATCAGATCGATTGGGTCTAGACGACTGACGTTGACCTCTCTCTCTCTCTCTCTCTCTCTCTCTCTCTCTCTCTCTCTCTCTCGCTTCAGAATATCACAAGTGGGTTTGACCAGGTCTGGCGCATGGAGGCCACACGCCTCGGTGGCTATTCTGTGCTGCTGCCGGGGTTTCGACCTCTTCATGTCATTGCGTGCGTAAGCACATATCAGATTTTCTCCTCCATTACACGTGATTTCTTAGTTGGGAGGGCTCGGCCACTCCCCGATAGGATAAGCTACTGTGTGGCAGTTCGTAGTCTAGTTTCCTGTACTAAATCCATCAAATTCTTCGTGCTTCCATGTCCAAAAAATTTATTATATGAAGTCTCGAACTTTCTCTGATCCGCCGACAGTTGGGATTCGAAAGCTTTGGCTCTTCGTCGTCACTATATTCCTAATCTTCTTCCTCCGAGTCTTCTTCCTTCCCTGGTTTGCCTAGAGGATCGGCGCTGAGAACACCGTGCGAGATCCCGAAGCATCAGAAGATTCCAAGTTCTCCTCTTACCATTTCCCAGACGCCCAGAAATAAAAAAGTTCAGAACCTGTGTGCTCTCCACGCGCTTACGGCTAACGAGTAGCGGAGAAGTCAGAGGAATATTCAGACCACACCACAAGCCGAGGACCAACACCATCAACAACACGCTGATCATAGGTCACAAGGATATCAAAGCAGTAAAATATATATATATATAGTCAAAGAGATAAATATTAAATTCATCGATACGAGATATAGTAAAAGAGATATATATATATATATATACATTATATATTTAGAAAAAGTGAAAAAAAAAATTAAAACGTTTCCCGATAAGAGAGTCAATGGGTTGAGAGCTTAAACCTGTAAGAATAAATATGTAAACATAGGATCACAAAAACTCAATTTCTAAATAAAAGTGAGAATAAAATAGAAGATTAATTACCGAGTTATTAAAAATACAGATGAAAACAAGGCTTACACCAAACATCAAAGAATAAAATATTATTAATCCGTCGTCATCACAAAGGAAATACATGCCCCCCCTCTCCAAAGTATTATCGACTTACGTGTTGGATGAGGTGACCCCTAACGGGTTAATGATGATGTGACAACCGTAACACCGCCCCCGAACGAGCCGTCCCATACTCCCCGAACAGGTCAGAGCTGACACTGCCCCCGAACAAGCCGCCTCTTACTCCCCGAACGGGTCAGAGCTGACACCGCCCCCGAACAAGCCGCCTCTTACTCCCCGAACGGGTCAGAGCTGACACCGCCCCTCAATCCCCGAACGGGTCAGAGCGGACACCGCCAACAAGACCACGTCCAGCCACGGACATAAAACCTAGGAGAAAAACCCGTAGCACCTGAGCATTGGTTTAGAACTTTATAGCTCCATTTTATTGTCATGCAATTGTTCCCTGCCCAACTCTCTCTCTCTCTCTCTCTCTCTCTCTCTCTCTCTCTCTCTCTCTCTCTCTCTCTCTCTTTATATATATATATATATATATCTATCTATCTTTTTGTACCAGTGTTTTGCACGGTCTAGATTGAACCTAATTTCTGAAAGTTTCTAAGGCCTGGAGTTTTAACTGTGACAAGGCCAGGGATTTTTTAAGCAAGTGATGCAAAATGTGAAGATATTAAATACGCGGCGTAGTTAGCTCGAATCACACTACAAACGAGTTAAGTGAATCAAGAACTTTGACTTGGACCTGTTCATCTTCCCTGTCTCTCCAAAGTCTTCCTTGCGCGTTGGAAGAAGCACGTCTCATCGCCGTCACCGAATCTCCCCGTATCGTCCTACCCTGGGCCATTAGATATTATATTCCTGTTCATCTTCCCTGTCTCTCCAAAGTCTTCTTTGCGCGTTGGAAGAAACACATCTCATCGCTGTCATCAACTCTCCCCGCATCGTCCTACCCGGCCATGAGCTTGGGCGGCAGATGAAAGTAGTCAAATACCTTTCAAACATTGGTAGATTCTTGCTCATCGTTAAGTTGTTAAACCCATATTTTAACGTAGATAAGAAGAAAAGTCCATCAAAAAGCTCAACAGTTGGCAGAACGTGGCATCGGCTGATGGGTGTTATTTACTTTTTCTTTTCGACAAGTCCAAAAACTATTTGAAGTAGTCAGCCAGTTAAACGTCTTTTTCTACCGGGTGAGTAGAAAGGTCTACAAAATCAAAGGGAGAACCATTTAAGTTTGATTATAACTCAAGCTCATCGGGTCCAAAATAGACAATGTTAGGCAACTAAGCTCAGTCGAGCCTCTGTTCTTCGCTGATGAGACCAGCGAAGAACAGACGGTTGTTTGTTTTTGTAAAAGCCTCGATAAGGTAAAATACTAACACGATACGCGGAGTACATCTCAATTTGGATGGAGATTGACCGCCGTGACGCAAATGGCCATTGGGACGTCTTCGTATCTCTCGCCGACGAGATTTGTCGTCTCCTTTGTTATAAATCAAAGAGAACAGACGGGAATCCCGCGTGGTGCTCATCGAGGCAGACCTCATGGCTCGTGGTTTCCACGAGCCTAGAAAACCTTGGAGACTAGGAGAAGACCTGGCCAAACCTTACCCCGTAATATTCTGGAGCGAGCGAGACAGTGACAGAGAGAGGGAGAGAGAGAGAGGTCCACATCAGTGGTCTATATCCAATTTGTCGGAGGCTGAAAGTCATCTGCGATCCAGCTGTCAAGTTCTCTCCTGATAAAAAAAAAGAGAGAATGAAGACAACATTTTATGAAGCCAAGAGAGATCACGATATGAGGTTCTTTGAGATGTGTATATAAGCACGGTCTGAGATCGTTCAAAGTCACTTCGTCCTTCTAAACAGAGAGTGAGTTCCCAGAGAGACACAGATGGCACCGAGGAGCTCGTTATTGACGTTCTTGGTCTGTGCAGCTCTCCTCCCCCTCCTCTTCGAGGCAGCGGATGCTCAGGGCCTGTGTGTCGGCTTCTACAAGAAGACATGCCCCAAGGCGGAGACCATCGTGCGGGAGACGGTGGCCGGTTTCGTCGCGAAGGACGCGACCGTGTCGGCGCCGCTGCTCAGGCTTCACTTCCACGACTGCTTCGTCAGGGTATGAGACAACGTTACTCCCCCCAACGCCTGTCAGCGCTTCGGCGCGCGCCTCTGCTCATTTCGTCATCGGTGACGATCACATCATCTTGACGTTGTAGCTGCCCGTGTTGCTCCTGTTCTTTTGCCAGGGCTGCGACGGCTCGGTGCTGCTCAACTCCACCAAGGGCCATCTCGCCGAGAAGGACGCGACGCCCAACCTAAGTCTTGACGGGTTCGACGTGATAGACACCGTTAAGGCGGCCGTGGAGACGGCGTGCCCGGGGGTCGTCTCGTGCGCCGACATCGTCGCTCTCGTCGCAAGAGATGGGGTCGTGCTGGTAATCAATCAATCAACCACTCGCGGGGGAAAAAAGAGTTATATCTATCCGTTTTGTACCCCACTGGTTCACCGGGTCTTCCATCCTTGTTTATGCCGGTGCAGAACAACGGGCCGAGCTGGCAAGTTGAGACCGGGCGGCGGGACGGGCGCGTTTCGTTGGCGTCGGAAGCCGTCGCAAACGTGCCGTCGCCATTCACGGAGATCGGCGAACTGAAAGCAATCTTCGCGAGGAAGGGCCTCAGCGACAAGGACCTCGCAGCCCTCTCAGGTCGGTCGCTCGGTCGGTTGTTTCTGCTGCTCCATCGCCCTCCTCCTCCGGCGAGCGGTCTCCGGGTTTCAAGCGTTCTTCTTTCTAACTTGACGATGACTCTGATGGTGCTTCTCAGGATCCCACACCATCGGGAACGCCCACTGCAACGCATTCAGCAAGAGGCTCTACAACTTCACCGGGAAGGGCGACAGGGACCCGTCTCTGTCCCCCGCGTACGCCCAGAAGCTGAGGTCGCAGTGCCCGCGAGGGGACGAGACCAGCACCGTGGAGATGGACCCGGGGAGCGCCGTTAGATTCGACACCAGCTACTACGCTCGGGTGGTCGACCGGAAGGGGCTCTTCCGCTCCGACGCCACGCTGCTCCAAGACAAGGTGACCAGGGACCTGGTGTACCAGTACACCGGGAGCACCTCCGACTTCTTCCACGACTTCGGTGTCTCCATGATAAAGATGGGCAGAATCGGCGTCCTTACCGGGGCGCGAGGAGAGATTAGGAAACACTGCGCTCACGTCAACGCCTGATATATATATATATATATATATAACAGAAACCGCGTCCTCTGTATCTCTCTCTCTCTCTCTCTCTCTCTCTCGCTATATATATATATATATATATATATAGATGTATGTATATATATGGGAGAGAGGGTTACACCGAGTGCAGAAAAGTGGAAATGTGTGAGATTTCTTTTTGAGAAAATAATCATACACGTATTTACCTGCCCCCTTCTGCAAGATGGGTTTCGGGCAGGTAAATTCGGAATTTGTTCACCTTCTTGGATCACGGAGCTGTGACACCATCTCTGGATTCAAAAGACCATGTAATAGAGCGTAATAGCCCTGACATATAAAGGACTAAGCTTGGTATGTAATCGCTAATTTTTATGGACCTAGTTCATGTCTGATTCGATCATCGTTCGAAGTTATACGGTTTCTCATTTGCCTATTATTTTTTTATTTTTTTATCATTTTTATCCTATTGTGTATAAGTGTGCGGATTTCATTGGTCAGGCCTGACTTGGCCCGCCTAGCTCAATACAGCTCATAGTATCCTCAACGAAATTCCGGATTGCCTAGATGTATATTTGTGAGCTATCACGCGTTGATCAAAAGGTGATCAAATTCACGCTAAGAACTCGGTCAAGATAGAGACGGCGACAGTAGTCGCACGAGATTAATTGGCTAATTATTAAATGGTTTCTAGAACAATGTCGATAGTGATGTATACTTATTATATTGAACATGATCGTGGGAAAAAATATTGTAGAGGCTAAATTATTAGTGTACTATTTCTCGATTATCTCATGAAAAATTAGTCTTTAGAATAAAATTTGATGGAAAGAAATATAAATAAGCAAAGGATGCAATAAGTTACTGAAAATGACATCTCTCTAGTTCAGTATGGCGGCTGTCTACGAGTTGTCTCAAGAAAGAGTAATGGGTTGACCAAGTGAAGTCGAATCTGTCGCAGAGTAGAAATCCGGAAAAAACCTACTTCGTTGACCCCGGGTCACTCATTTCGGGTAAGTAGTGAGGAAATATGCGATAAAGTTGCCTTCGGTAATCACAGATATTTAGTAAGTCTACATCTTTCTGACTTTTTCCTCTATAGAGAACGATCTCTCGGTTACTACTTCCATCAAAATTCTCCGACCCGACTCTCCAGCGATCTCCCCCCAACCGCTCCCCCTCCCCCGGAACGGCCACCGTAGCATCTTCCCCCCGTCACACCCCCCCCCAACCCCGCGTCGGTTGACTAGCCTCCCACTACCTTCTCGTAAAGACCCTCGTGCCTTTCCTATCTCCGGGATCCTGAACCGTACCACTCCCGCCGCCCGTCACCGCCCCTCATTCTGAACAGCCCGTGCATACCCAGTGGCCTTCGCCTTCTCCCCCTCAAAACCTTCTCAGATTTGGCTTCCGAAACTTTCCCTCTGTGGCGCCTCTGACCAAAATCCACATCTTTCTGTGTTCCGGCGGTCTTCTTGCGGTAGGTCGATTATTAAGGCAGATCTCATTTGCGGCGGCGGCATTATCCCATAGGATACCGTAATTAAAGGTGAATTCTTACTGCATTGATTTTGACGATATGCTGAACTTTTTCCAGAGACGGTCTAAAATGGTTGAAGTATGATCACATGATATCCATTTAAAATGATTAAGAAACTCAGGATGAGGAATGTTCTTCATCTCATAAATGTTCATGCGACTATGTTAAATGCTTTAAATTTCCCATGGGTACATTACAGGAAACGGCTGAAAATACTGTGAATTTAGGATTCCTTACGTGAAGTAGTTTGTGGAGAAGACGGATACATTTATATAAGTGCTTTATACGTACACGCATCAATATGAAGGTGAAACAGTTGAGAAATTATAATCGCAAAAATTTCCGGTAAAAGCAGTTGGACGTTAGCAACCATGGGATCGCAGCCATCATGGAGAAAGAGGCTTCCCCAGGCCTTTTCATATCTTATTTGGGATTTTTTATCTGTTTTCCAGGGACATTGTGCATTTTTCTATTTTTATTTTAACATCATAGCTGAATATTTTATTAAATGCAGTCAGACTTTTCATTTGAAATGGTTATATATTTTAGAAAATCTCCAAACACAATGAACTCTTTTTCTCATAAAATGTGAGAGGATTTATTGTGATACTCATAGCGGCATTATTTTGTATTGGCTCTGTTGCAAATAAAACTGTGTCATGTACCATGGGAGTTTGTTCTCATGGCTTTTCCATATCAACTTCTTATTCATCAAGCTATAAGCGTCTTTTCCTGTTAAAATATTTTGCATTGCCTTCTATACCTCTGATGACGTTGATTTGGGGTACAAACTTTCTGAAGATTTCTATCTGGAGATTTCTTATGAAACAGAAACTTCAGTTTAGGCTTTTTTTCTAATTTTTTATTTTTATACCAAAGAAGGGTGATACCTTCTCACCTGTCCGCAACAAAACCTACTCTTCCTCAAAAAAAAATGACGGAAAATGTGCTAACTCCCATGACATGTACTCCTTTGGATGGCCATTCGTTTGTATCTCGTAGGGTTGCACGGTCTCTGTTCAAGTAATAATATTTAGGATTTGGTTACTTCATGTGTGCTTATTTACCTATATAAATGACCTCAGTCTAGACAGAGATGACACTTCTCAAGTTTTTGGCTCAGCCTTGTTGTCCACCCTGAAGGATTTCTATGTACAGCTCATTGCTCATACATGTTGATGGCAGGGCTTAGTGTCGGAGAATGGCATGGATGGCGTTGTTCCTTTGCTTACTCACCCAGGAAAACCACCCTCTTAGGGATATGTGATAAGCTTTAATTCGGCACCACATATTTTGTATGTAGTTTTCTGATGAATTATTTACTAATTCTGGTTATGGATTCTCCATTATATCTGATGTTATTAGGATCATCAGGTCATCCAGCTCAAAACGAATTTCCAATTAGTGAATCGGGGCCATCTTTATAGTCACTTTTTTAAAAAAACTGATTTGGGTGATTTTCTGTTCGCCCTCATTCACATTTTTATTTCTGTAATAATCAATACGGGACAATGCTTGAAACCTTTTTATTAACTATATAAGTGGGATAGTAGTTGAACGCTAAATCCATATTATTTTGTGATCAGTTGAATTATAACTGCAGGATTTCAGTTCTCATGTATGCTTTTCAACTTTAGGCTTGGGGGCAACGTTAAAGAACGCCAAGTTCCCTTCCTTGCCTGTTGTAGCATCACTTCTTCAAGTTTCGTAATGGAGGGTTCCTGCATTTGACTCCAAGCCTGTTCTGGCTTCGGCTACTTCAATAGAAATCTTCATCAGCCACGATTCAGAACCTGGCGGGTTGTTGCACCTCTTTCTACTAGACGAGCATGTGTCTCCCTCTCTTTATCATGCGCATGGTTTACTCTGCCAAAATAATATTTGGGTGCCATATTTTTGCATTCGGCAATGTTTTTTGAATCGATCCATTTTTTTTTTTCTGTTCCAATCCTTTGGAGAGTCACCTTTTTTAATTTATTGACCTACCTGCCGAATGCCAAAAATGTCGACCTCCTATGTTTTGAAGTTGATCAATGAATATCTCTAAAGTTTCTTTTGGGCATATTTTTTGACCTAACTGGTCTTATGATAGACACTTCCATAGATCTCTACTGTGATGTACGTGACCTTCTGAATGATATCAATGCTATCCCATTAAACAGAAAGATGATATATTGTCTCCTTCATGAGGAAGAGCAGAATTTTTAGTAGCCAAGTGCTTGATAAAATGAGATGAGGAAGATGGTGGATTGAAAATTATGGTTTAACCTTAAAAGAAATTTACTATATTGTGACTAAGATTTTGGGTGCTTACCATAGGCCTCAATTGGATGGGTTTTGGTACAATAGACATCGAGGATCTATGGAATTGTATAGATGTATTTGCCTAAGGGGTATTTTTAGTGCCTGCCATAGGAAGGTGATCTAATTCTTTTGACGAGGGAATCTTACTTTTGTCATAGTGGTGTTTAGAATCAGTTGAATGTGATCCAAGACTTCTTTAGATTGGGTACGGGGCTCAAGTGTATGTGATGGGCATCTCCAATTTAACAAGGTTGTGGTATGTCAGGTGTATCATAAAAGATGTCATGAATGAATGGAAGCAAAATAATGCATGTTTTTGGAGAATCCATCATTTTTGGAGAAGAAGTGATTAGGTTTCCAGCTACGCAGAATGGAAAGGTTTGCAGATTTTATTAGAAATGTAATTTGATGACTTAATAGACATGAGTCAATTTGTGGGATCTTGATAGAGATTATTTACATATATATTGCAAGAGATAGACTTAACAATAGGTCTTATGGATCAACAAAATCAAGTTTCATCTTTTTGCAGTCTAACACAGCCTATTGAAGACTTATTCATAGAACATTCATTTTGGTTATGCGGATATGATACAATCATCTATGATAAGATCAAATCTGAGCAAGTAGTAGAGATTAAAATACTTGTATGTTGTTTGTCCCGCACGAGAGATGATCTTGTATGGACCAAAGAACTTTCTGGAGAGTTTCTCATTCACCTTTTTTTTTTAGAGATTTCATTATGTAGGGGTGAAGTCGTAGGAATACCTAGTCATTGACATAAAACTTTGTGGGTCATCGGTGTCGATTTGCCTTAAGTTTCATTTGAGACAGGCAATGCTTTAGTAAGTTTAGAATTTGGTATCACTCTAGTAGTTGCTGGTCCACGATAGAGATTGATGAGAGAAAATGCCCATAATTGATGATAGTCAGTGGATCTTGACCATAGATTGCTTCATATAGAGTAGTTTTAATGGAGTGATAGATAGTGTTATAAGATAATTCTGCTCAATGCAGCTAGGACTGTCAATTCTTTAATCAATTTGATAAAAGACATCTTAGATACGATTCTAAGGATTAGTTTACTACCTCGATTTGCCATCAGTCTTAAGGGTGATAAGATATGACATTTGGAGTTAAATCTCTTGTAGCTTGCATAATTTGTAGTAGATTGTTGATGAATACTTTGTCATGATCCAAAATAAGGGATTTAAGTAGGTCATAGAAACAAACTACTTTTTTTGCAAAAGCCTGCACCACCTGTGGTGCTGAAAATTAATATTTTAATACTAAAAATGTACTTATTAAGACGATCCACCACAATTAATATAGTATTAAACCCATTAGATTTAGGTAGATCCTCTATGAAGTCTATAGAAAGATCTTTCCATACTTGATGAAGGATGAGCAGTGACTACAATAAACTTGTAGGAAATAGAGATGAAATTTTATTCCTTTGACATACTTGGCTATTCTTCATATATTTGTTAATAATCATTTTCATGCCCTTCTAAAAGACAGGTTAGGTGAGTCTTTGGTATATGCGCAAAAAGTTTTCGTGACCTTTAATTAATGAATCATAAACTTTTCTTAGTAGTAATGGCATTAAGAATGAATTAGATGGTAATACTAACTTGTTTTAAGAGAGAAGTACGCCATGGTGTCAAGAGAAATGAGGAACTTCCAACTCTTTGGTCAATAATTCCACAATAGGATAACGCGTGATATCTTAAGAGATTCTTGTTGGACAATTGTAGAATTTAGTAGATAGGGTTGGGAGATTGAAGTTATCCCCAAGTCCCCCATGTGAGATGTTCAGGATAAGGCATCAACCATAATATTAAGTTGTCCCTTTTTATACTTGATAATAAAGTTGAATCCCAACATGATAAGTTATTTATAATATTGGGGATGAACATATCGTTGTTCAATAAGATATTTCAGACTATATTAGTCTATTTGTATGATGAAAAAATTATGAATTAAATAGTGTTGCCATTTGTGCACTATTTTGACATTAGCGATAAGTTTCCTTTTATCAGTTGATTTGAGTTGGTGTTTATATGAAAGAACTTGAGTGTAGAAAGCCACTGGTCTTCCTATTTATATTAGTACCTCACCTTTTCCATGGTCGGATGCATTTGTTTCAAGAACAAAAGGTAATGTAAAATCTGATAAAATAAGAACAGGTGTAGAAGTCATTGTCTTTTTAAGCTGGAAAAATGTTGCTTGAGAAGATAGACTCCATGTATAAGAGTTCTTCTTGAGTAATCAGGTTAGGGGTCAAGCGATTGAGGCATAGTTGGTCACAAATTTCTTGTAATAATCCGTGAGGCCCAAAAATCTCATTAGCTCTTTAATATTCTTTGGAGGTGGCCAATTGATCATGGCTGAGATCTTTCTTTTGTCTGTGACCATGTCTTCAATAGAAATCTAATGGCTTAGATATTCAATACAAGGTTGGACAAAATTGACATTTGTTGACATTGATATGTAAGTTGTTCTTAGATAGGATAATAAAGATTTGTTCAAATGTTCATCTTGATCTTGTAGATTATAGCTATAAACTAAGAGATCATTAAAAAATATGAGTACAAATTTCCTTAGAAAAGGCCAAAATAGTTCATTCATAAGTGACTAGAAAGTAGTCAATGTATTGGAGAAATCGAAAGGCATGAAGATAAATTCATATCTAAGCTCGTTCATAAGTGACTAAAAAGTAGTCGGTGCCTATTGTGGGTTTTAAATGTTGTCTTTGGGATGTCTAAGGCCTTCATACAAATTTGATAATATCCTGACTTCAAAATTCAACTTAGAGAAAATACTCATACTTTGCTACTCATCAATCAACTCATTCCACAATAGGTATAGGGTATCTGTTGGGAACCTGGACAACGAAGCCTCCTCCTTAGATAAAGATGTCTTCGACACATTTAGTAAGAACAACTTCAATTATTTAAATTTTTTGTTGGAGTCGTAACCTTGTTTTGAGCATGATAGTCTACATAGAATCGCCATCTCCCATACTTTTTCTTCACCAATCAAATAGGGTTGGCTTAAAAGCTCTATGAGGGTTGAATAAATTCTACTATTAGGAGTTCTTATACTAGTTTATCAATTTCGTCCTTTTGGAAGTAGAAATATCAATATGGCCGTAGGTTCATCGGTTTGCTATTTGGAACAATGTTGATGGAATGATCCACCCCACACTCTGATGGTAATCTGATTATAAGAGAAAAAACATATAGGAATAATTGTTTAAATTTAGATTCAATTTTAGTGGCCTCGGTGGTACTCATTGATTCTTGTTGTAGTTGTACCTAATGTAACTTCAAGAAGTTTAGTGGCTATTTACTAATGATTTTCTGCAGCATCTTTAGTAATAGTTCTAATTTAGATAATTTTGGATCTCCTTTGAAGAGTTTCACTATACCATTTACTATAAACTTCATAGTTAACTTTCCCAATTTACATGTATCCATCCTATTGGGTTGAGTTATTGCATTCCTAATATCACATTAATGCTCTCTAATGTGAGTGGTAGAAAGTTTTCAGTGATGTCTAAGCCTTGAACTTGTAAAAAAATACCCTTACAAATTTTGTTACCTTAGAAGGCCTCTCAATTTTCCATGAGGATTTCATAATTCATGGCTTCTATGTAAAGTACTTCAAGGCATGCACATAACTCTAAATATATGAAATTATGTATTGCACCTAAATCAATTAGGATGGTAATCATTTGTCCTTGTAGTGTCCCCTCTATTTTCATTGTGCTTGCTTGCGTGAGTCTTACCATCGAGTTTAAGGAAACTTGTGCTATGAACATTGTTCCTCCTTCTGTTGGTTGAGACTCTTCATCTCTAAAATCTTGTACCATATCCTCAAAAGTTTCATGGTCATCTTTATGAACAATTAGAATTTGTAATTGTTTTTTGCAACGATGTTTTGGGCCAAATTTTTCCTTAAAGTGATAGCAATATTCTTTTTCATGGTGGCTCTAATACTCTACATTAGTCAATGTGATTGATTTCCAATACCTATTATCCCTCCTTGTTGCTTGCAGTGGAGGATTGCTCTTGAACTTCCATTCTATGAGGGGGGTTGAGTGCTTAGTCTTCTCTTGTTCATTATATAGTATAGATAAATGATTGTTAGTATGTTTACTATAAGTAAAGTTATCTTGTTAAGAAGACTTGAGTAAATGATTGTCCTAAATTTCTCAAAGAGTACGAATGCATTGTCCTACTTCTATTGGGCACATAAAGGCCAGCTTTACTTGAATCTCCGATTTTAGACCCTTCATATAAGTATTCTCTATGACCACATCTTGTAGTTTCAGTAGATAAGTAGAAAGACACTTGTACTCAGCTCGATATTCTTGGACTAACTAATCCTATTGGAGATTTAAGAATTTGTAGAATGTGTTTCCCTTTGCCATATTGCTAAAGTATTTTCTCAATTATATTTAGAAATCTTGTCAGTTGTAGAAAATATACCTTTCATCTTTTCATAAGTATCATTCTAACGTCAAATCTTTGAATTTCATCATTGTCATTTCTAGTTGGTCTGGTTTCTCTACTTTGATTAGTTTGAAGAACCTCTTAGTACATCTTAACCAACCCTCTTAGATGAATATTAGTACCTCATTCATAATATATTCATGGGGATGATAGGGAGGTAGTACCTCATGTCATGATTCTGATTGTTTTGATTGACAACTTGATGTCAACTTCAAAGTAGAATGTTTCTTTTTCTTCAAGGCCTCCAATCTTGTACATATGTTAGTTGGAATTGCTACATATTTTGTAGGAGTCGATGCATCAAATCCGTGGATTCCTCCTTTATTTTCTATATGTCTTTGATCATCCTTTTTTGGAATGCTCAAAGATTTTTGTTGTCTACTTCTAAGGCTTCAAAATGTATATCTAACATCTTTGGCATTATTGTGCATGTCATCGCAAGATCACGACTCTAATATTAATGATATGATCCTCTATGATAGGATCGAATTTGAGCAAGCAGTAGAGACAAAAATATTTTGTATTGAACTCACAAAGTCTTGTTAGTGATGAGAGTCAAAATTGTGGGAAGGACAATCTTCCTGAATATAGAGATGAAAAGGGAGAAGAAGAGTAAGGTAGGGAACAATGTCTGAGACGGTTCCCTGCTTCTCTAAAGTACCAACTTTGCCACCATAAAATCTATCTTCTCGTGTTATATTTTATAATCTCTCTCACATGCTGTGCACGTGCTCCTTTCCTACATCTTTTGTAGGTCAGTAGTAAGATCATATTAGAATAGAAAGAGAATGAGGGATCAGCCAATGCAAACACAATTTCCCTTGTGAAAAGGTTTCAAAAAAGAGAAGGCTAGGCAAAGCATCTACTCTTCAAAAGGATATACAAAGAATTGTCAATATGAGAAAAATGAACTAGAAAGAAAGGGGTAAATGATTTTAAGCCTAATTTGAGAAGTTATAGTGTTTCAATTTTTAACGTGGAAAAATAATGATAGGGCTACATCTAAGGAAATAGAAGCAACTTCATTTGGAGTGGAATATTTGCATATGAAAATGCTTCAATTTAGCAAATATCAGTCAATTTTTGGGTCAAATTGACCTAGAATCAAGTATAAATTAGTTGATCTGGCTAAGTCTGGTTGCCCCAATTGGTTGAAATAGATTCTCATTTACACTACTTTGGCTGATCTGATCTGTGCGGCCACCTAATCCAATGTCATTGCTGAGAAAAGACTACTTTTCATGTAAGTGAATATTCTGGTCACCTATGCAATTAAATGAATATTCTAATTGCTTGAAAAATAATCAAATGCTATCCCTATAAGAGAAGCATATGAAGACAACATCCATTTGGAGAAAATCAATATGAAATTGTGTTATTTATATGAATTTATCTAGTATATTCTGTGTCAAACCACCTGGAGTTCTTTAATGTTATTAGATGGTTCTCGTACTAGTTTAATAAGTTTAGTTTATGTTTGAAACGCATGTAGATGAACATCAATTTTTAGCTCAATCATAAGTTGATGTATAGGAGGATTTCATGATCTATGAATACTTATTGATTTATGTGATCCATAGAATTCCATTTCTATGTGCCTTGAGGGGACAGCAATCCAAGTTATGTTAATAGATAAAACTCGTCTATAAGTTATTCAGATAGTAAACTGACTCAGCATCCGTTAGGCTACTTCAACCATTGCTGGTCTCAGATGCATTTAGGCATATCTCACCCTCGACTTGATTGAGGGGCTTCCCCGCTCCAACAAATTTAATGCCATACTGGTCATGGTGGATAGATTAAGTATGTGCATCTCATTCCTTTAAAATACTCATTTAGAGCAAGAGAGGTGGCCTTTGTATTTGTCAAAGAGATCATCCAATTGCATGAGTTTTCAAAGTCTAACATCTCCAACAGGGATCAAATATTTATGAATATCTTATGGTGAGAATTATTCAAGCTTTCTAGCACCTCTTGGTGGCAGACTAGCTCTTACCACTAGCAGATCAACGGACAGTCAGAGGTGGTCAACCAAAGCTTAGAAACTTAAATACATTGTTCTGCAGAGGATCAACTGCACTAATAGAATGTATTCATCGGAACCTCTCTATTCAAGATCGTGCATGGACGTGTTCTCCTAGTTTACTATGCTATGAACTGGGAGCAGCAGCCCCAACATATCTCAACAAGCTACTATGTGAGTAGGATGAGGCCCTGGAATAGTGAAGCACCATTTGACTCAAGCCTAGGCAAAGATGAAGTGATATGTCAATAGCCAGAGGTGCAACTTGGAATTTCAACCAAGAGATCTCATCTACCTTTGGCTATGCCTACAAGCAACAATTGTTGGCCTCACAACCCTACAAAAAATCTGCCCCTTGATTTTTTTGGCTCATTTCAAGTCTTGGAGTGAATTAGCATCATGGCATATCATTTGAATCTACTATTGGAGACAACCAATTTACCTTGTGTTTCACATATCCCAACTAAATCCCGCCAAAGGAGTAGGATCCCTCAGGCCTATTAGTGTGCTCTAACTAAATGAGGGATGATAAGTCTTCATTATCATGAGTTAATAATTAGTAACTAATATAGTTTTAGTCTTAACTCATGATAAATAGACTTATATTTATGTTAAAGTGTGAAAAGTGGTTTTCAATTGATTAACGTGAATTTTTGGGTAATTATGTGATTTTATACAAATTTATATGATTTTTACAGTCTTACTTTTGAGATAAAAAAAAAAGAAATAAAAATAAAAATATAGCAAAATGGGGGGGACTTACTAGTCAGCCGGGTCCGCAAGCGGGTCGGAAGCGCAATTAGGGAGTAGCTAACTGTGGGGCAAGGTGTGGTCGTACACGTGTAAGAAATGGACTTGCTTTGAAATGTAATATTACTATATATTCACCCGAAACTTTGGCACACAAGTGATGTGAGACTAAACCCGCATCACATCTTTCCTAGAAAGGGGCGGGCAACCGGTATGGGTTTGAATCCTCCCAGAGCCAAAACTCATATTTTTTATTTGATTATAGCGACTTTTTTGTAGATCGTCGATGAAGGATTAAGTAACCAGAATCGTTAGATCATCGACGAAAATCTCGTCAATGCGATTTGCGGAGCATTGTTACTAAAATTGTTGAACGATTCACGATAAAAGGATCGCGAATCCATCGAGTAAAGTATCTCCGATTGATCGACGAACAAGTCATCGTCGGGAAGAGGATGATCCACCAAGAGACGAGTCGCTACCTCTTGAGAGCATACCAGATGCGATGCAGAGCCTCCTCTTATTGCGTGGACTTGAGGATGAAGTTTATTAACACACGCCCCACCTCCATCCAGCTCCTCTCTGTCGGGTGACAACTGCCATAGAGTCGCAAAGTGGTCATTTTTCCACTCTGCCATGTGACAGCCGTCGGAGACGATTTGACAAATTATTTCATTGATCTCTAGACTTCACAAGGAGATCTAGAGATTGCCCACGTCATCCTTGTCCAAAGAGAGCCTTTGAGGCTGTGGACACTACATGACAATCCTCCCGAACGCTCAAGATTTCGGTGCATCATCGACGCATCGCCAACGCGACATTGGAACTCTATTTTCTTACTTTCAACTTAATTTTCGCTTCATTTAGTGATAATTTGTGTGATTTAAATTTACCAAGATATACTTCATTCAATTACGATTCTTCTAGCTTTTACAGATCTTAATTTGATTAATTAAATCATCTGTAATCACTTACATAAGAATCGTCAGGTGAAACTTTGTTTTCATCTTATTTGCATTTGCCAGGTGTTGACATCATCTTGACGTTTGCACCCTTATTTCCCTTTTTTGTGAATTTTAAATATATTTTCTTTTCATTTCCTAGTATAAAATTCATAGAAAATAATATTCTTTGAAGAAAATTCTGAATAATTACTAGATATTATATTACATCCCTATGATAGACCTGAAAAATTACTACTATTTTTGGAAGTTTTATTGAATTATACTTGATATATTTGTTCAAAAATACTTCTAAATATCTACAAATTTGTATTTTATAGTTTTATAAATTTTAAATTTGCATGATTTATTATACAACGACTAAGTCATGTCAAAGGGCTAACGTGGACAATAGAGCTTGTAGAAGTTTTGACTATTCGACATGAGGCCACATGTCCAAAAGTCTTCATCAACTAAAAAAGACTTCCCCAATAGGAGGCTACAAGGGAGACCACATAGAGCATTCAACACTAATTTCCTTAGTTCAACCTTGAGGACAAGGTGAGTGTCTTAGGGAAGATTCACAACTTTGTAGACAAAGATCTAGTTGGGCTCAGGCCAACAACTGTAACCACTATTCAGAGACAGAGGGACCAGATGGCAGCAATGGCCCAAAGACTAGACCAAAGAACACTAAGCCAGATCAGAGCGGCAGCATGAATAGTTGGCTCAAATCAACATAATCAATGGCTTGATCAGAAGCAGTCACAGACCCAACCAAGATAACCAACCTGACCACCTTAAAGAGGCAAACCCCGACACTAGAGAGGAGAGTTGTCATCTTTAATTGGCTACCCCGAGGGCTCCCCAAGCTCCTCTAGTTAACCCCCCCCACCCTTCAACTCTTCCCCATCCAAACTATTCTTTCCCTTTGTTACGTTCATCACCCCTCTCTTTTCATCTTCTAAATTGTCTGTTTTAGAAGACTTTACACATCACCTTGTTCTTAATGCTGGCTTCTTGATCTAGGTGAATTAGATTTTCTAAGTGGCATACCTACTTTTATGAGGTCAAAATTAAGTCAAAATAGTAAACTCCAAAAGCAAACCTACTTTTATTAAATTAAAATTAAGAGGTGGGGAGTCCCCAAAAGCAAATACACTCCAAGAAATAAAATAAAAATTCTAAAACAGCATAAACGAAAATAATAAATTAATAAAAAAACAAATCAAACTATGAACGACCAACTTGGGTTGGGTCAGTATCTCGTGCTTTATTAGGACCCAATAAGATTTTGGGCCGTCTTTTAACATTCTCTTTTTTACGGCTCAATTAGTATTCTTACCTGCTTTATGACGTCGCTCCCTCTCTATGATCATATAGGTTAGATGAAGGGATATAGATGAGGAGAACATGATTTGTGGGGGTGGTAGAATGAAGGGAGAGTAATTACTTGATCGGGAGGAGAGGGAAAGAGCTATCAAAAGCCAAGAGGACAAGGAGATGGGCAAGGAAGGAGAAAATAATAGACGAGCAAGAGAGAGGGAGAGAGAGAGAGAGAGATGGCCAAGGGAGAAGAATAGTAGATGATGCAGAGGGTGAGAGAGAATAAGATCACCTAGGGTCACAAGACAGAATTTGTCGTGGCTTATGGCCGCAAGACAAATGAACAAATGACGTTGTACACAGAATAATCCATCAAAAGAAAGAACTGGACTCTCTCTCTCTCTCTCTCTCTTCCTTCCCTCTATCTTTATCTCCCTCTCTCGCTCACTCTCTCTATATCAGGCGTTGACCAGAGCACAGTGCCTCCTGATCTCTCCTCGCGCACCGGTGAGGACGCCGATGCTGCCCATCTTCCCCATGGCGACACCGAAGTCGCGGAAGAACTTGGAGGCGCTCCCGGTGTACTGGTACACCAGGTCCCTGGTCACCTTGTCGCGGAGCAGCGCGGCATCGGAGTGGAAGAGTCCCTTCCCATTGCCAACTCGAGCGTAGTAGCTCGTGTCGAAGCTGACGGCGCGCCCCGGGTCCATCTCCACGATGCTGGTCTCGTCCCCTCGCGGGCACTGCGACCTCAGCTTCCGGGCGTACGCGGGGGCCAGAGACGGGTCCCTGTCGCCCTTCCCGGTGAAGTTGTAGAGCCTCTTGCTGAAGGCGTTGCAGTGGGCGTTCCCGATGGTGTGGGATCCTGACAAGCACCATCAGAGTCATCGTCAAGTTAGATAGAAGAACGCTTGAAACCCGCAGACCCCTCGCCGGAGGAGGAGGGCGACTGGAGCAGCAGAAACAACCGACCGACAGACCGACCTGAGAGAACTGCGAGGTCCTTGGCGCTGAGGCCCTTCCTCGCGAAGTTTGCTTTCAGTTCGGCTATCTCCCCGAAGGACGACGGCAGGTTGGCAACAGCTTCCGACGCCGACGACACGCGCCCGTCCCGCCGCCCGGTCTTAACACGCCAGCTCGGCCCGTTGATCTGAATCCGCATAACACAGCAGACACGGTTAGCGGGAGGGGTAAAGAACGGATTGACGGAACTCGATGTCTCTCTCCATCGGAAGAGAAGCGACCCTCGCGAGTGATTGATTGATCAATTACCAGCTCGACCCCGTCCCTGGCAGCGAGAGCGACGATGTCGGCGCACGAGACGACCCCCGGGCATGCCACCTCCACGGCCGCCTTGGCGGCGTCGATCACGTAAAACCCGTCGAGGCTTAGGTTGGGCATCGCGTCCTTCTCGGCGAGACGGCCCTTGGTGGAGTTGAGCAGCACTGAGCCGTCGCAACCCTGGCAAAAGGACAGCAATAGCAAGACGGCCAGCTAGAACGTTAGGATGATGTGATCGTCACTAACGACGGAGTGAGAAGAGGCGCGCGCCGAAGCGCGGCGAGCCGGCGGTGGGAGTGGCGTTCTCGCATACCCTGACGAAGCAGTCGTGGAAGTGAAGCCTGAGGAGCGGCGCCGCCACAGTCGCGTCCTTCGCGACGAAGCCGGCTACCGTCTCCCGCACGATGGTCTCTGCCTTGGGGCACGTCTTCTTGTAGAACCCGACCCTAAGGCCCTGAGCATCCGCCGCCCCGAAGAGGACGGCGAGGAGAGCTGTACAGACCAAGATCGTCAAGAACGAGCTCCTCGACGCCATCATTCTCTCTCTGTCTCTCTGGGAACTCACTCTCCGTTTAGAAGGACGAAGTGACCTTGAACGATCTCAAGCCGTGCTTATATACACATCTCCAAGAACTCATCTCGCCACCTCGCTTGGTTTCTTTGTAAATGTCGGAGAGTACTTGACAGCTGGATGGCAGATCCCTTTTGGGATCAAATCAATTGGATTTAGACGGCTGACGTTGATCTCTCTCTCTCTCTCTCCCTCTCTCGCTCGAGAATATGACGGGGTGGGTTTGACTAGGTCTGGCGCGTGGAGGCCACACGCCTCGGCGGCTATTCTGCGTGCTGCCGCCGACCGGGTTTGGACTTCTGCATGTCATGGCGTGCGTAAGCACGTAGCAGATTTCTCCACCATTACATAGGATTTCTTTGTTGGGAGGGCTCAGCGACTCCCGATAGGACAAGCTACCTTGTGGCAGTCCGCAGTCCAGTTTCCTGTACCGAATCCATCAAATTCTTCGTCCTTTTGATCATGCTCGAATATTTTATCATATGAAGTGACGAAGTTTCTCTGATCCGCTGACAACGTGGGGTTCGAAAGTTATGGCTCTTCAACGCCACCATATTCCTAATCATCTTCCGAGTCTTCTTTCTTCCCTGGTTTCTCTCTGAGGATCGGCGCTGAGAACTCCGTGTGAGATCCTGAAGCATCAGAAGCTTCGAGTTCTCCTCTACCATTGACCACACGCCCAGAAATAAAAAGGTCCAGAACCTGTGTGCTCTCGACGCGCTTACGGGGCACGAGTGGCGGAGGAAGGATGAGAAGTCGGAGGAATATTCAGACCACAGCAGCGGCCGACGACCAACACCACCAACCATGTGTGAACACAATGGCCCGCTGACCATCTCCCAGAGATGCCAAAGCTGGGGCTTGTGGAGGCGACGCGGCCTTTTTCATGGGTCCGATCTTCTCAATATCCGGCAAGGAAGCTGCAGAAGAGATGGGAGGGAGATAAAATCCTCCCTCGCTGAGGTCAGATGGAAATCAAAGCAAGAAAAAAAAAGTAGTTGATCGTTTAAAAGGGGTAAATACTAAACTCATCGACATTATATATTCAGAAAAAGTGAATTAAAATAAATTTGCTTCAACCTTTCCCAGTGAGGGAGTCAATGGGCTGCTTGAGCTGAGACCACGTCCCGCCATGGACATAAAACCAACGTTTAAAGGAGAAAAACCCGCAGCCCCCGAAGTATTGGTTTAGAGCTTTATAGCTCAATTATATTGTCATAAACCCTGGCCATCTCTCCCTCCCTCTCTCTCTCTCTCTCTCTCTCTCTCTCTCTCACTAGTATGTCCAAAGCGTGTCGAACCAGCTCTACCGGTGTACAGTACAGTCTAGATTCGAACCTATTTTCTGAAAGTTTCTACGGTCTGGAGCTTGAGCTAAGCCTGACAGTAAATCAAGATATTCGAACCTATGCTCCAAGTGTGAAGATACGAAAAAAGAGGCGTAGTTAGCTCGAAGCTCATTACAAACGAGTTAAGTAAATCAAGATCTTTGACGTGGACCTCTTTCTAGAAGCCATGAGATATGATATGCCAGTTCATCTTCCCTTTCTCTCCAAAGTCTTCTTTGCGCGTTGGAAGAAACACATCTCATCGCCGTCATCAACTCTCACTGCATCGTCCTGCCCTGGGCTATGAGAGGACCCCATTCTTTATGTCATGTCGGGGGTGACCCATGGGATGGCCGTCCATTCCAAATTAATAGTCGCTTCACCTCTACGGACCATGAAGAACTGGGATATTATAATGGTGGATTGGGTGCTGGATGAAAGTTGTCAAATCCCTTTAGATTAATTCTCACCCTCAGGTTGTTAAACCCATACTTTAATATGGGTAAGAAGAAAAGTCAATAAAAAAAGCTCAATAGAATAGATACCCGTATCTGCATGCACAGAGAGAGAGAGAGGGAGCAAACCATATCATCGTAGAACACGGTCGACAGAGCGTAACATCGACTGATGGGTGTTGTTTACTTCTTTTTTTTCACAAGTTCATAGACTATTGGACGTAGTCAACCCGTTAAATGTCTTTTTCAACTGGGTAATTAGAAAGGTTTACGAAACGAGCACCGTTACGGAGAAGAGATAGAGGGAGAAAGTGAGAGAGGGACAACTGTTTTAGTTGGATTATAACTCAAGGTCGTCGGGGCCACATAGACAACGTTAGGTAACAAAGCTCTGTCGCGCTTCTGTTCTTCGCTGATGCGACCAGTTCCTTCTGTGTCTCGATCTATCGCGTAGGCAAAGGTAGTTTGCTTGTGTAAAAGCCTTAGTGAGGTAAAATACTGACACGATACGCGGAGTACATCTAAATTTGGATGGAGATTGACTCGACCGCGGTGACGCTAGTGGCCGTTCGGACGTCTCTGTAGCTCACGCCGACGAGATTTGTCGTCTCCTTTGTTAGAAATCAAGGAGAACAGAAGGGAATCCCGTGTGGCGCTCATCGAGGCAGTCCTCAAGGCGCGTGGTTTCCACAAGCCTACAAAACCTTGGGAGGCAAGGAGAAGATGACCTGGCCAAACCTACCCCGTAATATTCTCGAGAGAGCGAGCGAGCGAGAGAGATAGAGAGAGAGGCCCACATCAGTCGTCTAGATCCAATTCATCTAATCTGGAAAGTCATCTGCGATCCAGCTGTCAAGTCACCTCCTAATAAAAAAAAAATTGAGAGGACGAAGAAAAAAGAAACCAAGACAGATACGAGATGAGGTACTTTGAGATGTACATATAAGCACGGCTTGCGATCGTTCATGGTTACTTCATCCTTCTAAACGGAGAGTGAGTTCCCAGAGAGACACAGATGACGTCGAAGAGCTCGTTCTTGACGTTCTTGGTTTGTGCAGCTCTCATCCCCGTCCTCTTCGAGGCGACGGATGCTCAGGGCCTGAGGTCCGGGTTCTACAAGAAGACATGCCCCAAGGCCGAGACCATCGTGCGGCAGACGGTGGCCAGCTTCGTCGCGAAGGATGCGACCGTGGCGGCGCCGCTGCTCAGGCTTCACTTCCACGACTGCTTCGTCAGGGTATGCGACAACGTTACTCCCCCCACCGCCTATCGGCGCTTCTGCTCACTCCGTCGTTGGTGACGATCACATCATCTTGACCCTGTAGCTCCCCATCTTGCTCCTGTTCTTTTCCTAGGGTTGCGACGGCTCGGTGCTGCTCAACTCCACCAAGGGCCATCTCGCCGAGAAGGACGCGATGCCCAACCTAAGCCTCGACGGGTTCGACGTGATAGACACCGCTAAGGCGGCCGTGGAGGCGGCGTGCCCGGGGGTCGTCTCGTGCGCCGACATCGTGGCTCTCGCTGCCAGGGATGGGGTAGCGCTGGTAATCATTCAATCAACCACTCGCGAGGAGAGAAATAGAGTTCTGTCTATCCGTTTTGTAACCCCCACTGGTTAACCGGGTCTTCTATCCTTGTTTATGCCGGTGCAGAACAACGGGCCGAGCTGGCAAGTTGAGACAGGGCGGCGGGACGGGCGCGTGTCGTCGGCGTCGGAAGCCGTCGCCAACCTGCCGTCGTCCTTCGGGGAGATAGCCGAACTGAAAGCAATCTTCGCGAGGAAGGGCCTCAGCGCCGAGGACCTCGCAGTCCTCTCAGGTCAGTCAGTCGGTCGGTCGGTTCTTTCTGCCGCCCCAGTCGCCCTCCTCCTCCTCCGGCGAGGGGTCTGGGGGTATCAAGCGTTCTTCTATCTAACTTGACGATGACTCTGATGGTGCTTGTCAGGATCCCACACCATCGGGAACGCCCACTGCAACGCCTTCAGCAAGAGGCTCTACAACTTCACCGGGAAGGGCGACAGGGACCCGTCTCTGGCCCCCGCGTACGCCCGGACGCTGAGGTCGCAGTGCCCGCGAGGGGATGAGACCAGCATCGTGGAGATGGATCCGGGGAGCGCCGTCAGCTTCGACACGAGCTACTACACTCGGGTGAGCAACGGGAAGGGGCTCTTCCGCTCCGACGCCGCGCTGCTCCACGACAAGGTGACCAGGGACCTGGTGTATCAGTACACCGGGAGCGCTTCCAAGTTCTTCCGCGACTTCGGTGTCGCCATGGGGAAGATGGGCAACATCGGCGTCCTCACCGGTGCGCGAGGGGAGATCAGGAGGCACTGCGCTCTGGTCAACGCTTGATATATATGTATATAGATATCAGGCATCGTGTCCTCTATCTCTCTCTTCTCTCTCTCCCTCTTTTTCAATATATAGTGTACAAAATGGAATAACCTCGATTTCATTGTTCTCGTTGAGTGGAAATGTGTGAGTTTTTTGAGAAAATAATCGTAGACTTATTTACCTTCCCCCCACCAAGATGGGTCTCGGGCAGGTAAATTCCGAATTTGTGCACCTTCTTGAATTACGAAGCGGTGTATCCATCTGCTGGATTCAAAAGACCGTGTAATAGAGCATAATGGGCCTTAAATATAAAGGACTAAGATTAGTATGTAATCATTTTCTTGCACCTAGTTCATGTCTAATTTGATCATATTACGAAGTTGTACGATTGGTATGTAAGAGTTAGCTCATAGTATTTTCAACGAAATTGGACATTGACTTAATCTATATATATATCAGTTATCATGTGTTCATCAAAAGGTGATAAAATTCATGCTAATAACTCGGTCAAGATAGAGATAGAGAGATTATTGGCATAAGATTACTTGTTTCAGATTAATCGCCACATCAGTAAATGTTTGCAAGGACATTGTGGATAGTGATGTGATGCTCATCATATTGAACATGATTGTGGAATTTTTTTGTATATGCTAGATTATCGGTGTATTGTTTCTCGATTATGTCATGAAAAATTAGTCTTTAGAATAAAATTTGATGCAAAAAAATGTAAATGAGCACAGCATACAATAAGTTACTGTAAATGGTAACAAAGTATGGCGGCTGTCTATGCGTTGTCGTCACGAAAAAAACCAATGGGTTGACCAAATGAAGTCGAATCTGTCGCTGAGTGGAAATCCGGGAAAAACATACCTTGTTGACCCATTAAAGACACGCATTTCGGTAAGTAGTGATGAAAAATGAGATAAAATCGCCTTCGGTAATGACAGATATTTAGTAAGACTACCTCTTTTTGACTTTTTCCTCTGCAAAGAACGATCGCTCGGTAACGACTCCCACCAAAATTCTCTGACCCGATTCTCCGGCGATCTCCCCCCAACCACTCCCCCCGCATCGCCCACCGTCGCATCTCCCCCGCGCCACACCCCTCCCCCCCGTCGGTTGACTAGCCCCCCACTCCTTTCGCGCAGGGGCGCTCGTCCCTTTTCTCCATCGGGGATCCCGAACCGTACCACTCCCGCCGCCCGTCACCGCCCCTTGAACAGCCCGCGCATACCCAGCGGCCTGTTGAAGTAGCCCGACAGATTCTAAGGAGTCGGTTTACTATTTGAATAATTTATAGTCGAGTTTTCTCTATAAATAGAACCTAGATTGCTATCCCCTTCAAGGCGCATGGAAATGGAATTCTGTAGAGCACATAAATCAATATGTCTTCATAGATCATGAGTTCCTCCTATACATCAACTTACGATTGAGCTAAAAACTGATGTTCATCTGCATGCACTTCAAACATAAACTAAATTGATTCAACTCGTATGAGAACAATCTAATAAAATTCAAGAACTCCAGGTGGTTTGACACAGAATATACCGGATTAGGTTATGAGTTGAATCAATTTAGTTTATGTTTGAAGTGCATGCAGATGAACATCAGTTTTTAGCTCAATCGTAAGTTGATGTATAGGAGGAACTCATGATCTATGAAGACATATTGATTTATGTGCTCTATAGAATTCCATTCCCATGTGCCTTGAAGGGGATAGCAATCTAGGTTCTATTTATAGAGAAAACTCGACTATAAATTATTCAAATAGTAAACCGACTCCTTAGAATCTGTTGGGCTACTTAAACCATTGCTGGTCTCAAAATGTATTTGGGCATATCTCACCCTCAACTTGATTGAGGGTCTTCCCTGCTCCAACAAATTTAATGCCGTGTTGGTCATGGTGGATAGGTTATGACATTTCATTCCTCTAAAATACTCATTTATAGCAAGAGAGTCGGCCTTTGTATTCATCAAAGAGATTTTCCAGTTGCATGAGTTTTCAAAGTCTTACATCTCTAACAAGGAGTATGTTATGGAGAGAATTATTCAAGCTTTCCAGCACTTCTCTATGGTGGACCAGCTCTTACCATCTGCAGATTGATGGACAATTAGAGGTGGTCAACTAAAGCATAGAAGCTTACATGCATTGTGTTACGCAGAGTGAGCCTTCTATATTAGGCTTTACTTCTATTTTTCCTTCTATCCTATTATTAGATGTATTTTTCTTTTTTCAAGTTACCATTATTAGACCTTTTTGTAAAACTAAAAAGGTTTATTAGACGCCAATATAAATACTGGCGAACTGCCTTGAGAAGGGCTAAGTCAATTTTTTCTTTTCTTGCTTTCATTGTATCTCGTGACATGGTATCAAAGCTTTCTCTCTAATCCTATGTGAAGACTGCCAACAGAAGATTAATCAAACTTGGTAGTGATGAAAATTCTATGCTGTAGGCAATGTCTCTTGGTAATCTTCTTCCTGTCTATAGTACTTGAAATCATGAGGTTTTTTGGTTGTAAGTAGACCGGTAGATTCTTTGGAGAGTCACTACACTATCATCATCTCTTGATGGTGATAGACATCTATGAATACACCATCGTCATTTCTTGATGGTGGCAGACATCTATGAATACACCATTGTCATTTCTTGATGGTGGTTGTCATCTTCAGTTTCTTGAATATAAACTATTACTCATTCCAAATTAGAGAATCTCTATTTGAGATTTTTTTGACTATTTGGTCATGGCTACAAAACATAGAGACAAAGGTCAGTGAATCTTCCTCTAGCTTAGGACATTTATTTGAAGTAATTAAGGAATGTTAAGACCTACTTAAAATTGTTAAGAGATTCTGATTTGACGGAATCAATTTGTTCCAATGGATATCGTATGTGGAACTTATTCTACGTGGGAAAAATTTGGATTGTCACCTGATGCAATACTTGCCAAGTATTGACAACTCAGGATATTCTCGATGGAAAGAAGAAGAAACACTAATTCAATATTAGATGTTGGAAAATATTTCACCGAAGATAAGTGATCGATTCTTTTTTCTAAAATCTGTGAAGGAATTATGAGACAAGGTTCGTCGTGTTTACTCTACTAACATGATGAATCCCAAATTTATAGATTGGTATATAAATCTCTAAATTTTGTATAAGGAACATTGATTGTTCTAAGATATGCCTGCGAATTAGAATCCGTATAGAGAGAAATCAACCGCTACAGACTAATCAAGAACCCTAATATTGAAGAACGAAATTATATTATGAAAAACATGTTGTATAAGTTTCTAATGGGGCTAAATCAAAAGTATGAGACTCTAGTCAATTAGATCCTTACTTGGAAAGTAATATCAGATATTGAAGAGGCAATTGTATTAACTAAACAAGAAGAAAATACTAAAAAATGGAGAAATGATTTAAAGATAGAAAATGTTGAATTCAGTGCTCTTAAGGGTAAAGATACCTCTGGATTTAAAAAGGGGGATGGTAAAGTACCATTCATCAAAGGAGATTGTAAGACTGATTTGAAGGCGACCTATTTTGCACTTAGTGTCGGAAAAATCGTCACACTAGAGAGGTCCCTAATATGTTGGAAGATCCATGACAAACCACCAAATTATGGTAGTTGCATTTGGCTAATGCTCAAAATGAAGATAGTGTTGAGCTCATGTTATATGGAAGAGTTAGTCAAGATGGATTTGCTTCCTATCAGCCTTCAAAGATTGGAAAACTCAGATAAGAAATTGAATAGTTGAGAAGAATCATTAACTCCACTTCCCTCGCACATGCTAGTAAGCATTTTCTTAAATGTTTTCCATTATGCTTAAATACACAATCATTGGCATTACCTTCACCCCAAAAAGTGTCATGGATCATTGATTATGGAGCTATTGATCATGTGACATCATATGCATCATTATTTATAACATATTTATGAGGTATGTACTAATAATCGGAAAGATTACTACGAGTGGAGGTTTGTTACTTGTAGCTGGCATTGGATCAATTTATCTTGAGAAATTGGGGTCATTAAGATATGTTATGTATGTTCCAACATTAAATACACATCTATTGTCATTGAGAAAATTAAGTAAAAACTTGAATTGTCTAATATTATTTGACAATAATTTGTGTTTCTTCTATGACAAGACCTTGGGTAGGAGGATTGGGCATGTTAGAGCACAGGATGGACTCTACTACCCAGGGCATATGGACAAGACATTATTGACAAATTTCAGTCCAAACATTCCCACTTTTGCTTTTGCTTCTCCCTTGAACAAATTGTTGTTGTTGCCTTGTCGTTTAGGACATTCGTCCATAAAAGTACTTCCATACTTGTTTCCAAAACTATGTCTTGCAATTGGTGAATCTACTTTCATATGTGAACCTTGTCAAATGGCTAAGCAACGACAAATTTCACTTCTCTCTGCTGAAAATAAAAATGAATCCTCTTTTTACATAATACATTTTGATATATGGAGTCCATCTAGTGGTGTTAGGGACTTTAGATAGTTTGTCATCTTTGTAGATGAATGTACTAGGCTCACATGGATTTATCTAATAAAAATAAAATCCAAAGCCAATAGTGTCATTCAAAGTTTTATTAAGTTAACTCAAAATTAGTACATCATAACCCCTAAGAAATTCCAATTAGACAATGCTAAAGATTTCTTCAATTCTATTGTCTCTAAATTTTTTTTCTGAGGAGGGCATTGTTCATGAATCTTCTTGCCCTTATACACTTGAGCAAATTGGGGTAGTGGAAAGAAAGATTAGGCAACGATTGGAAATAACAAGGGTTGTCATGTTTAAAGCCCAAGTGCTAAAGTACTTATGGAGTGAGGTAGTACTAATGGCCACTCATCTTGTTAATCATCTCTCATTAGAATCATTATTATTTAAGACCCCCAAAGCCTTATTGTAGGGTCATTATTCGACTATGCAATATGGACCAGATTTACTTCTTCGAGTATTTGGGAGTGTTGCATACAACCATTAGTTTTAGAATAAACT